ATGACAAAGTTAAAGTACGATGGCTTGATGGGGCGTCATATGCAGGCACTATTCTTGAAACTTCAGAAGCGGTTGCTAAAGTTCGCCCGGTAGGGTATCCGCAAGAATATCAATTGTGGATAACAAAAGGTGATATTGCCAAAGGTGATGAAGAGGTATCAAAGAAACCACAGTCTGGAAGTATGTCTATTAATTTTATGGTAACAAATCTAACAATTGTTAACTTACGTTATTTTTTGTGATGTGAGCTTTTAGCCAGATAAACCAAAGTATGCAATGCTTATTGCAACAGAAAACCTATTATTAATGCTTCATTACTTTTAAAGGTATCATGGAGAATGCCTTGCAGGATGCAATGGAAAGTATGAATCAAATCATGCAGGATTACCAGCAGCAGAGTTTAGAGACCAAGCGAATAGAGGATGTCCCTACTCGGAAAATACAGTCAATTCCAAGTCCAACACATAGTAGGTCATTAGCAATGATCTTCGTCAATTCAAATGATAAAGTAGGATTAAGAAGTATATATTCTAACTGTGCCTCACACTGAACATGAACATGTAGTGATGAAAAATGTTGATTGAAAAAGCTACAAAAAGATTGGATTCTTCAGAAGTATTGTCAATACACAACAGAAGATAGTAATCATATCCAAAACCCAGCAATTGCCAATTACTTTAATCCAGAACAATCTTTATCTAAATTAAAATAAAATTACAGCTTGTTAAGCCTTACTAAAAATCATTTCCTTTTTGTTACAATATCTCTCTGGTGTTTCTTTTTAACGGGCTTTCCTTTTCCGGAAAGCCTGGTTTTTGAAAATCAACATCAGAACAGTCGAGCAAGAATCGAATCCAAGCCATATAAACTGGAAACTATTCTAGATTTAGATTGCCATCTCACATGATTGGCTTGCTCAACCTTTCTGTACTAATGCATGATTTATTGTGCGAATAAGCCAATTGAATAATTGCAAATGAGCTATTTCTGCCTTTATTTCTACGTGTCTTGTATGAACTGGGTATTTTGCAGTTATCTTTCAAACTCTGATTTTTTTATGGCAGAAGACAACAGCAAATGGAAGAAGTTTCTTTCCAAAGTTCTAATCTCGAAAGGCAACCTCGATAAGCTAGCGAAGGTGTGCGAAAAACGTAAGAAGCCAGCATGGTCTGGAAAGGAACTGAAATCGAATGAATATCACGTTGGAATCGGGGCTAGCAAAGAGGATCTCGATTTCGCAGATATTGTCAAACAGGTATTGAGCAAGAGAGGGTTAAAAGTAACAACCGATCAAGATGATTTGCACGAGACAAGAACATTTTTGCTAATTTACAGCGATAGTGTTAACATGGATGAAAATGTCATTCGACATCTTACCAGGGCTGCAGAGAGATTTAATATGGGAGAAACAATAATAATTGCACTTGTGCGGCCAGGCTGTCCTGAAGAAGTTATTGACCGCATTCCGGATAGAGTAGCGTATTCGCTGTCAAATGTGGTATTTTTCAGTCATGACTGGTTTGGCGAAGCACCTGAGATGGCACGGAGGAGATCAGTTGAAGATCTAGCAGGTAGTCTGGCTAGCAATTTGCCATATCACAATAGAATTATTCTTTTTCGTAAGCTGATATGTCATAAGTATATGTCAAAATAAGAAGCTTCAATCTAGATAGCAAATGCTGAATTTCGAAAAAAAGGGCTGCATAAATTCATGGTTCATAATACCTTTACAAATTCTTTGCAACAATTGTATACTTCAATCTTTATTTTTCAAGCAATTTTTGGTGGCAAAGATTTTGAAAATGGCTTTGAAAAAAGAAACGTTCTTCAGCGTTTTGTCTCGCACTCAACAGAGTATAAAACGTCAGAATATTGATCGGAAAATCTTGCAAATGTGACTCTGGCTGCGTAGGACGGATTGATTACAAAATCTGGGGGATTGAATAAAACAGCATGTTCCTTTCAATATTAGAAAAACTCTCCCCCTCTCCCCCCCCCTTGTCAGAGCTCAGTCGTACTTCCGAGAAAAAGCCACTCTCGTGTAGACAAATGGAGTTCGTTTTCACCCTTGGGCTCAATTGGAAATATTTTCAGCAGGCAAGGGGCACTGACTGGGCTACCTTCACAGTCATGTGCTTGCTTTTTTATTTAGCCTATTTCGATCCACAACTGGGTATGTTTTCTAACTTAGAGTTTTCGATCAGTATTCTGTACTTTTTCCCCTTTTTGAATTCTTTAATTTCTATTTACATAATGACAATTATGATGAAAATCATATAATATCATATGATAAAGAATCGTTATGATTCCCCATTTTTCTATTAACAGCATTAATCCAGAACAACGTTAATGAAACTCATGACTACGATTTAAGCGGAGCTTGGCTATGCCAGGCAGCAGTTACAAGCAGTGTGACGTCATATAGTACAACCAGAGACTTCACTATGCTGTTGAAGCAACAGGGAAATAAGGTATTCAAAAAATAGCATAATTTTCGTCGTATAGGAAGTTGAATATTATCAGCTTGATTTAAACTTAATAACAGCCTTCTATTTATAGAAAAATGTGGTATTTTGGAACCCATGCCTGCATGCCATTTTGGTATAATGCCAAAATTTCTTCTATGATTCCCATTGGTCAATTCGAAGCTGTCTATCAAATAGGGTCAATCAAATAGCAAGCAGTAGCATAATTAGTTACATCTACTTTAGACTTGCAAAATAGTCATGCGTCGAGCCATGATATCTCGAGCCATGATAAGTACCAACCGGACGTCATTCTCATCAAATTACTTATCTTTCACAATTTTCGAATGCTTTTCTTGGCAGTTTATCATGTTTTTGTGGTATTTTAGATAACCGGAAGAACCATCGATAATTTCAAAATTGAAGGCGAAGTGCAGAAAGACATTCTGAAACTGAGAATATCCTACAGGGGGGAATACGAGCAAAATATTTATCTCTGGGAAGAAGATGATTATTTTTTCATTGCAGAAATCGCTGCAGTTATTCATAACCAAGGTATCTTATACAACTTCACTTATGTACAGCTTCAACTATACATATTGTCTTCACTTGAAGTAAAGTTTTTGTCATGTTTCTCTTAATCCCATCCTTTAACCAACCAATGTCCTCTACCACAATTTTCCATTTCACGAGAAGATTTTCTTCTCGTTGAATTTGCACTTTATTTCAAGTATCAGTTTCTTGTTTTGACATAAATCATCTCGTAAAGCTTTACAATTTACAGCTTATAGAAGATATTTCCTTTTGATGTTTATTTGAATTGTGATTAACAAATTCACATTTATACCCAGCATTCATGGGTGGTAGGTAGCAACCTCTATAGACATGGAGCTTGTATTGTGTAAGAACATGTAGGATTTGCAAATTGCTGGCAATTGTCAGTTCAGGTCTTCGTATCTCTCTAGTGTCTTTTAAGTTTATTTTTTTTCTCTAATACACTTTTTCTAACATACAAGATGCAAGTGTAAATCTCAAATCAATCTTTAATCCATGTTCTTTGCCACACCACGGCTCGCATCTCTTTCAGTGAAAATTCCAAAGTTCTAAAAATGGGTTTTTTTAATGACGACACACTTCAAACAAACATCATCGCAAACTCAGTTACTGCTTGATAAATTATTGAAAGAATGATATATCTATCTCCAGAGATTATGCTTTATAATTTCTTTGCCTTTTTTATCTGAATATAACACTGTTTCTCCTTTTTTTAAGGATATAGGTTAGAAGGAGAGTATTCTGAAGAAACTGATGCAGGCACTATAAGCAAATCCGGTGCGTCAAAATTCGATGCCTGTAGTGGGCCATTTAGTGCCACGCTTGAAAAACAGTGTCTCAGTGGGTATGTTTATGATACTTCAGTCAAACTTGCGTCAATTAACGTATATAATTATATTTCTGTGTTTTTACATATTTATATAGTGATTTGAATGGAGAGCAGGGTACCGTAGCTCATCTCGTTTTTCAAATTGATAGCTCTCATTTTAGCTCACTTGGATTTAGTTGATTATAATAAGTACTAAATTTTTTCTCAACAGTGAATCTTCCTAATTGATATTATAGGCAATCAACAGATATAAAAGTAGCTTAAGCCATCTGGCAATCAATATTAGCCAATCAATGGGCGGTGAGTGGCAGCACTCTCGTTGATTGGTCACTTTTTATCAAAAGATTGCTAAAGCCCCTTTAGTAACTATCGATTGTCTTTAAGATTAATTGAACAGAGCTTAATGCCCAAACGTCCATTTATTCCATCCCATGTTAACCCTTGCAGTTGATTTTGTACGGTATTCCTAATCAAGACATTTTAATAAATTAAGATAATATTTTTATGTTTTATATCTTAAGAACGTGTGCCGTAGTAAACTTGAATCTGTTTTCATGAAAGGTATTACAATGCTCATTGGTACAGTAAACCTGATTACAACGAAACCTTTGCAATTATCCATCGAGGTGGCAATGAAATCATTGCTGAGTTTCCCAACCAGTATGGATCTTTGACTGTTGGATTCCTTGATCTAGTCACAAAGACCTTGCAGCTAAATTCGTGTTCAAACAGAAACATGACACGAACCCTTATAGGTTTGCTTTAATCAATTTTTATTGTCCTATAGCTGTGTGGATTCCATACAAATGGTATTACGGTTTTTGTCTCGTCGCGGATGCTGTCTTGTTTTTTCTATATAAATTTCTACATTTTATTTGAGTCAGTCTGATGAGGGCCTAAGCATAAAACTTGGAGTTACAGCAAACATACTTCATCTTTCATTAAAACTTTTATTTGTTAATTGCTGTGGACCTCTGTGCATTGAGCACTATAATTTCACAATTGACAACGCTACGATACTCTATCTAACATTTCTATATATATCTAGATATGCTTTTAGAGCTAGAGCATTATTTAAATTGCGTAAAATGAATACTTAATTTATGCTTTTAGAGCATTATTTAAATTGCGTAAAATGAAAACTTAATTTCATGCAATGGATATATTGAATATGTTGCTTAGGATATTAATTACTATTCTGTATATCAAATGTAGATTGATAAAGATAAAATCCGTCGCAATGTCTTTTTTATTCCAGTGTACAGCAGTTTTCTTTTTTGCATATTGTTTGCAATTGAATATACTTGATAACTCAAAGCTCTTGAAATAACGTTTGCTGTAAAGAGATGCTCAATGTATAACGTTACAAGCGTAACAACATCCCAGAGCGCACAAATGAAATTTAACGGCTATTCACAATGTATTGATATCCTCGTATTACAACTTCTAATATAGTATTGCTTCTTTATTCAATGCATACCACAGGCAAGCTTACAGAAGACTCAGGTGGGGCTGCCTCCTTTCAATGTCTAAGTTATGGAAATGAGTTTGGTTTGACTGGTGAGCCTGAGGCTATTGCATTGACCCGAGACCAAATCCATATCTTAAAATCTGTATCGGAAGATGATGATGATGTTCTTGAGAAGATGCAAATGTCTTTATCTCCCAGGTACTCATTTATACAATGTATTTTAGATCTAGACAATGACATTTAAGAAGCTTATGCTGGTCATAGCAATTTTTAATTAAGATCAAAATACAGGAGAACCTATTCCAGATGCCAGGGTATTCTGGTAATGTTGGTTTGTTGCTAAAAAGTTCAATTAGCCATTCACGTATATAAGTAGCCAGAGTAATTGAAAAGAAGAGCACAATCTTTATAATATCTTTTATCTTTCTTTGAAATATTAAAATGCTTGAGAACAAAAGTTTTGTTTTTTTCTGTCGAGAAAATTTAGCTGGTCTAGAAAATAGAATGAAAGATTATCTTTTGTTCTAGTGTACTAGAACTAAGGAACTAAAATATACCCATTTCTGAAAAGCGACATAAAAATTCTGCTAAGGCAACATCAATGATTTGTAAAGCATGAAGTCACAGCGGTTTGCATAGACAAACAATTCTATGGCATCAATAACTTGTTAACATTTAATTTATCAATTTGACTCTAGGCTGCAAGGAATGCCCTTTACACCAGGCTGGTATCAGCCTCTAGCTGAAGATGAATTTCCAGTGGTAATATTTTGCACAGAGCACGAGAAGAATAAGGCTTTAAAGTTGAAGAAAGACTTGGAAACGGTGCAAGACATCAAGCCAGTTTCCATTCAATCATCTGATTGGAAGAAGTCAAGGACCATTGTGCTATTGTTATCAAAATACACCCAATCGGATGAAGGTCTAAATTTTAATCGGTGTTTGAAATACTTTCTTTAGATCTTAGCAAAATTTTTGCAAATCTTTATGATGTCTTTGTCAATAAGGTTAAGGGTAAACTTTCTTATCCACGCTATAAATTGAACTTTAAAATATATGATGCAATCGTTAAGTCTTGCCACCTTTTTTAATGCGAAAATTTAACCTTTCCTACACAGCCATAGTATACGCAAGTATTTTGTAAACGATTTCCTTTTTTGAATCCAGGTTTAATTGATGCAATAGAAAGTGCAGCTGAAAAGGAAATTCCAATCTTTAACATTGGTTTGGATAGTTGGTTCAACATATTTGGCCCAGCCAACTGGAAGAACCAACAGTTGCGTTTGAAACTGATGAATTCGCTTGCAAGATTGAACCAAACGCCAGATACAACACTAGACCCAACTCACAACAACTTCAGGGGTCTCGTTAAAGGTATCTTTTCTCTTTGGAAGCTCGTATTTGAAATAATTGAAATTATCGTTTATTCATTTGAGCAAGGTAAAAGTTTCTGATTTTAAAAATACTCATGATTGTTGGTCAATGTAATTGTGAGCATGTTGCCAAGGGTAGTTTTAAAATTTCATTTCATTGTCATTCTTGTATGCCTATATTTTATTGTCATATTTTAATCCTTCCAATATCATTATATTTCTTCCCTCTGATTATTCAAGTTCTAATCCAGTCATGCTTTCTATTCAAACTAGGCATTCGAAAACGAATCGAGCCTCCTAATTTCAACATACTTGGTCTCTTTGGCGTTGAAGTGGTTGGATCAGACCCCCCAGAAAAGATAAGCAAGTATTCTGATCTGGAAGATGAAACTATCCAGGTAAAATATTTTGAAACATAGTAAGACAAAGAAGTTGATCATTTTGAGTTTTCAGAGAAAAAATGCTACATTCTTTTAGATTTTCTTTTCGCCCTGGCTATCTGTTTCGTTTATAAAGCTTTTATTTTGCTAGTAATGTCATGCTTGCCATTGTTCGTGAAACCTCCAGGTCTTTGTCTGTGTAATCATTTTTAAGGATTTGTATTTTGTCTCTGACGTGCGGCTACTGATATGCGAGAGTTCCTGACCTGATTTTTTATATGCAAGGTCTCTGGCAGGTTGGTTGTAGAGCTAAAAGTCATTGCTTTTTGAACTTAGTCCATTGAAGAGCAGGGCAGCTCTTGAAATTGAAAAAGAGAAATCATTATTCTGATAGAGAGAAAAAGGATGCTTTTGATAAAGTACAATCAAAAAGTGTAGCGTATTATATTGTGTGGCAGGGATTGTAGTTGATAGGTAGAAAGGGAAAGTCGTTGAAAGTTGTATGATTTTATGTTTGGTAAAAAAAATATCACTCTTATGTTTTTTAAAAAAAGAGTATTCCAGGGCCATAAATTTTTTGAGCCCCCCTCCCCCTTCTAATCAAAAATTGCAAGAATGCTTTGTTTTCATTGAATAAAACCTTTTGTACCTAATATTCCTAAACAATTCACCATCCCCGATAATTCTGTCCTTCCTACATTATTATCATTTAATCATTTGATAGAGGGCACATGTACCTCACTAGAAATAAACAATGATCATTTGACATCCAGCTGATTAAGCGGCCATCAATGATGTATCTCTATGTTGACCAATCAACCAACCAATTGAGGATGGGCACTGACTACATTGTTCAAGGACTTACTGGTGAAGTTGATCCGCAAACGTTCACACTTACCATGAAGAACGATGCAGGATCATATGAACTTCGTGTCAATGCAGACATGGATAAGTTCTATGGTAAATATTGGAGCAAAAGAGCAAACAAGGAGGTAAATGCCGTATTTTTTGTGACAATCTTACACATAAGTGACTGTTTATGATAATTTTCTATACTATAGACGTTTACTGCAACTCAGGACTTTCTAAAGACAAATTAAAGGTTTTGATAGTACTCAATTTACCTAGACCGTTACTATTTATTTTGGTTTCATTTTACACTTTATTCTGGAAGATCGAGACGTCGGTTATTACATAAGATATATAGCAGAAGGGACTTCTTTGATCCATCGCCTCATTCTATTCAACCTCATTTTGGAAATACTCCTCTGCACTAAGTCTTATTTCAGATTCGAATCATGGATTGAAATATTAGTCCATAACATGCAAGCTTCGTTATGCTTTTGCTCGCGATATAGTTTCATCCGGAAAGCTTTTTAGTGGTCAAATGCCCTATAAGTTTCCAAACTTTATGTTGTTAGAAAGACTACAACACGAGCACAAACAATGTGAGAAACTGTGTCAGCATTAAATGTGTTGCATTAATTCATCATTTGAGGTAAAAAAAGTCGTACAAGAAGTAAAATAAAAATAGAAGATTTTTAAAAAAGGTCGTATAAAGAAGTTGGTAGTAATTTTGGAACGTGTGGTCGTTAGTTGAATCTTAACTTTCAACTCCCCTGTTTTTTGTTTTAGTACACAATAGTGGTGTCGAAAGCTGACTCTGGTATAAGTGGCTTTTATGCAATGAGTGCAGACCAAATTCCTACAGGAATAGTCCAGCTTGGCAAAAGAACGGCTGATATTGTATTTGGTGGTTACACGTTGCCTGCAATGATTTCTGATAATAAGATCATTTTCAATGCTCCCTACCCTGGACAGAAAAGTGTAAAGATAACATATTCAGGTAACTGTGTTCCTTTTTGTAACTTTTACTTACAATTTCAGCAGGTATTTTATTCTTCAGTCCTCATTCCAAAATATTCAGTTGCTTTGTGGAAGCTCTGTATGTCGCAGAAATTCTGCCTGTTTATTTGGACTAAAGCATTTCATTCAAATTGTTGTTATTTTTCTCCCTGTACATTTCGGTTCCAATCCCTTTTTAACCGTTCTTTGCTGTCATAAACGATGCATAAGGTAAAGCATTTTTGCATCTTGAGCTTAAGAAGAGGTGTCACATTGTCTAGTTTTCCGATGCATGATGTTTATTAAATTTCTTTTCCTTATTTAATTATATTTTCCATTGAAGTATTATTCTTTGTTGACTCTGCAACCACAACTGGATGCAAAGTAAACTCCATTTTTATAATTTTTAGATTTACTGCATAACCTAAAAGTGCATAAAGAAATACCTCCAAATGCAATCTATACAATCTAGTAAAGAAACAGATAAAGAAAAGCAATTTTTTATATCTATTTGTATTTGTTTCTACCAAGCTTCCGAAGGTAGTTTTTAGGACACTGAGAAGCTTATGCTTATCGAGCAGTGTCCTGGTCCTTCCTCTCGATGTGACCACACCTCACAAATCCTATGCCTGTAATTACAGAGAGCTGGCGACTCTCCTCACTCTTGGTGGAAGTTTGGTAATGCCAGGGATTCAAACCACGGACCCTTGGGTCTGTTGTCAGCGTCTCTAACAACTGAGCCATCCTCGCAATTATTACAAATGTAAAGCATATAACTTTTCCACAGCTAAAGAATATCAAATTCCTCTAGAACCAGAATGCGAAGCTTCATTTTCATCATATGAATTTATTGATCTACACAATTCTGAAAATAATGTTATCAATCACTAAACTTTAGTTTTTGTTTAATGCCTTTTGGTTTTTCCATTTATTTTTTGGTGTTATGATTCTTTATACGGTAGTGTATATAGTCATACTATGCAATCCATTAAGAGCTTCTTTAAAACTGAAGACTGGCATTTCCTAGCTAAGCAACTATCTGTTGGATTCTCATAGTCAAAGACAGGATTGAATGGTGCCTAATGACAGGGTCTAAGATGCTAGCTCGCAATACTGTTCTAGAGTGATCCAGAATCACTTTGATTTTGCTGAGTTCTGTTACCATAAATGCAAGCTGTACCGTTTGCTAAAGTGCGCATTTTTCATATTTAGGCCTGTTTTTGTTTGGTTCTTTTAGCCACATTTATTTCAAAGATTTTCTTTATTTCAGCTCAAATCCTACTTAAGCCAGAGGGCAACTATCTTTACGGATTTTCCTTCCAATCACAAAGTACTACTGCAAGAAGCGCTTTCGATGCCAAGCAGTTTGCTTCAGGACATCAAAAAATCTTGAAGAAAAATGTAAGCCAATTAATTAGTGATATTCATATTTGCTTGATGAAATGACTATTTTTTGCAAAGCTATAGTTAAATAGTATTTTTTCTCCCCACACTCTAGGTGAAAATTTGGTCATGCCAGGGACTCGAGCCCAAGCCCCTGACAACTGTAGTCCGCAATCCTAACCACTCAGTCATCCATTCACCTAACAACTGACCAATCTTTGCAGCCCTTTGTGATAGTTTAAAATTTAATTTCCATAGTGTCTGTCTTGTTTTGTGACAAACCAGTATTGAAAATGGATTGTTCAATTCTAGAATAAGGACGGAGAAAGCGCGGAAAAGTGGCTTGTGGATTTAATCGAAGAATTTTGGAGATGTTCTGATGCTGGCGATTATGAAGGATTCTTGAAAAGTATGCTACCTCTTGAATTCATAGAATAACCTCTTGTTATGTAATCTACTGAGAAATATGGATTGATATTCTTTAGAAACTACGTTTCGGTATGTTTAGGCATAGAACGGTTCAGTCTTGGGCCATTGGAAAAAAAGCGCCTTGCAGTGTCTTTGTTAACCAAGAGACAGTTATTCTCTTCGGTGATTACCCTAAGTAGGGTGTAAATGGGCCTTGCCCTTGAAAAATGTTTTAAGGCTGCAAGCTTTTGATATTGTTAAACCACGGGCTGTTAGCATGGCTGCAGTGCTACATCTTTCTAACATTCCTTTTTTCTAAAGGTAAATATTTAAAAGATATGAACTTTTTACCTTTTTCTATCATAATTATGTATCCATTTTTAGCTAAATTTGGTGGAAACTGCAACTATCACCGCACCCTCTTGCACAAATCGTTTTTGGTGCTGTTTTTCCCTTCAGTACTAAAACTCATGCAAAAATCAATTTCATGCAGCAATGCAGCTACCCCTAAGTCATTAGAATTGCTGACACAAGTCTCAGCGAATGTCTGGCACTGAAGCTATGAATAACTTTAGTTTAATGTTTAACTTGATTTGCTACTAGAAATTACTCCGTAAGCTTTATCTTAATTTTAGATTCATCTATGATTCTGTTCCTTCCCATTTCGTTTGCATTCTATGTGTTTTTAAAGATTTACTCATTGTATGTATTGACTTGAATTTTGGGCCCTGAATGTGCTTGTTTGCAGGCTAGTAACGATGCTCGAACAGCAACAACTTCATGTTAGATCTTCATTTCAGTTTCAAAAGGCGATATGAGTGAAGACTTTTCAAATGTAGCCTTTGACAAGATGGTTGTTGATAACAGAAGATCAATTGGAAATTACATCAAAAATTCTGCTGTATTTCTTGGCAAGAAAGCACAAGTGACAATGGGGAAACCTATCGGGGTAACTCGATATGACTTCAAGTTTGACTTTGAAAAGCTAAAGCAAATCGAATATTCTGTTACCATAACAGATGCTGTTAAAAAGCTGAACGGTAAGAGAAATTCTGGGATTCTCTATCTAAGCTTTGTTATTTTGCTTTTTTGTTTTTACATATCGAATGATGCGAAATATGTCAGCTTTATTTAATCTAACGATAGTTCTTATTATTTTGCTGTATTTTCTCTCCGGAAAAGTAATTCCATGGTTGATTATTGGTAGACGGAGTAGGAAACTTATTTAAAGACAGAAGATCTTATTTCATCAACTTCATGTTTAAGGAGGATAGCCCTTCGACAATTTTGTTGATTTTCAGGTGGCCCTTGATTAAAAACATACAAAGTAAAACTTTAACACTTAAAATTTAAATCCTATTTGCAATCTATGATGTGAATCAATGAAAGCATGCCTGCTTTTATTTGAAAAGTCTTCGAATTTTGAAGATATCATTTTTTCAAGTTTTTTTTGGGTTTTCGTATACCGTTTTTGTGTTTCGTGATAAAGATTTGTTAATATTGTTTCAAAAAATACTATTTCTTAACTACGATTAAAGTGTTTTTAACAATCAAACTATTATATTTTCATGCTGGTACTAAATTTATTTGCCAACTATATTATCGTTATTCTGGATGAAGTACCACACGCAACGTACATAGTTGATACGATTAAAGTGCTTGATATAAAAAGATACCATATTGTTTTTTCCTTTCTAACCTAAGAATGTATAAAATCTAAGAAAGTTACAGCTCATCTTTTGCTATTTCAACTTGCTGCTTACACAATCCTCCTCCGGCAACCCAGGCAATCATCCTCTTGCTCTACAATTTTATTGGTTGACTCTTCAAATTCGAACAGGAATAATGAGCTATGAAGAGGAAGCAGAGCTGATGCACTCTAGCCAATATGACGTCATGATCAGCTACCGCAGTTGGGATGCACGCTGGGTTGATTTATTGCAGGCATTCCTAGAGAGTAACGGCTATACAGTTTGGCGAGATCGGCGTATGGATGTGGGGGTCAATTGGAGTGAGGATATCACTAAGGCTGTTAGGCGCTCGGGTAATTGCACTTAATTAAGTTCTTACAGAATGAAGGGTTTTAGTTGGTTTCTACAAGATCAGCTGGCTAGCAATGCTTCTTAATATCAATATTGCACGATTGTCTGTAACAATCTAGCGAGAAAGAGGGAGGGAATACAGCCACAGCGTTGATGACCTCTAAAAGTAGTTGGATCTTGGCTTGTCAACTTTGAAGCCTGAACATTGTGCTGTTGCAACTACTTTTGGCTAGGATTGTATATTCTGATAAACCTTTTGATTCATGACTTATATTTTTACCCTGTGAGTTTGGTTTAAAAAATCCATCAATAGTTTGTTTTGATTTAATTCTAAGCTAAGCTTTCTATGTCATCAAGCTTTACCTGTTTGTTATTATTTCTAGGTTGCGTTTTGGCTGCCATATCTGAGAACTATTTAACATCTGTTCTATGCACGAAAGAAGTTCGTATGGCGAATGACATTTCCAAGCCAATCATTCCATTAGTGTTGCCGGACACTTGTCCGAAAGACAACCCTACCGAGAAGCTTGTGTCCAGTGCATACAAGGTTTGATTTTGTGATCATTTTGTTAGGCTTTGTCAGACAAACTTCAGTTTTTTTTAAATTTTACACAAAATGTTCTACAATGCCTGCCACAAATCTTGGAACACTGACATCAATTTTCATGGTCAAAATCAATCTTCCCCCTCTCCCCTACAGAACAATGTTGGTTTATTATCAAACGGGTTAGGATTTTAGGAAGCACTTTCTTTTGCGCTTCTTTTATGACATTTCTCTAAATGATCAACATTGTTTTAGGGGGAAGGGGGCGGAAGTAGCAATAGGAATGAAAGATATCAAATGCAGCGTAAATTGCTGGGTGTTCCAAGTACTTTTGGCAGGCATTGTAGTCTTAGACTTTTTTTATAATAGCTGATTAACCACGGTTGCAGCGATTTTATGTTGATGAGGCAGGATTTAGTTTTTCTTGATATGTTAATCCAAATCTTTTAGACTTGATTTTTCATAGACCAATAATATTTTCGGAAAATGATGGCATAAATAAAATCTCATTGATTAGCAAATGGCTAGCAGTTTGAAGAATATTTTCCAAATGCCTGATCATTAATGTCGCTGAAAAATTTGCAAATCGTCATTTAACAATTTTAAATTCATTTTTCCATCCTAATGTATAACTAGTTTTTAGTTTAATTAGTTCTTTTCTTTAGCAATAAACCTTTGTTTGTATATTTTGTTAGATAACTAAGGCATACATTTTTCCATTGTCGTATTCAGATGCCAACTTTGTGCTGGAAAAATGTTTCCTTTTTCTCAAAATTAAAACATTCCGGGGTCTCACTAACAATAGTATATAACCTTTATTTTAGTCCATATCAAACTCTTGTTGCAAAATAGTAAAATTAACACGTTTGGCAACGACACAAAATTAGTCATATGCTCAACAGTAAATCCTTTTAGAGTAAATTCCTCCTAAAAACTGCACCAATGCTTTAACCAATCTGCTGAATATTAGTGTGAACATTGCCAAAACTTTTTATTCAAATTTTAACGTTTTCTTGATTACAGCAAATCACACAAATTCTTTTTTAATAGCGAGTTTCTAACTCGTTTTTGGCTAGTTTATGTCAAATGGTGCTTTTCAAGTATTTAGTTTGCAGATATGGCAACTTGAATTGATTTGGAAGATTTCCTTAAGGTATTTTTTTCTGTTAAAGGATAAATACCTGCCTATAACCATTGCAACCGAGCTGGCCGATGTGAGTTGGATAGATTTCAGGCCGCTAGCAAATCTGCAAACTCCTGATCCAAAAGATGTTGAAAGCTTTGGAAAGAAATATGAGAGTTGTCTGCAATCGCTTCTAAGAATGCTGGAAGAGCTGATGAATCACAAAAGGGTTGTCAATTTGCAAGGTAAGTAAGACGTGACTTTTCTGTCATGATCAGTCAATAATCTTATTTCGCTCTTGCACTCGATGTAACAATTCATCAAATTTATTCAAAACGTTTAACCAAAATATATCAAAATATATCAATATTTATTCAAAATATATCCAGGCCTCTAAACATTTTGAATAAATTGGTGATACAAACAAAATATTTCCTCTCTCCTCTTTCTAGAAATAGTTTCTATTTATTCTTTTCGTTCATTTTGTATCTTCAAATTGTAGTTAATTTAGTTTTATATATTGAATGTAAATTACCACAGGGTTGCTATGTATTCCCATGCTCCCTGTGGTATCGTCTCGTAAATTTGTATGTTTTGTAAAACTTTTATGCGAATATAAAAAAAAATTCTTCAAATATTTTGTGCAATGGCAGCTATGGATCAAATTGATATATTTTTCTTGGACGTCTCTTTGTTCATCTTACGAAGTTATGAACGCTTATAATAAAATAATAAACCTTTAGTACTACAAATTATGGAAAGGTGCAACCATGATGCACAAACGTACTTTTGCTTCTTTCCAACTGTTTGAAGAAGAAGCACAACCCTACTACCAGCCCTACTAGCAAAATCAATTGGGGAAGGGCAAGAGTAAACAAAATTATATCGTGACGTCTTCGTTATTGGTTAAGCTTCAGGAGCTGCGTTATTGATAAAATTCAACTTCTTTGATGAGTCATTCAGAATAGATTACCGAGTTTTCACAGTATGTTAAAAATTGATATTTAGATGGATACTACTTTTCTTAATTTATTTTCCATTTTATTGTTCCTATTCCTGAGCTTACAGTCTTTTTGGATCTGTAATCTTAAACTGAAACGAAAAACATCGTAGGAGACTGGAATCTTGTTATTGGAAGTAATGAGAACGAAGAGAACTTGAAGTTGTCCATTTTGTCAACAATTGGCTCGGAAATTGAAGGTGTGATGACGTCATGCAAGGATGAGAAGGTTGATATAACACTGGACAAGGACGTGTCATTATGTAATGGTTCAAATATGCATTTTGTTGGAAAGTACAAAGGAAATGGAAAGTCACTAAGTTATACCTTCCACTGTAAAATCGCTGCTGATGGAAACTCTTTTGAAGGTTGGTTATTCTTCATGATCTGAATAACATTACTTTTAAATTCGTAATTATGAAGTTAGAATAGATACTTTTAAGGCGTGAATTTAAGGCGTGGTTCCAGGCACGTCAAGGCCTTTGTAATTGTAGTTGTCACTTAAACCAATATGTCATATTACTTAAGTCATAAAACATAATTATATGATGTCCTTTATAGACAGCAAGAATCATAAAAGCTATCTGTCTCTCTAAGCACCTATGTATAAAATTAAATTTTCTGTTTTGACATTAGTTATTAAGCAGTCATTCATGATGCTAAATTCTAACCAGGAAATCCTTGTCTTTTTAAGGGCTTTTTCATTGTGTTTTAATAGGTGTTTGCAGGATCCATAAAACCCCTTGGGAACATCCAGTTGGACAACCAATGAACCCACTTGTGTTGGGGCTAACCCACTACACAACAACAAATGACTGCGGGATCTACCCAGTGAAAGGCTCCCGAGATAAGCCACTAGGTGGAATCGAGTTCAAAGCCGTAGAACAAGAAGAGTTTATTCTCGACCTTGATAGAGCATATAATATTTTACAGAACGCTTTCAAAGATATCAAAAAGGAAGCGCTCGAGCAAAGCATAATTTCGTATAAAGAGGTAAGTGTTGCTATAGAAATACCAGTTTGATATTCTGCAGCAGATAGTGACATTCATCAACGTCTTGTCAACGAGAAATCTTCTTTGCCGTATTTCTGCAGTGTTTATCTTTATCATTCAATTTTAAGGCGTTTGAGAAGTATGACGTTGATGGCAGCCACGAGCTGGATATGAATGAGTTGGAGCTTGCCTTAAGAGTTGCAAACATGAATTGCTCGAAAGGTAAGCATTATCTGGTCATCTTAAATCATTTTTTGTTTTTATCACTCAGCATACCCCTCATAATGGCGGCAATACATTTTCGATAGTCGCTATGACCTTTTTGTTGGGGAGACAAACGAGCTTATGGTGAGACAACCCTCCGTCCTGGAATCAAGGATCATGCGTAATAATGACTTCATTTTGACTCCAGGACGGATGGTTACCTCGCTCATTCAAAGACTTTCTCTTGTACGTCTCCAAAACAACTTTAGTATTAAATATCACTCTTGTTAACTTATAACTAGTCTACGGCTAGTAGTAAGCATGTTGGCCCGGGGAATAGGCCAATTTATTACAAATGTATGTCTGACGAAAAAGTTGTTCTTTGTCTTTACTGATAACATTCTTTTTTTTTGGCTGCAAACCAGAATAATTTTCATGATATCGTCTGTGATCCTATTTAGCTGAGAAAGTAACAATCATGAAAGAGCTAGATCAGGATGACTCTGGGACGGTTGATTTCTACGAGTTCTTGGAATTCATTGCCAAGTTAAGGGAGTCAAAAGGGAAAAGAAATACGGCCGCAGCACAGGTTGTTAAAAAAGGCTTCGTCACCAAAGTGTGTGTCATTCAGTAGACAACGGCAAGATGGCCCTCGCGTTAACTTCATCTATAGGAGCTTTATTCTATGTAAAATGTTTAGTAATGATATATCCCGTAGTTATTTACTTGAGCCCTCCAGTATGCAATATTTGAAATGCAATACTTGAGCCCTCCAGTACAATTTGAACCCTGCAGCCTGTTTAGATAAGGTTTGTAAACTCGCTATAAAAAACGAGTTCTTGACAATCAAAAAGAATCGAGAAACTTAATTACTCGAAGCTTACTCGAAACTTAATTACCCGCTTTTTAACCGTAATGAACTACCCACAACCTATTTTTATGTTCAATAAATCATATGCAGCCAGCATTGTCTAAAGGCTGCTGTAAGCAAGCATTGCATCTAAACTCACAGTGTTCTAGATTCCAATGCAACCTCTCTTTGACACCTAGCCTCCTTTTTGTTCTCCAATTGCTTTACCCAGCTTGATTCAAAATTTGCGAGAAAGAATGGAGCTATGATTATTCATCCCTAACTTTTGAATTTCCTTATTATATTTTTCGGTTAGAAGAAGATTTTTAAATCTTTAGCCTTTATGTCATATTTTTTTATGTTTTTCATATTTAATTGTTGCCTTGCTCAAAATGAATGAGATGATATTTATAAAAATGAGTGAAATATTATCTAATAAAATTAATGGAATAATATTTTTAATGCCACGATGTATCAATCATTGTGTTTTTAATTTTGACACAATATCAGGGCACTGATATTAAAGTTGAATCCCGTTTACTCGTAGCCTTGTTAACTCGGACTTTTGCTAAATCGTGCTGATTTCAAATTCCCATTGGATATTCCTATCCTGTTTAAGTCAAAAATCATAAATCGGATCAGTCGGACATCCACTAAGTCAGACCATTTTCTTAGCCCCCTTGAAGGTCCAGCTTAACGGGATTCACTTAATCTAGACGAAATTACAAGTAAAATATGAATATACACATGCATATTCTCGTTTATCACGAAGTGGTTTTCTTCATTTATACATTTTTAGTAACTAAACATTTTTAACAACATCACGTACGATCCTTCAGCACCTGGAAACGCTATTTATTAGTAATACTGTATCTACCTAGTTATGACAGGTTATATTGTAACATCAAACTAACAGATGATAAGAACGTTTTTGCATTGATTTGTTCGTCTTTTCTTGCCTATTAGTTACCATTAAACAACATGGCGATACAGCATCAGCTCTATCGTTTTTTACCATTGCAACATTAATAGCAGCCCTTGGACCGTTTTTCAATGCTAGCTTACCGTTATTTGTAACAGTCACAACTTCAAAGAGCTCTGTTGAAATTGTACAAACTGAAACTCAGAACATGCTAAAGCACAGAACATGTTGAAACCGTACACCACCCAAGTGTGTGGACAGACTACTTGAATTTTCACAGCGATTTCCTTAACAATGTTATGATATTTTATTCTTTCAGGACAATTTAGAAGGGCATCAGAACCTTACGTAAACAAAATCAAAGTACCTCGTGTCTTAAGCAGTGTTTCAACTTTCTTTGCTTCGAATGTCCTTAAAGCAGCTAGCGTTTGTGCCTTGTTTTAAATTTTAAATCCCCCTTCCTACATTTTGCTTTTCAATTTTACTTTCCCCTTTACCTAAAAAGATGTTAATTGTTTAATTCATAATTATATGTACATGAAACACATGTCATATATTAGCATCCACATTCTTTGGTGCGTTAGCATTGCTTCAAGGTAGAGACAGATGTTGCTGAATAAAATATTTGGCAGTGATGGTGACAGATAGAATTGCATCCCTGGAAAGAATCTTTGTCATTTACTGTTTCATTGTTTAGCCGATTCCTTTGCAAATCTTGCAGGCAAAGTATCTAAATATATAATGCAAGGACAATTTAATGCCATACAGTAAAAGCCGCATGTAAGAGCCAAGGGATTTAAGAACCTTCTGGCAGAAATTTGCTTTGTTAATACTCCAAAATTTATTAGGAACCTGTTTAGCCAAACAATTTCCAACAGGTTATTATTTGTGGGGTTTCACCCTTTTATATATTTTTTTACCAAAAACCAAAAAAGTGACAGAAAATTGAATTGCTAAAATAAAACTCACATATGATAAAATTAAATAAATGCACAACGTATGTTAAATTATGAAACTATAAATTATTGTGAAACAGTTATTGCTAAAGTATTTTAGATACAGTACTGTATAACTGATCAATGGCTGGTGGACTTTGCTACACTGTTAAACATTTAAAATGACGAATAGACTAGCTTAATGCTGTTTTCTGATAATCAACAACAATATCTACACTGTAGAAATTAAGCACCTAATTATGAACCTATTTAGTCTAAACTGTCATTAAATACCCCATAATGCAAGAACACGTTTTTTCCAAACTCTGAAAAAGGAGGTTCTTACACGCGGGTTTTTACTGTGGTTTTTATACAATTCGATGATGTTTAAAAGGATTTTTGTCATTTGCAAACCACAGCATCGTAATACGAAATATTGCCTATGAGAACGCTTTGGTTTTGGACTTTAATTAACTCTACGATTTGTGTATAAATACATATAGAATATCCTATTATTTTTAGAAATCAGTATGGCCTCTTTGCACGAAGTCGTGTGACTAACCTCAAAGGAGCTCTTTTGCTGCCAAACCTTTATTCAAATGTTTATTGAAACTTTCGATTTTACCCTCTTTACAAGCTCTCTTGTTCAAGGAGTTGTTGCAAATGATTTTGTGTTTGTTTGATCAGGTTTCCGTGGAGCGCTGATAACCGAGAGTGGGTACGTGGTCACACAACATGCACTTTGGTATCCTTTTAATATTTCTAGTCTTGTTCTTCATTTATGTAAATATTAATTTTATTTGTGGGAAGCATCGCAACGTGGCTTTCAAGTATACCATCAACGAATTGATTATAAAAGAAGATGATGAATGAGGTGGTCACTTCTTCGTCTTCAGTCACTGGTTGCGAGACATGAATTCTCTATCAGTTCTCGGGTTGCTCTTAGGCTTGGTCACTTACTCGGCCGCCTACTACAGAGTGTGTTACTTCACAAACTGGGCACAGTACAGACCAGGAGAAGGCCGCTACAAGCCACACAATGTCGACCCTTTTCTCTGCACCCATTTGATGTATTCTTTTGCCAAGCTCCACAATGGTAAAATTGCTATGTACGAGTGGAACGACGACAAACTGTACGCTCAGGTACAGGACCTTAAGAAAGCCAATCCTGCTTTGAAAACACTCCTCGCCATTGGTGGATGGAACCACGAGAATGGTCACATGAGGTTTGTTGATTCCATTGGTTTCTAGTTCTACTATTCAAAGATGCTGGTCTATCAGACCTCTAAGTTAATGGTTAACTGATCTTCTCTTGAATTCGCCTATCAATGTTTGCTCCATGACAAATCAAAATAAATGTTTCACTGTCAAAAGCCTACTAAAACTAAAATGTAATATTCCTTTACGTAGCTGTTCAGGTAAGCTTTAACGATACTTGCTTCCTACAAATCTAAGTACTATTTTTTTGAAATTTTCAGCAAATTTTCACAAATGGTTGCTACAGCAGAGAAACGAAAGATTTTCATCGACTCGTCGATTGCTCACTTGAGACAATGGGGCTTCGATGGTCTCGATTTGGATTGGGAATACCCTGCAAACCGAGGAAACTCTCCACCTGGGGACAAGCAGAAATTCACTCTCCTCTGTCAAGAACTACGGTCAGCATTCGAGAAAGAGGCTGCTTCTTCTGGGAAAGACAGACTACTCCTTACTGCTGCAGTTTCTGCTGGCAAGCCAACCATAGACACTGCTTACGAGGTAATAAAGTATAAGGAATCTAGCGCCCAGACTCTTAGCGTCGACATTAGGAATCGCTTTGACCATTTTAACGATCCGCATCAGGGAGCAGTTCATTTATCGGATTCACCTGTGTCTTCTACTTTAAGGCACTATGTCCCGTCAGTCAACCGTTCAGAGTTAAAAATAGGCTTTGTACTCGTAGTGTTTGTGATCGATACAGTAGATATATTGTATAATCCAACCAATGGGAAATTTAATTTGCCAGCAAAAGTGCGTCGGGACGTAGTGTCTTTAAGCGCATTATCTTTGTTCCGGTGAGCTTAACTTATTAATGCAAACCACCCGTGTCTTTCTTCTCAAAATTTTCTTCACAGCTTTCCTTTTTTCACAACATTCTAGAATGTTATCTTCTAAATGTGTTCCTTTTATCTCCCATATTTCTTCCATGCTATAGTTTCTGCCCTCACTGTTAATCCGATGATTGGATACTGCCCTGTTTTTCTTCTGTTTAAAAGTATTGTTAAAAGTATTCATTGTCGAAGAATCGACATAATTAAGGTCAAGAGTTCTCAAAGAGATTGATCAAAGCTATTAATTATCAAGTACTGAAAACAAAGCATATATTCCTTTTGAAAATAATGAATTACCCCTGCGGTAATTATATAAAATGAAGTCCTCGATCTTAAGACATACTTTGCAGGTTGACAAGATCTCGCAATCATTGGACTGGATAAACATAATGGCTTATGATCTTCATGGCATCTGGGATAAGAAGACTGGGCACCACACTGCCTTGTTTGGTGACGACAAACTCACAGTCACATTTGCAGTTGACTACTGGATGAAACTCGGTGCTCCTGCAAAGAAGCTTGCTCTTGGTCTTGGTACATATGGAAGGGCTTTTACTCTTGCGAACCAAAACAACAATGGCCTTGGTGCACTTTCAAGACAAGCTGGTCGCAGGGGCCAGTTTACACGAGAAGCTGGTTTCCTGGCTTACTACGAAATCTGTCAGATGGGACTTACAATGGTAAAAGACAATCCTTCGGGTTCACCATATGGCTACAAGGGCGACCAGTGGGTTGGATTTGATACGCGAGAGAGTCTCATGGACAAAGTTGCAATTATCAAGGGCAAAGGACTTCTTGGGGCTATGTTTTGGGCCTACGACTTGGATGACTTCAGCGGTAAGTTCTGTGGACAAGGCCCGTATCCATTAATGAACGCAGTTAAGAAGGCTCTAGAGAGCGATGTCGTACCCACTTTCCCACCAGAGCCAACCCGGGGTCCAACTGACGCACCAGTAGTCACTGATGGTCCTGTGGTTACTGATGGCCCAGTCGTTACTGATGGACCACAGCCAACAAACCCACCAAATCCAAACGGTGTTTGCAGAGCCAAAGGAGCTTGGGCTGGAAATGCTGGAATGGATGCATGGTGTGCAGCCAATTGCGCCAGAGGAAACTGTCCTTCTACCCACTGTACTTGCGAATAGATATTTAGCATTATCTGACATGTAAAAGAAAATAAATCCACGGGAAACGTTAGAGTGTTGTCTTTTTACAAAAAAATCCTCCTCATTTCTTCTCCAAAAGTTGTTTACAGATAATCTAAAGAAACAAGAGCAAAGGGTCTTGTGCAGACATCGGCGGTCAAAAGAAATTAGAACATAGATCACATAAAGGGGAGTTACTTCTTTTTGCGCACCTCAGTGATACCGCCAAAAACACATTGATATTGAGTAAGCCATTTTAGTTTCTGTTGATTAACTTTAAGTCAAAAAAGCAATATCACCTAAGTTGGACCTAGCATAGACCGTTTTCCTAACATAAAAAGACGCGAAACAATCTAAATATTTAAGGCTTTTGCTGGAAGTGAAGGGGAGAAAGGTAATGGCTTACTCTACGCAATTATGTATGATTAAAACTATAATCACAACTGATTTACCTCATTGAGATCCATGTAAGTTCAGATTTAGAATTAAATACAGTGTTTACAGCTTTAAGTATTTGTGAAACAAAATTAAGATATCAAGTCTTACAACTAGACTGTCACAATCTTGATTGATAGTACGAGTAAGGTTATTGTTTAAATTTCTACAACGCAGCAGAGATTGACCGCAAGCCTAACCACTAAATAGCCATAAACTGAAAGACAATGTTTGGCAAGAGTGGGGCAACGATACCAATCTTTTTTTTGATCTACCCTTGAAATGTAAAAAGATGCTTCTAGTCAATGATTCCCTTTATCAATCTTCCTTTTCAATCCTTCTACAAGTTAGTTCCGTTGGCATTTGAAATGTTCTTTTGGAAAAACGATTTTTCTGCATGCAGCAAACACTTGGAAATTTCGTTGAAATCTCCTGTTTTCTTCTTTTCTGTCTCTTCTGTGAGTTGTGAAAGGACTCTCCACTTGGCAAACAATTTAGCTCTGGCAGCTTCCCAATTGACTTTTGGATTCCATTATCCATTTTGTTTTGTCTTTCGTTTCTTCCCCTACCTAAACACAATTCCCCTGAATTATAAATTACAATCTTCGGTAAACCTTGCTCTTTATCTCCTGCATAGCTAACCGTTTTCTTGTTACATTTGGCCCATCCATTCTTTTCGTACAAGAGTTCTTTTCTTCGCATCTTCTTCGTTTCCTTTTCAAACCATTCAGCATCAAACTGCGTATATGACAAACCCCCACAAACTGTCTTAAAAACATTTCCAAACTTGTCGTAAACCGCCATCCCTGAGCAATAGCCTCCTCCCCGATATATTTTTCTCGGCGTGTTATTTTCCAGAAATGGCAATTTAAAAGTGGCTCTTTTTCCTTGTAAAACTTCACCGGGGATTTGCATCTGTTTAACTTGCTGATTTATAGACATTTGTTTTTGCATATCGAGAAAGTAGGTCTTGGCTGTCGACTTTGTAATCGGATACCAATACATTAGTGTTAGCGCTTCGCTCTCAACTTTTCGTACTGCATGTCTGCTGCGCCCACGTTTTGAAATAACCCTCTCTGGCAACTTACGGCTATGATATAAATTCTTCTTTAGGTTTCCCATCGGTCCGTAGTGTGGTAAAAGAACCTTCCAATTTAAGAGGACTGTGTTACTTTGGTTTTCCTGTTGTTAGGACATTCTCAAACTACCATGACCAAGTATCAATATTAGTAATAACCTATAAATTATTAAAACAGTTTCATCTTTAAATCAGAGTAAAAAGAAAGGACATTTAAGTCGCATTATTTTCATCCAACCTTTTTCCAGATAGCATTAATCTTACATTCACAAAATATGGTTTGTGGCCAAGCCTTGATGGAATTTATTTTCAAAACAAGGGTAATACAAAATACGGCGAATATTTTGGTTGACCATGAGACACACCAAATAATTAATCCTTCGGTTTAGGAGCTGCTAAGTTCGTATTCATTACCCTGGAAAACTGTGTTCAAACCAAGATTCCCTTGTGAAGAAAAATGCCAAAACCATATTATTTTTAAATCTGTTTCCACATCAATAATCAATTTTGACTACACACAATACAAGAGAGGTGCATTTATTAGATAGTTGTACATGTAATAAAAGTTCACGAAATCTGAATGATTAAGCATGCGATATTTGAGGCAAACTTTATTCTACATTCGTTTTTTGAAATAATCTTCATGGCATATTACATTTTAGATGTTCAATGTATATGGAGTAATGGAACATAGGTGTCCATGTTGTAGGCATTAAGTTCACTAGGGCTGATTTTTGTTCATAAAAAAGACAGGCACAGAACCATTTTATTAATACCCCATAATACCTACCACTACTGTACCTATTCGATAGGAAATGTGCCAGTACTTGGCTTGGTATTTGCTTCTTGAATTAGGGGTCAGTTGCCCCAAACAAAATGAGACTCAAAAAACTCAATTTAAAAATAAGATGTTTGATAGAAGGGAATGGAAAAAGCGAAGTCTACACATGGCCAAATCGAAATGTATATATTCTCAGCCTAAATTCACTAAGCACTCAACATATACATAACACATTGATACAACTAAACGTATATGATTGCCGTCATAGCCTGATTCTCACATTGACCAGCTTCATTGCTACTCAGCTAGAATTATTCAAATTCTGCTGGTTGAATGAACCTTGTAATTGCTCTAATGTAGTCAATTTCTAAATGAAATGGTCCATTTTTCTTGTCACTTATTGAAAATCCAAATGATCTAATTTTATCAAACCGAATCTGGTTGTCTTGTAAGAATCCTTGGTTAGTTAGAATGAACTTGCTGTAGGGTATCTAAAAAAGAATGATGTTTATGTTAGCATCTTCAACAATCCATCAAAAACAATGTCTAGGTTAAATTGCTGGAATCCCAGACCGCATATAGTTTATAATTTTTGGGTCAGCAGTAATTGAATTCCAGAATGGACATTTGAGTGAAAATTCAAATGAGAGGAAACTAGCATGGGAACCCTGAGAAAGATGGCAAGAAGGGCCATGAATACTACAACTTTTAGTAAAATGTGATTTTATTTAGTTGCTGAATAAGGACTTAATTAAAAACAACTTTGATTGATTAAAAATTAGTCAAAAATGAACAATGAAGTTTATATATAAAGTAACTTCTTTCTTTCAAAAGTACCCCCATCTTAAGATAAACAGCCCTTGAAGAAAACAGCTTTGAAAATTGAATGAAGCATAAATATTTAAAAAAGAGTATCGCTACATACCCTTACAATTTCCCAATTTGGACCTCCTCTTGTAAAGATAAAAGCTTGATAAAGATCATCTGGACTATTGCCTTCTGGATGAATGTTGAAAAAGTATGTTCTCCCATCACCCCTAACTCTTAATTCAAGTGTATCAAATTGGTCCAGGTCATGGGGGACAACTTTTTCCAAAAAACCCTGTGAAAAGAAATTGCATCATCAATGAAGCTTATTCAACAAAGTAACAAAAATAAAGAGACTACAGAAACATTGTCAAAACCTTTTTCTACAACAAATATCAAGAAACAAGACAAAGAATAAATTAAAAAACTCAATTAATCCAAGTTATATTCCTTTTGAAGTATATGAGCTTGTCTTTGTGGAATTTTTCATTCAAACAATTAATCATTTAATGATTTACATGCAGATTATGCAGCATTATACAACCAAATGTAAAATGCAATTATATTTCCCACTTTGAACTGAAAATCAGACAAAAACAAAAATAAAGTGCAAGATGCACATATCAGATGATTAATGTGTGTGCTTGATTAAAATGTGAAATTTTTTGACATGCTGATAAACACCTTGAAAAGTTCAGGCATACAATGATGTGCGATCTTTGTAATCTACACCTTACAAAATTTTATGAAGACATCTTAAGTATAATAGTTGCTCTTGTCAAAATGCTAGAGGGGTATATCATCACTGAAAATGGGTATGAGGTTTTTATAAACTCAAGAAATTTTACAGATTTTTTTAAGAAAGAAGTTTCTTGTGGACAAAAATTATTTAACAAAAATATCAAGATAATGCACACAGAAGAAATTAAAAAATTATTTAGCAAAAATTGAAAAGAAATTAAAAGAAACAAAAGATAAAAAAGAAAAGTCAGTCAAAATGTGGTGCTTAATGTGTGATTAAAAGCACCCCTAGGGAGCTGTACGGTAAATCTTCAAATTGATCACTCCCTGAAAAAGCTCCCACTCTAGAACTACAAACTGTCAATGAGCCCCCCCTTGAATAATCCCCAACTGCTACCCTAAATTCTCGAATTGGACCCCTCAATTTGATGATTTTTGCCATCTGAGGTTGCCTTTGGCGTTTCATTAATTCTTTTAGTAATTAATTAAATGCTCATAAAGAAAATCCTACTAAAATAAATGCGAGGTCTTTTAATAATGTCTTCTTGATGTCTACAATAATTTTATAAGACCCCCCCTCATATAAGCCCCTCCCTCGAATAAGCCCCCATCCAAAACTATCAAAAATTAATAGGCCTCCAGGGGGCTAATTTGAGGATTTACAGTATGTGTGTGTGGAAGCATGCCGCCATGACACCATGCCTAAAATCACCAAAATGGATACATTTCCAAGAAACTGGAAAATGTAACAAACAAATTAAACAATGGTACAAGTGAACTGGTCAATGCCATTGAACATCTCAAGTCTTTAATTTTCAATTTTGTGTTGTATATGACATTTTTTAAGCTTTTATTAAGTTTTAGGGGGTTTTCTCACATTCTCTAGAAAAAATACTTTAATATCATAGAAAAAATACTTCTTGCTGTAAGTGTTCCTTGGATATGATGTCATTTATTCTAACATTCTGGGTCCCCTGTTAAGAGGAGTTTAACAACAGTATCTTGTATGGGAGATCTTTCACAGCTACACACAAAATATAATTGTCAATGTTTCTGTTGTTTTCAAAGAATTGTGACATTTCCAACCAGACAGCCAGACAGTCCAAAAAAATTTTATGGGGTTTTTCATGCTAATCATATAGGGGATTTCACTCAATTTCTGAGCTCTTGCCTTTTTAAAATTCAATTTTTTCCTATACTCTTTTACTTTATTTTTTTCCAATCGCCCAATACTCGCTTCTTATACTGCGAGTTACTTTTAAAAAATGAGCGTAGGGCCTATTGAAAAAACAAAAACCGAGACTTGGAACCTTGTCTGGTATAGATTTTATTGCGCAAAATCCAGAATATTTGGTATCTTCATCTCCTGGCAATGATGTAGACAATTCTCCTCTAAATACGCAGTGTCCATGTTGGCTTTTCTCAAATAAGCTCAGTGATTTACCACCAAAATCTTTGTCACTGACTGTCAACCATTTCTCATTTGCTCTTTCGTCCTTAAAGTCATACAGAAATCGATCCAGATTTAACTGAAAGAGTTCGCCATTTAATCCCTTAATACTGCGGGATACACCATTTTGTAGGTAGGTTGCAAATTCAGAAGCAAGCCTATTCAACGCTTTCCTGGCCATGTTTTAACAAAATATCAGATCTGACTTTCTACGCCATCTTTAACCCACATCGAAAAAGAGGCTCATCCTTCCCCAGGCTTTGGGACCCTCTGATCTCTATATAACAAAGAATTTTGATGGAGGCAAGCGCAGTAGAGGATTCAAGGGGGCAACTAGGGGCAGTTGCCCCTCTCTCACCGAGTTGAAACAAGTCTGGTGCCTGGAAAATGGATCATGTTTTGCTAGAAAAGTCACGTATTGGAGCACAACAACTGTCATCAATAAAGCTGTGCTCTTTCAAATTCTTACCTTCATTCAAACAGTGCTCATTTTCTTGCGCTTAAATTTGTCCAATCTCCAAGGCATAATCAAACCAGATAGAACTTTGAAGCATATTTGCGATGGAATGTTTGTCTGTTGTGCCCAAAATCTTTGGTTCTCAGTTGATGTTGTAAATATCCCATACCCATGTTAAGAATGTCATAGTTGCAAAACTTCTCTTGATGTCATAGTTGGAAAACTTCCCTAGAATGTCATAGTTGCAAAACTCTTTCTTCCGCCAATCATATTGGCCGCCTTCATCAAACCCTGAACAATCAATCTTACCTTTTGCAAAAATGCCGTACTATTGAATTTGAGGCGCATTCCCTAAAGTACTGCCTAACTATACAATCATACTCCAATTTAAAATAAAACCAAAAGCGGTAAATTTTCTGGCCCCCTTAAAAACCGATTTCCCGTTAAGGAAAAAATATTCAAGTCTGCCCTTTTTGCAGAGTACTCTAGCAGAGTTTGAGGTATCATACATAGCGGAGCAGCAAATGTTCAGCCGAGAATTTTGTTAGAAATTTTAATAAGAGGAACTTTAGTCATGCTCAGACTATATATGATATTTTTGACACAATCATTTTTAAATTTCCTTCGAAAGTGAATAGAGAGCCATCTGTGAGTAGTTAGGGTCTGAAATTGTTTTATACAACGTACTCTCGTCACCAATTTCTGAAAATTTTTCAGCGCCCCCACTACCAACTGCCCCTTCTTCAAATTTGCTCTGGATCCGCCCCTGGGCAAGAGCGAGTAAGCAAGAGGAAAATCCTTTTAAACGGTCCACACCCTTTTAAACGCCAGAAAATGCCCTTTTTAAAGATACTTTTTACCATTTAGGACGTCGATTTGGGGCCTCTTGCCCCCCCCCCTCTTGCAGTGCCATTGCAGATCAGATGCCATGACAAAGCCGTGGAGGATTGGAAACGGCAGTCAGATACAGGGGATCAGTTAACGACGCAGTTGCTAATTACATCAGTAGGCAAAGGCCCATCTATCGTACCACAGAAGAATACGGAAAGCTTCAAGGCAAAATTTGAAACATTCATTTTCATGGTCTATTTTGGTTCGAATTGTACAACTCCTACTTTTCGCAATAGTTGGAAATACTGGATACTAAAAATCTGGTAGTTAAGTACATTTTTTCCATGGATCTTTCCAAAAGATGAAACTTTTAGGGACAACTCTTGGGAAAATATGCCTGCAATGTTCATTAGCCTGCGTCACAGACCATCACCACCAAGGAGGTTAGTCTGTGATGCTGACTAGATTTCATATTAACCAAATGACCAGGCTATAAATACCCCCCCCCCCCTCATGAGCTACTGCTTCGCTCCTGCCTCCTTTTACGGACCTCACTCTGTTGTGGCGTTCGTAATAAGGCCCCCTTCATTCGTCTCCAACTAATTGTCCAATAAAGTCAATTTGTTTCAGAAGCAAGAATTTCAGTACCCTTGGGTGCCAGAGCCTCCATTCTCCTTCGCAATTCCTTCCACCGTTCTTCATCCTTTGACTCTCTGAGGCTCTGGCACCCAGGGTAGAATTTCAGTTGCTTGTCAAATTAAAGTATATCCTTGATTTCAGTTAGCCTCTTTTTTTGACATGCATTAGATCTCTGCGATGAATTTTCTTTTAGTGCAGCGAAATTTATGACAGACCGGTAAACAGTAATTTTCATTATTTACAACTATTTTTCCTTTGGTAATGTTTTTTTCTGGTCTTTAATGACAAACCTATGTCATTACTCACAGTGCTTGGTAGAGGGGATATTGCATTTAAAACAGAGATTTTTGTGGAATAAAAGCCTGTCTCATGTTAGTTGCAATGTAGAAAAATATAGAAGAAGGAGCATAGCGTGTTTTAGATGACTACGAGTTTGCTCAACTCAAACAAGAGGCAATGCAGGAGAAAATACCCATTATTTTCGATACCTGTATTGCATGTGCAGATGGACCAGAGTCAGAAAATACATCATATCATTAAACAAGATAAAACACCTAGAAAATGAACAAAAAAGGTTGGTTAACAGTCAAACTGCTTTTACATAGGAGTAAACTATCCAAAGTTGCGTTAGAGTAAACCTTCCAGAAAATTAGAAGTAACAACATTATTTTCTTTGCTTTCTAGAAACTGCCTAGACTTTGGAAAACAATCCAAAGCGAATGGGAATAATTCAAATCCAAAGGTTTTAATTTCACGAGTACAGTCATGTAATTTTACATTGATATTGACATGTAAACATGCACAAGTCTAATATTGATTATTGACACCAATAATTGCGTGTATAATTATCGATTGCTTTCGAGAGTGCGTATATATGCTAGTAGGAGTGGCTTAATAAATTAAGATTCGTGGCTGAGAACTTTGTGTGTCGGTAATATGGGCTCAACTAACCATCAGACGTATAACCAAGCGTTAAGAGGGTGATCACATTTCTTGCAATGGCCAATTGACAATAAAGGAGCTAAGCTACTGGGTGCAATTTGACGAATGTTCTGTGTTTCTGTTTTTGGCCATACAAAACTAGTACGAAAATATCTTGTATCATTGTGTGCATTTAAAGAGAACATCAAAATTGCCACTATTTTCAATTCACAATGACAACTGCAATAGAATTATGTTTTTGTTAAAGCATGATACTGCCTTGATTAATATGAAAATCTATTAATATGATTGATTTGTAAATGTTTCAAGTGATTGATTAAGCAAAAGAAGACAGTATTTTACCCAAAAATCTAATTACACGAAAATTCTAAATGATGTGTAGTAGTGCCCCCCGTCCGTTATTCCTGTACAACCCTTGCTTGCTGTACCTTATATTGCTTTTATTCTCAGACAGTTGTTGTAACGAAAACTCAATATCACAATCCTGGAATTATCATTTATTGCAAAAACACCCAACCCCCTGCCTCCCAATATCAATGTTGATGCTGATCTTTTAGGTTTTCTGGCTTCCACAATCAACTGCCATTACCCAACACCAACATTGACATTGGGGAGAGGGGGGGTAGGGGCATACAACTGATTTTTAGGGCAATTACGCAGAAAATCACTTATAAAAGAATTGTCTTGTAACCTTTTGTCCAGGATTGCAGTCTGGTCTGTCTATGGTATCTTACAAATGTCCAAAAATATTAACAAAGGGGCTACAATACGTTCATTAGCAATAAATAAAACGCGAATTTCTCATCTAAAGCTAAGGATGTTCTAGCCTTGTTCTTATTTTATTGGGCAAATCGAGCCCCAGTGTTCTCATAAAATGTGTTCTTATAAAAAAAAGATTTCAATTTTTCTATGACGTCCTCAGCAAAATCTTTTGCATCTGATTTGTTAATATTGTGCCATTTTCACTTGTTATGATAAATCAAAATATATTGTATAGCACTATTCTAATCTTAAAATCCTTATATTAAAATTAACTTGCTAAAATCAAATGGTAAAATGGTTTAATGAAAAATAAAGCTTTTTCCGAAGTCGCTTGATTTTTTTAAATCAAGAAAAGCCCCTTCGAATAAGCGCCCGTTTGAAAAGTTCACATAGCCGTTATTTCCTTTCATTCATTCCAAAATCATTGCGTCAATCGTGGATGACTGAAGCAAATAAATTTCAAGAACAATCTCTAGTTCCCCTAATGATTACGTATGTTTAGAGTATTTCTCATCCGTGATTGACGTCAAAATGGCCGTGTTTCGACAAAAACGGCATCGCATGCAGTAAATTGATCGCCCCTGTTTATTTGTTTGTTTGTCTGCTGCATTCATCGTTGCCTCGGTCTCAGCATGTTGCCGTCTGTTTCTGACGCAGACAAGGAAGCCACTCAGACAATAGACCATAACAAAGGAAAAGACAATACATCTTCCTCATAGAAAGCCAAGCCCACTGAATAGAAAGAGCCTCTCTCTATTCTGTGCCAAGCCCATGCTTCCCTATAAAAAACGCCACGGTAATCGCTCCTATCAGAGACAGACAAGCCAAGCGAAGGTGAAGAGTAAGAGAAAGAAAGCAAAGAAATTCTAAGCACCGAATATCATCATTCAACGAAAGAAGTACAGAAAATAAAATTGAAGGTATGTTCAATTAACTTCATTCCGAATTCTGATAGTTTGCTTTTCAAACAGATATAGAATTTTCAAATGGTTTTATTAATTTTATTTTTGCTCTTTACTTGCAGATGTCTAAATTCTGGCCTATGATGAAGATGGGAGTGGTGGAAGACTTTTCAGGTTTATCATCGATGGAGAAAGAAAAAGTGAAAAGGTGTGTTGGTTAATGAGAATTCCTATTATGCAACATTACATTTGGAAGATATGTAGTGATAAGTTGAATATGTTATATTCCATGAAGTTTTAACCTGAAAATGTTGACTTTTAGAATGTTAGATTGAAGGTTTAGAATGTTAAATTAAGTTGTTAATTGGATCCTGTGAGTTTTACACCATAAGTATTTATCGGGTGAAAGGGATAAGAATTTAGCGGGAAAAGCATTCATAGGCAACTTATGATCAAAGTTGATTAAACTCTCATAAATTGCTTGATAAGTACAAATAAGTTACAATTAACGTTTTACCTCTCCCTAAATTTTGAGTTTTTAATATGACTACCGCAGAATAAGCTTTACTTCAGTTTTCATTTTCGATTGCACCATGTTCTGGTAGTCTCTAAATGAGCAGTGGTGTGCGACGAAGGCTAGATGTTTGGTGCTTCTTACGTCTTTCACTGTATGTTTGGGCGGGAACACTCCCCACCCCCCCCCATTCATTTCCGAAAATTTTCTGCATACGGCCTTGCGCGCCTCTACGGCTTAACTATTTCATCGCTGAGATCATTATGTTGTCAAACAAAGGTATAAAGGTTAATGTCTAATTTTCTTATTATCAATATTTCTTTAGACTGCTGCCATCCACAAAGTCACTAGATAAAATGTGATATGATAAGGTTGGGATTAAATGGAGGGGGTTTCAAAAATTTACACTGACATTAGTAAATCTGTTCAAGAACCACAAAGACAACAATATTGAACCGTAAGTAACGTCCGTTGAGACGAAAATAGATTTCAAGAATTGATAAACGGAGGAGAGGGTCCCTTCAGTTTTCGACCTCGGCGTATGCCTTCGTTTGATACAAATTAAAAATTTTCTACTCGGCAACCTAGCACTAAACACCCCCTGAAGAACTTTTTTCGCGCTGCCCCTGACAATATGTTTGGGTACCTCTTATTATGTCTATTTCTGTGTGTTTGCTTACAAGGTATCCCTCATTATGTCCCTCACAGTACACTTGGCTACCTCAGGACAGAACTTTTCACATTACCATTTCACTCTTCACTCTTCCTTAAAAAGTCTGACCGCTTTACTCTATGTCGTTATATTCACCTTCAAACATTTTCCAACAAAATAGCAGTTTAGCTTTACAGGGGGGAGGGAGGGTACATCCACTCTAACTCCCTCTATCTATGCCACTGAAGATATACCCTGGGTGCCAGGGCCTCAGAGAGTCAAAGGATGAAGAACAGGGATGGGGATTAGGAAGGAGAACGGAAGAGGAAAAAAAGGGAGTTCCTTTCCCCGCTCTTCATCCTTTGACTCTCTGAGGCTCTCGCACCCAGGGTACGGAAGATACTGCATGTCGTGATTGTGATTAATTGGCGGTTTCCTTTGCTGGATGGTCAATGTTCTGAATTTTGCTTGTTAGTTTATTAAATGCAAACATACTAATTATAAATTGATATTATAATGAGTGCTTAACAGAATCATTACAAAAACTAACAACATCTATAAACATATCTTAGTTACAAATGATTGCAAAAAGTCCCTTGAAATTAGTTGAGTTATTGGTCAGATCTTTTGATCGAAAAGTAATTTGATAGTGATAAAAATGTTCCATGGTTTGAATTGTTTGGCTCAAGTAAAGAGTGTCGCAGCGCTTTTTTGAAAAACTCAGCCCTCTTTTCATGGCATTGGTAATGATTTTTGGCGACACAATTGTTATACAACTAGTTTTGTCTGTCGTGCATCGTGTTTGTGGTTCGTTATTGTTAATGAGAATGTCTTCCGATGTTTGCGTCAGTCATTTTGTTTGTCATCGTGCCATCTCTATTTTAGTTGTTATTAGTCCATTTGCCGTTAATTTGTGTCATTAGGGTTTTGTGTGCGTCACTCATGTTGTTAAAAGCGTATGTTCTTTGAGTGCAAGTCCAGTCGAGTCGAAGTTGTCGTTGAAAGAAGTCGTTATGTTGTAATCGTTGGTTGCTACTAATTTATACATTCATTATTGAAGAATCTTGATTTAAAAAACGTTATTGCGAACTGGAGTCTGGTTTTCGATCTTTATCTGCCCTGTAAAACTTATTAGTTTTACACAATTCCAGTTCTTTTGTAATCTCTCCTGCATTCAGTTGCAATAGCGAAGCGTTGAGAAAGTTGGTGGCACTAAAAGTGAACTAAAAGGGGCTTTATTGATGGTTCTTCCCTTAATCAGGGTCTCCGACGAAAGGGGGGCCGGGGGGGGCCTTTCCCCCCACTTTTTTGCAAAACAATAGAGTTTTTTTCAAAATCTTTTGTTATGCGTGTTAAATTTTCCCTTGGCCCCCACACTTTTCAACCTTTGTCGGAGCCCATGTTAATATTTTGCTTTTTTGGCAAAAGTAGGTAGCAGCCTCCCTCCCTCCTCCTCCTGCTCCACGGTGCCTGAAATAGTCAGTTTACTTTAAAGATTTAAATGCCAATTTTGCTGAAAGACATTTAAGTCTCTGTTCTACTTTATTGGAAGCCATTGAAGTCTTACGATATCTTTTGTGCTATCTACAAAAAAGATGTCTAGATTCAAAGTTTATCATATATTACTATAATCCTCAAAGCGTCAATTTTATATGAATATATGAATCGTAGTCAAATCTTGATCAAACAAGATATTCTCCTGTGAGCTCTTTCTTGAAAAGAAATGGGACAAAATTCTTCATAGTATAAGCTAATGGCTCACCTGGTCACCCATTTTCATTGATCGTAAATAGCTACCTTCAACAGGTTGAATGTCTTTGTTCTTTCCATAATCATTACTTCGTTAAAAATTTCTAGCTTGATGTACTTTTTGTCGTGCCTCCTTGTTATTTCTTTTCTTGTCCGCGCCACGAGTTTGATTTTTTTAAGGAGCAGATAATTTTTGCCGAGGCTCTGTTTTTGTTTTTTGCTTAGTTTTAGGCTCAAGTGTATTTATCATTTTTCTTATTTAAGCGTTAATTTTATACATGTACTATCGGTTGCAGTGGTGGAGCCACGGGGGGGAATGGGGGGACCAGTCCCCCCCCCACTTTTTCCGAAAGTTGGTCCTCGAGATTCTCGCAAACCTGAGGAGAAAACGTTAGGGGGGGGGGGGTATGTACGTTATCTAGATCTTTACATTTAAATGACATTACTTGGGAGACAAAAGGTATTTTCTTCGGAAGAAAATTTTTCAAACAGGGGGAAGGGCGTGTTCCAAAGGGCGTGGTCTGTGACACCCCTTTTGTCCCTCCCCCACCACTTGTCCCAGCCTGGAGCCGCCACCGATCGGTTGTTTCTGAGACCACAAAACAATAGTTTCGTGGTCTCACGGTTAGTTAACACGGAAGAATATTTTCAAAGTACACTATTTTTTCCTCTATTTTTTATATCTGATACTGGGCATGTTCTTGCGATGTTCTTATTCTTGGGCAAAGTGACCCTCGGTGTTCTTATAGAAAAGTGTGTAAATGCAAGGTTTTTATTGCTGGTTCATGTCTCTCGCAGTATGTTTTGGTACTTTTTATGTCTCTTGCTGTTTGTTTGGCTCTCGTTTCTCGCACTATGTTTTGGTACTTCTTAGGGTGTTTCTTATTTTTTGTTTCTTACAGTAAGATAAGCATCTCCTATGTCTCTCACAGTATGTTTTGATGTTTGGGTACCCCCTGAATAGTGAGTCCGTTATAGCGACCCTATTTAGCAAGCCCAGCAACGATTTCTTCACTAATTAATTTGGCAGGGGACAGAAAAATTTGTTTTGGAGGGGCAGGGGAATGGTAAACTCTGCAATCATGTTGGCAATGCCCGAGTTCGAATAATAAATATGTTAATGATTCTAATGTCAAAGAGGGAGCCTGCAGAGGACTGGGGTGCAAGGTATTCCAACTTATAGTGGACGTAAGGAAATGCAAAATGCCCGAGTCCCTCGATTTTTCGAAAGAGAACTCTTCGGTCAGAAAATATCTCGCCAGGGGATGGTTTTCGTAGATATGGCCTAAATTAGAGTGCGGTTAGAGAACATTTAAACATTTAAGTGCGGTAATTAATATGGAATTGCTGTATTTACGCATATTGCCTAAAAAATTTAATGGCTAATGAATATCGAAGCAGAACAGCATGGTTAGGAGGTTATTGGACCCCCAAAAATGGAGCCACTATGTTTCTCACGGTGTGTTTTGGTACCTCTTATGTCTATCACTGTTCGTTCTTCATTTGTTGCCCACATTATGCTGTGGCACTTCTTTTGTCTCTCAGTAACATCAAATTGCAAGGTTCTTTTGGGCATTGATGGTATTTAACATAATCATATCTGGAGTTGTGCAAAGGCCCGTATGAACCCTTCCTAAATTAGTACCTCTAATATTTGTTCATGAAATTAGTTTTCAAGGCTTATTGCGATTAAAAAGACTGCAATACGTAGAAAAGATTAAATCAATTTCGCGGCATTGCAGCATCATAATGAAATTGCAGGAGGCAAAGAGGCGACATCAGATTTAAGCTTTTAACTGTTCTTTTTTCAGGACTGTTGATGTTTACAAAATGGTGCAAAATATTCTAGATATTGCAGACAGCTTCACAGCATATCCCGCATCAGAAATCCTAGATATTTTGAGTGGGTCCTTGAGACATGCCGGATGTGGAATTGCGGAGACGTTTTTCAACCAGCATTCTACCCCAGCTTTATGGAATGGCAAGGATTTCTCTTGTGACAGAGACAAAATGGCGATTGCACTTGTGTCAAATGATCTATCCAAGGTAAGCAGCTAATTTACCAGATACGTCAGAACAGAGGGAACCAAGGACACTCGCCCAGAACTTCGAAAAAGGCCTAGTTTTAGGAGTTTACAGTTAAGAATTTTTGGGAAAGTGCTATTTTTTTAAAAGTGTCCCATCCTACAAGTGCCTCTAAATTATGCATAAAATATGCAATTTTAAACTTCGACTACGTTTCAACTTTAAAGGTTTTGTCCTTCGTTTTGTCGAGGCGTTTACGAAAAAGTGTTTGAAAGCCTTTTTTTTCCTATAATACTTGATGGTGAGCTTTTGATAGGAGCTATTAAATTCATATACATATACATATATATATAAATATATACATCTTCAATAGCTCCCAACTTAAGAGTTTTTTGAAAATATTCAATAGATGCTCAATATGATGCTGAAGAAGCTTACAGCGAAACATCAAACAAGTTGTTTTTATGTATCAGTGTATTTATGTATATATTTGTTGCACAGCTTAGCCAATTTTCGGTCTTTATGTCTATTGACACCGTTTGCCATTTTATCTAAATGATTTAAGAAAGAAAGGTTTCATCGCTCAAAAAAGACCAATGTCTATACACAGCCTCATCTTATTTTATTTCATTTTCTGAGAAATTTTTCCTAAGTTTGAGGAAATTGTCCTGCAAAAAAGGATGCACTATTTTCTGGATTGTGCATCCAAAAACTTCATTTAATGAAACCATATCTTCCAAAGGTGTCAAAGTATGGTTTCAATAAAGTGACGAATTCGGCATTAGCAATGGGGTTACTGAAAGACCTGATTGAAGGAGCAGGTGGTGCAGCAATCGGAGATGGCCTATTAATGGAAGATCTAATCAAGAACCATGGCTTCCAGCAATTTGTCAATAAGAAAGACGTTTGGATTAGCAAGCTAGAAAATATCCTTGGAGATGAAGTTTACATAACTGGCACGATTGTGAAGGAACTGACAGAAGGTGTAGATCTACCAGTGAAGATGAAGTTATTTTTCCTACACGTGTTAGGATCAACAAAGTTGAATGAGATAAAGACAAAGTGGATTTCTTGCAGTTGTAAAGATTTGGTTCAGCCAGCCATAGATTTTGTAGAGAAAGATAACCACTTGCTGTTTGCTAGTGGTTGGGCAGACAGTTGCCCGATGCTGAGTTCTGTCACTGCAGCTTGCTACAAGTCGCATACAAAGTCCTGGTCAACAACAGTCCCAGTTCCAATGCCCGGGTCTGTGCCACTGATCATTGATCACACTGAGACGACTTACGGAGATGCGGTAAGATGCTGGCTGAATTCGAGCAGTGGTCCGGTAGCATACGGTTTAAAGACAGGTGCACAGCCTGATAATATTACCAAAAACTCACATACAGATAATCCAGTTGGCTGTTTTGTTGCAGGAACATCTGTTTTGCTCAGTAATTTCAGCAGCACACCAATCGAGAAGTTACAGTTGCATGACCGCGTTGTTGGTTTCGGAGGAAATATTGGCACAATATCCGCAGAAAAGGTTGTACAAACACTGGACGCAGGAACAACGCTGTTTGGGTTCAATGACGAAGATCCATTCTTTTTAGCTAGTCATCCATTTTGGAGTCAAGATGGCTGGCGAGCAGTTAATCCTCATCTTTCAAAGCTGGAGAACCCATGGCTCGTTGTTGGACAGCTAACAGAAGGAGACTACGTTCGCAAAGTGAAAAATGTTAATGGCGATGAAATTGTTTATGAGTGGATTAAAATCGACACAATCAATCACAAAAAAGTGTCTGAAGGGACCAAGGTTTACGGAGTACACACCCGTGAAGGACCTCGATCTTACCATGCCAATGGCTACCTAGTATTTGAGAATTATCCAGAAATCACAACACAAACTGTTGTCGATGGAATGGACAATCTTTCTTCTACAGAAAAGAAGAAACTGCAAGACCATCTCTCTGAACTTGAGCCGATTTTGAGCAAAGTTCTTGGTCCTGGACCTTCAAAAGCAATGGCGTCTATCACAAAAAAGTATATAGAAGATAAGCTTCAAAACAAAAAGGCAAAGCAAGACCTTAAGGTAGGCTTGAAAGAATTGTCTTTACCTCATATAAACCTCCATTATGAAGCAGGAAACACAAAGCTAGGGTCTTATTCAATGCCTACGAAAATGTCCTTGGTGAGGGGTCATCTATTTCTGGACGACGATCATGTACCAAGCAAAAATGTCCACGATGAGCACAAAGTGTCTTGGACAAGGCCAGTTGCTGATGGAAAATGGGAACATGGTTGTGTCAAATTGCATGGGAATCGTTTGCAAGGGCATGGCTTTTTATCGCTAACACAGAATCTCGGTGACACTACCTCACTGTTGTCAGCGAACTTCAAGGCTGCAGCCCATGTCAATAAGTACCACTGCTACAGAAGCTCAGCTCCTGAAAATTCATCCAGTGGTAGCTCAAGCACATGGATTGATTTTGGTGAACTGGCAATGGGGACTGATTGCAGTTCTGGAAGTTGCAAGCCAGTTGGTGAAATTCTAATCCCTACATCCATGACAGAACTGGATAGTCTCGAGAACCATGTCATCTTTTCAGTTGATTCCAAGTCGCAACTCATGGTTAACGTTGCTATACCAATAGATTACCAATCGTATATTGGTATACGAATTTAAAAGGAGTTTTTAGCATGGATTTTGCAACATTCTCGGGTAGCTGCACGAGCTTCGATAAAACCAAGCCTGGATTCGAAGGCCTAAAGTATGGATGGAAAGGTGTCGTGGAAAAGAATGTCAAGGCAGATGAACTTCTCAGCTTTGCAAAAAATGCACATTTGGAAAGTAACATTCATTTACAAAAGGACACCAGCTTGATCCATAGCGCTGAAACAAGCCATGATGCAGTCGATGGTGCCAGTGTTGCTCCAATGGCAATGACAATGGTATCGTTGACAGAGCAGCACTTGAGTGTTGAAGAGCTATACCTGATCACTTCTCCCGATTCCAAATCAGTGCACGAGTTGACATTCAGCTTGCTTCAAGAAGGAATGAAGTATGAAATGAACAGTGACAACCGTGAGAACATTCTTGGGGTTGTGAAACCAAATCTGAGTGGTGATATGGCAACTGTTGCAGACACGTACAAAGCCTTCTTTGCTGACCGCTTTGCAAATGCTTACCTAATGAAAGGTTTGTCTGACAGTGCACATTTCAAGGATAAGATTACTGAAGAGCAACGAAACCAACTTCTTTACTATTGGGTTGGCAACGACAAAGGATGCCTGTCGCAAGACGCTGACTACAACAGAGTGAACAATGATGTCTCGCGTGTTGCATACGAACAATCTTGCCCCGATATTGTCAAATATCAGAAGTCATCGAATGGTGGATCATACTGGGCCAAAAAGCTTTACGAGAAGTTGCTCCAACCAGAGATATTAAATGGACTTGCATTGACAGCTGAAATTTCTGAAACGATGAAAAGTATACAAAAACAGTCCATGGTATTGTTTTGCCTCTCACCAGATGAAGACTATGGTGCCAAGTTCTACAGGAAGATTATGATGACTAGATTGAATGAAATGAGCAGCTATTTCGTTGGTAATAAAGATAACGAAGAAATTATGACAGAAATAATGACCGACAGTATCCACCAATTGATAGTAAGCATTTTAAGTGGAGGGGACGCCACAACAAAGGAAGTCACGAAAGAGCTCAACAAACAACTAGTTGATGCAGCGAAGGAGCTAAATGTCGAGATAACTGATAATGCAACAGAAACAGCTTCGGCAGTTGTGAGTCACATGGAGCAATTCATCAGTGAGGTAATGTCTATGTTTTGCAGCACTAGGGGTACAGCATGGGACAAGTTAACCGAGAGTACTAAAGCGTGGATGGAAAGAAACCCCATTAAAGCAGGGGTGGGAAAATTCTTCTCCGTCCTCATAAGCCAAGGTCTGTGGGTTACGAGCATTGTTTTTACAATCCAAACTTTTATGAACTGGAAAAATTTGAAGCCCGAGCAGAAGGCAAGTCTTATTGCAGATGCAGTTAATGTCACAACAGAAGGGATTGCCCAGATTCCACAGTTAATTGATGATTTTAAAACTGCCTGTGCCAACGGGAAGACTGGCTTCAAAATGATTAAGAATTTGGTGAAAGCAAAGGAAAATCCTTCAGAAATTGAAATGCCGTTGCTTAAAAGCGTCGAAGCAGAAGTGGGTGAGTTTCATAATATAGCATAACTTTATCTCTAAAGTGTACTGCTTAATTTTATTCCATTTTAACCATTGGCACCGACTGCGTAGAGCTTGGAAGCTGGGGGTAAATCCTCCGTGGGAATTAAGTTAATGGGGCCTTAGTCACGCTTGGTTGATTTTCTGATTACCCCCACTACGTAGAAAAGATTTTTGGGTAACAAAAAAGGATTATATTTTCTCTATTTAAAAAACGTAGTATTAACGGTTATCTATCAAAGAACCTCTCTGCTTAGGTTGTACCAAGATTGAAATGGATCATTGATACTTAACAAAGAATACCATCCCCTTCTTGTATGGATATCGGCATTTCAAACTTCTAGCTACAGCTAATAAAATTAACCGTTGGTGCCTACGATATCAAATACAGACCCTCGTTTTTGGTACAAATGATCTTTTGGAAAATCATTGAGATCAAATGAAAAATTTGGACTCTTGCTAGTTTTACTTGCTTTTACTGCTACAGGAGTCGACGAAGTGGCTGTAAATGAGGCTTTGTATGGATCAGTTGCAGACAGCGTTGAGGAAATCCCAGTGATGGTGAGCAGATGGCAGCAATTCTTCGATGTGGCAGAAATGTTTGCAAAGGGCACTGGTCTAATTGCATCAGCTGCTGGTTGTGTTGTCATTGGGTTTCAGATTTATCGAGATTTCAAGACAAACGCACCTGTTGCGCAAAAGGCCCTAGACATATGCCAGGTATAAAATAGATTTCTTATATATATATATATATATATATTAATAAACCAACCCGTTAAACTGCCTTGTTGCTCTGACAGCATAGCTCGGGTTGTGTCTCAGACAAGCTCTGTGCTGCACTGACGAGCCCACAAAGGCCGAAACAGTACTGTCTGCAGATTGAGTAGATATAAAATTATATATATGTTGTATATTTATCAATTTAATTCTTGTAATAATTAGATTTGAGAGTGGGAAAATACCACTTAGACAATATTGCAAAGATACTAACTTACAGGGTTTAGCAATAGGTGTGGTCAGGAATACACATTGTCCAAGACTGTGAAGATTGCCAATTAAATGGAAAAAAAGTAGAAGTGTCACGCCTACACCCAACCGTTTTGCTTTTCCGAGAAACGTTTTGGAGCTTAAGGATTTTCTCTAATCTAAAGCTCAGATGGGCAGTGTTTTGTCAACAAGGAACACAATTCAAATTATCGCCTTTTTTAATTTCTAGGGCGTAACCATGGGCGTGGCAACTATAGCAGCTGCTGTTGGTCTGGCCTTCGAGCTTGCCTGTGTACCTATAATTGGCATCGTGTGCGCAATTGTTGGTATTGCGTTGGCTATTGCATCCTTGTTTGTTAAGCGAGATAAACCTAAACCCGAGCCAACCAAAGTAGACTTGTATGTGAGTGGTGCAGGATCTTCATTTGTCAACAAATTGCCAAAGCCATCCAAGACGTGGCTTGATGATTATCACAAGAAGAATCCAAGCAGCTGAAGAACGCAAAAGACAATGCACAGAACTTTACTTTCTAGAACTCTTTAACTTCAATTGATATTTTCATGGCATTTTTGTGATTGGCTTGATGATGATAGACTAGCCTGCGTCACAGACTGTTACTGAGAAGGAGTAAAGCAAGCTTCTCTTATGTAATAAGTCATTGTTTGTGACGTAGGCTTAAGTAAGTGGTAAAATCTTCACTTTCTTTATATGTTATACATACACAGTTTTATTGAAGAAAAACTCTCAAAGCGCTTTCTGCACGTTTTCTTATATTCTAGTCCAAAGTCGGAGAATGAAATTTTCCTGGTAAACAAACTCTGGCGAATTTTACTTGCCATAAATAAGGTCCTGTCATAGCTTAATCGTCTGTCAAAGTTTTAAGAAATTTAGGATTTAAAAAGCTTTATCTAGGCAATTCTGCAGCAATTTTAGGTGTTGATTCACTAAAATTGGGTTGTACGAGGCTCTTTAAGCCCACTTCTATTGTATCATCAATTCATTTCACAATTGATTTAGTACCGTCTTTGTATGGATTTTATCTATATGAAAAATGAAAAATAGGTTTGTAGTTTGACAGTTTTGATAGATATTCAAAGAATTAACTGGCTGTGAGGTTGCCTGTTGATGCAAGCCTTTGCCGTTAGAGAGACCCACATTTTACCCTCCTAGTGTTTGTATTTTATCCACAGCAGGGATCAGTTGTGATAAAACTATGAAAAATATAAACTGATGTCGTTTGTTGTTTAATTCACTTTTTTAAAGCACCAAAACTTTCCAAAATGTTTTCTAACCTATTATTGCAAAAGATGGGAGTGACAATAGCCCCTGCTAGCCCAATGGCTGCACGGTGCCTCATTTGACGTAAGAAAAAATGTGGCCTAAAAACGGCTCAATGTAGAATTCCTCCTGATTAGTTCTTGAGGCCTCTCCTCTTAATGCTGAATGTCAATGACTTTGAGCAGTGCCTCAAAAATGCACCTCAGACATGTGTAAGTGGAGGACACCAGCGTAAATTTCTCTACTGAAGATTTTGACGAAATCTGTAATGATCTAAAAACTGAGGTTGACAATTTTGCAGAATGGTCACGCCAGTTTGAACACTGATTAAGCAGAATACCGTAAATTCTCGAATTAGCCCCCTGGGAGCTTATTTATTGCTGACATTTTTGGATAGTGGCTTATTCGGGGGAGGGGTTTATAAAATTATTGTGGACATTAAGAAGACCTCGTTTATTTTAGTAGGAATTTGTTTATGAGCATTCAATTAATTGTTACCAAAAGTATATATTTTTGTGGCAATTCGATAAAACGCAATTGTAATTGGAGAGCCAATCAGAATCAGACGTGTCAAGGAAGTTTAATACCTTTGCATTACTGTGGGTGAGAATCTTATATTAACAAGCAACATAAAACATAGAAGGTAAAATTAAGAATGCCCTCTTTTCCCTTTGACAACTAAAGAACATACTACCGCTATTTAGATCGGATCAATGGCGCTGCTTGAGGGTAATCTGAAAAACTGTCATGAGCTATGGGGCTGTTTTTTAAATACAAAGCTTGATCATACTCAGCTTTCACAAACTAGAGCACGCAAAGCTAGCAGATTTCATGAAAAATTGATATTTATTTGTATAGCGGTAGCTTTTTCTTTTTTAGCTGATAAAGTACGTGTGTTAAAATATGCCATGATATGTGATATGATAATAGATAAAATTCCTCTATTTGACGGAAATTTAGTATTTGACTGCACTCTGAGCCATGATGCAAGCTCCTCACCATTGAAGACCAGTCCGGTAATAATTTACACCGAGGGGCGATTCACTCTTGCAAATAGCGTACGAGATTTTGACTAAAACAAAAGGATTTCTGGGAATTTTCAGATAAAACAATAGGATTTTCACGAAAGGTGTAGAGTGATTCGCGCCTCGATGTTTTTGGTCTGCGGAGCACAAAATTCTTCTGTGCATGAAACTGACGCGGCGCAGGAGAAACATGTAAACACACAGCAGAGCAGCTTTCCAAATCAAAACATTGGGCGTAAAATGGCTGCCGTCAGGATGCCAATATCGCCCCTCGTTCAGGCAAATCAAGGACTTATAGATGCCCGGCATAAGGAAAATATATTGTCAACAATAAATACTTATAGGAAAATCAGAGCTTTCACTGATGTTGTTATCTATTCCAGTAAAGTTGAGTTCCATGCACATCGCCTCATTTTGGCCAGCAATTCACCGGTCCTAGAAAGTATGCTTCGCTCTGACATGAAGGAGAAAGCAGAGGGGAAAATCAATTTGTCTGATAGTAGCATTAGCCCTAAAATATTGGAGCAAATTCTGATGTACATGTACAGCTGCAAAATCAACATAACTATTGATAACGTTGAACAACTCTTGTATGCATCCACTTTCCTTTTGATGCAGTCTTTACGGAAATTCTGCGAAGAATTTTTACTCGATGCTCTTAACATTAATAACTGCCTTGGTATACGGGAAATTGCGTCCAAGTACGAATGCCAGCTATTGCTTAACAAAGCTGAAGATTTGCTAAGGAAAGAATTTTTGGCAATCTCTAGTACTGACGAATTCCATTTGATTTCAGCGAACCCACTTCGTGAGATTTTGGCAACCAGTGATATCCAAGTTAATCACGAAGATGATGTTTTGAAATCAATGATCGAGTGGATAAGAAAATTCCCAGACGAAAGAGGTAAACATTTCAATTTGCTAATTCAAGAAGTGCGTCTGCAGTTTCTAACTGACGAAATGCTGACATTCACTGAAGATTTTTGTAGTGATGTTATTGATTTAGAAGACAGGGTTGGTATGCAAATTTTGTTCAAAGATGCTTGGTTTGCAAAACATGAAATTATTTGTTCTGGGGAGAAAATTCAAGTTGGTAAGCACATTAAACCTAGAGACTGTCTTGACAAACGAACAATTGTTCTATCTTGTGGAGGCTATGATGGAACAAGATGCCTGCAGTCATGTCTTGCCTTAATTCCAGATGAAAGAAAAACATTTGCCCTTACTTGTATGAATGTTGCTAGGCAAGATCATGCAGTTGCTCAAGTAGGGGACTTTATGTACGTTATTGGTGGTTTTAATAGCCATAAAGGTCATTTGGACAGTGCTGAATGTTACAACCCTGTTCGAAATGAATGGAAAACAGTTAACCCCATGATAACGAAAAGAAAGGCGTTAGCAGTTGCTGTGTTAAATGGAAAGATCTATGTTACTGGTGGACTGGATGGAAATTTCAGGTCCTTATGTACAACAGAATTTTATGACCCAACATTTGGCATATGGCAACTGTCAAGTGATCTGAATGAGCCAAGGTAAGCAAATTATATAACCAGGGAATAACTTATTTTCTTTAAAATTTGTTTTCACTTATCAAAGAATATGTCAAATTTATGCTAAATACGATTTCCTCTCCTTCAGATCTGTTGTATTGCAGGTGCTGGAAAAAATTTAATGGCTATTTTATAATTTATATTAAAGATAGTTGTTGGTAATCTTTTCATTTAGTCATTTAGAATGCAATATCTCTTCTCCAAATAAAATTTATCAGTGGTTGGTGCTTCCCTATAATTTAGGAAGAGGAAATGTGCTATTGGCAAATTCAAGAAGCCACACCCATCACCAAACCCATCACCACACCTGGTAGACTTGCATTTGTGTTAAAGATACTTATTTGTGTATATGAAATTCATCCAACCAAACATTTGCTTGCTTGTTAAAGGGGGGCCGAGACCCTGAAATCTCAGTGAATTTTTGAAAGGTGGTCTGAGACCCCCTGAGCCCTCCTCCATGGCACAACTGATTTGAGTATTTACCATTGATAGGGGCTGCTTTCACTTACATTCTGGAAATTTTTACCTCTAATGAAGTTGTAGGAATTTTAAGATTGATAAGATATCTTGGGGTGCCTTGTCCTTGTACTAAATATATAAGCAAATATGGGTAAAGTTTAAAGTTAAGCAAGTAAGTAAAAGACTTGTGACCTTCTGACTAATGAAAATTCACAGTAATATCTAATGACAAATATCGTACATCAAAACTAGAATTTGTTCATGTTTTTCTTCTTTTCAAAATGAAAAAGCCTTTGCTGTTTTTTAGAGTTTATACAATGGCAGACATTTACGAAAGGTTGTTTTATTTTACAGTGCACATCTTAATACTATTTTTCTTAAATTATTTACAAAACAGCATGTATTGCCTTGTCTAAATTACAAGAAATGAAATGAATAAATTGAAGTGAATCCCTTCCTTGTTTAATGAGAGGCTGTAGTCTATAAGAGGATGGTTATGATAGTGAAAAAGAATTAATGGAAATTCATCATGCTGACTTTGAGTAGAGAACAATCTACCTCACTATATTAAGCTTCAACAAGGTCGAATTGATTTTCAAATTTGAGAGGAGCAAGTCACTCCAGTAAAATCTTGTATAACATGACACTGCTAAACATTCATTTGTTTTCAGAAAAATCCCCAAAAAAATCTAAAAAATCTATTCTTTAGAAAAATCTTGTATGGTGGTTGGAAAATGTGATACACACTTTGCTTTTTTGTTGTTGCATGTGATCTAGAGAAATTATTAGGATCATTAAAAACAGCACCCCTTTTGATTGGGTCTCCTGCTTGAATGAGGGCAGATTTGTGGTAGACGCAAGACCAGTTTTATGATTTTCTAGGAGCAACTAGCTAGTCAGGCTGTATTTTCAGTCATTTTCTAATAAATAGATATGATGGAAAGTCTTTGCATTTCAATTTTTTTCATATTTCAATATATTTCTTCACAGATACAGTCATTGTCTTGTTTCTAACGGTGAACACTTGTTTGCAATTGGTGGCTGGAAGCTTGCATCTGTAGAGAAATTTAACCCATCGGAATCAACATGGAATTTTGTCGCTGACATGTCGTGTCCTCGCGCTGGAGCGACTGCAGAGTTTTTCAATGGACACATCTATGTAGTTGGAGGGCGTGGTGATAATGGTTGTCTCAGTACAGTAGAAGCCTACGATATTGATAGAGATCAATGGGTGCTCATGGCAGACGCCACCGTTCCCAGATGGAGAGCATCTTCATGTATCATGGGCGATTCTATGTATGTAATTGGAGGGCGAAATTCAAGCTGGCAATATCTTGATTACGTCGAGAGACTCGATTTCAATGAATTGCAATGGCAGGAGGAGATGAAGCTATTTTCAAAGCTAATGGGACTCAACTGTTGCACGATAGATGTACCAAATGTTCATCTAAGTAAACAACTCGGAAACTTTTCTCGTCTAAACATGGGTAGCTAGAATACCTAAATGCCTATCTGTTTCTTTTTTATCTTTAATTATCTTCACACCTTTACCTTGGAATATAGTCTTCGTACATTGCATTTTATTAATGTAAACAAGACCAAATTGTTTAATAATCTTTTTATAACAAATAGCAAAATTTCGGTATTTGTAATCGGCGGAATTATAGCAGTATAAAGCATTTCATAATTCGTTCGGTATCTCTTTTGTAGTCTTTCTTAGCCATTATAGTTATTTTTATTCTTTATTAATGATCCGAACTTTATTCATACGAGGTGACCACACCCAACAAAACGCCTTCTTCAGACCGTGAGATTTGAATGATCATTGAACTCTAGTGAATCCCAAACCTGCTTTTTTCGAGCACTTCTTCTGTGCGCAAGGTCGCACAATCCATAGGTTTACACAAAGAGTGTTGTTTTACCCAAGTTATCTTTTCAAGTGACAATAACGGATGTTTCTCTCACCTTAGACCGTCGAGTATGCTTTCGCTATTCAAAAGATAAGATTCTTTTTGTACCACACCCATTTCCTGGGCAACGCTTCTTTTATGTTTTCTGTGATAATTCTCAAGTAAATAATTTTTGTAAGGGGCCTCCAACTGTAAATGCAATAAGGCCCGTTTCAAACGTCGAACTTCTCATATGATGTGCCGCAAAGCATATTTATACTTGGCTCGATATAAACACGTTTTTCAAAGAAACCTAAAGAAAATATCGTAACGTACAGATGTATAGATATATAAGATATGAAAATCTACAAGTAAAACGAAGCATAAAATCGGATATATATTTGAATTAATCTACAATTTCATTTAAAACTATCGAATCTGTATCTGGACGATGGACGTGCAATAATGCCAAAGCATTCAAATGTTCAGCTGCCATTGTAGTAATCTCTTATTGCCACTGTGAAGCTTTACCAATTGTATTTTACCAATTTGAATAAAGCCCCTTACCCCACCCCAAAATTTGTTCTTGCCTCCCTGCACACTTTCTACCTTACACGCTTTTTATGAAGAACCTAGCTGGAGGCCTACTCTAGTGTCTCTAATAGAAGGGGGGAGGTAATAGAAGGGGGGGGTCTTCATTCCAACCAATTTTCAATAGAAGGGTGGGGTTGCTAATAGAATGGGAGGTTGTTCATGTCGACCAGTTTTCAATAGAAGGGGGTGTTCATGTCTGCCAGTTTTCATTACAAGGAGGTTGCTAATAGAAGGGGGTTCATGTTGGCCAATTTTCAATAAAATGTCAGCAAATTTCAATAGCAGAGGGAAGCTGATAGAAGGAGTGGATGTTGGTAAATCTTTTAATAAAAAGGCAATGGAATTAGTAGGATGGTGACACTGGTTTCTTGATAATGGATAGATGGTTAGAGATAAAGATAGACAAACATAACAAGAGTAATTATTAACAATTGAAAATTGCGTGTTCTGGTCATGACAGATTTGTAAAATTTAATAGAAGGGGGGTGCTAATAAGCGACGGGGGGAGGGCAAATTCTTCTGAAGTTACTAGAGTAGCTCTTAAAGTTCCTTATTTTTGGACCTCTTTTGCTCAAATTGTAGTACAAAAAACTCCTCAATGCACAAGCTCAGACCATGTGGTCTTACGCAGGTTTGAAAGTGGAGCGGGTGTGGAGGGCTGAGGGGAATAGCTAGACGAAAGGTGAACAAAGAGAAAAGACTAGAAAGGTTTTTAATATATGTATTAAATAGTGGAAATTCATTCAAGAAGGAAAATGAAACAGAAGCTGAATTTATGCGAAAAAAAGAAACGCCAGGCAGAAACTGAAGCCGAGTCTTCTTATAAAAAAGGGGTAAAACGGAATGACGCATTTTTTCCAAATTTTGTGAGCCTGTTCCCCTGTGGTGTACTCCAAGAGGCGGGAGAATCGTCTGTTGTTGTTGTAGTCTGCCATTTTTTAGCCAGATTTGTCTTCATAATATTTATCGTACTGTATTCGTTTGTCGAGACTGCTTTGCTTATCAAACAACAGCAGGTACATGAAATTTCAATATTTTTGCTGGTTAGCCTGATTTCATTTTCATCATGCAATAGGTTTTTGATAGGCGATTTTTATACAACGTTTTGAAGCGTGGAAAATTACGCAGGGATCAAACACTTTGCAAATGCAATGTTAAGTTGAAATTAAAACCGTTCCAAATTGAAAAAAATAATTTTTGAAATATTCTTACTTTATTTAACATTTGGAATATCTTTCAGTGATACTGTATTCCTTTTTTGGATCACAGAAATGGGCTGGCATGATCTGGATATCGATGCTGGGTTGGTGGGTGGAGAAGAAACTCAAAGATTTGGTCCTAGGAACGAAAAAGGCTCAAGTCTGTACCAAGTTGATACATTAGCTTGCATCAGCCCAAAGGAAGACGAAGAGGTTATATTATTTTCATGTTTGATTGGATAACACAAAACATTAAAAACGTTTGAAAAAACCGTTTTGCATTTTCAAATTGATGGTCCATACGCCTTCGACCTGACATCTGAGAAGCTAAACTGGGGTAATTTTGGACGGAAAATTTGGAACACCCACAATTTGTGAAATTTACTTTTGTTAGAAGATATCCTAAACTTTAAAAATTGTTATAATTTATGAAGTTGTGGTGAACTTTTAGCAAATATGGTATGACCTATATCAATATCATGCAACCATGTGCAAAAAATGTTGATTTTATTTTGCAGGTTCCTTTTTTGCAAAAATGTTTGGGGATGCACATGTCCCACTACCCCCATCATTAGAAGCCATGTTGACATACTATTTATGCTAGTGTAGAACATGTAAAGGGTCTGAGATATCCATCATGGACTAAAGATTTTCAATTGGAGCTTTGTTGTCTATTGGTCTATATCTTGCATGAGAGTTACACAGGTGGATTCCACCCTGATATTTATGACATTTTCCCCTAGGGCAGTGTACTTAGTTAAAGAATTCAAAAAGTTGGAATTTGATTTACTTCATATTTTTTGAGTGAGTTTTATTTTCTTGGATAATTATACTTGCAATGTACTTGGCCACTGAAAGTGGAGCAGATTGCCCAATGATGTATATTGCAATGCTGTTTTCTCAATCATTCTAGCACTTGGGGTGTCCTACAGTTTCTTCTATTGCAAATCAAGCTGGAATCTGTCTTGTCATTGGAAACAATGTTGTGCTGTTCGATGAAAGTTGTAGTGCTCCAAAAGTTCACTTTTCTTTTGGTATGTTTTTAAAGTAAAAGTCAGAGGATGGTCCAGTTGTTAGAGATGCTAACTACAGACCCAAGGGTCTGTGGTTTGAGTCCCTGGCATGACCAACCTTCCACCCAGAGTGAGGAGAGTTACCAGCTCTCTGTAATTCCAGGAATAGGATCACAAGTTGTGGTCACATTGAAAGGAAGAACCAGGACACTGCTCGATAAGCATAAGCTTCCCAGTATCCTAAAAACTACCTTCGGATGCTAGTCAGAAACAAATACAAATAAAAATACAGTACAATGTAGCTTTTGGTCTACAAGGGACTATTCTATATGGCATGTTTTTTTCAGTTTAGAAGACACACACTTGTAAAAGATGCTTTTTCAAATTAAGTTCTATGACCAAAATTAGAATCAACAAAAGTATGCAATACTAGGCAAAAATTAATGGCTTTGTGTTTTACTTTATTTCCTAGTCATTTTTCCTTGGTCAGTTTGGGTCAACTTCAGTGTTATTGTTTTACCATTAACCAAAATCTAAATGATGATATGAAAACAAATTGGTATTTAAGACTTTGTGTCCAGACTGGTCTATTTTGTTTGTTTAAACATGTATTTTAGGCACTAATGTGGATGCAGTTGCATGGAATTCAGACTCAAACTTCATGGCTGTGGGAGAAAGGTGATCTGAATACTTCTTTTCTACTTGTTTGTTTTTTCAGTTAAAATTTGATTAAGAAAGGCCATTCTCAACTTCAAAATTGTATATGATTCCAAGTTCCAATAAACAGAAAGTTCTGGTATCTAAAATTATTGTGTTTGGACAAAGTTTCCCTCCTGCTGAGCCTTTAATATTTCATTATTTCATTAATTGCTAAGTTGGATTTAAAGGGATACTGCATAATACAATGTGTGTTTTCATGATGTATTTTAGAGGTGTTCTAGCATGCAATTTAGTTTCAAACCTGCAATAAATTCATCTTAAACTGAACATTGTAGATTAAGATTATCCTGATGTTTATATATCTATCATGTGTAGCTCTGGTGTTTTGAATCTGACTCATATCCCATCTAAGCAAGTCATCTTTAGTCAGGTAATGTAATATTATATGTCTTGTTGAACAGTTCAATGAGTAAGCTTTAGTACTGAATTGGTATTTTAGCAAATGCATCGCAATATGGTTTTACTTTAATACGTCTTTATACCATGTGGTATAGACCAATTTTTTGATGCTAGAGCATTGCTGTTTGAGATTAAGGATAATTTTAGTGGGAAAATATATGTTTGTAATCAACAAATTTGCCGTAAAAGATTCCCACTTAACAGTAAAGACTCTACAACTTTAAAGGGGCAAAAACCAATATTTGCTGTTTTAGTTTGTGTCCCATTTTTTCATTAAATTTCCCTATTTTGGTATAAATGATTCCTTGATTCACGCAAATGCACCTATAGGAGCTTTTGTCTTATCTCTGCCAGTGTCTTACCTCTGTCACTCTCATCAACACTTTCACCCTCACTAAAACATCAACTTGGCGAGGAACACAATATAAAAGAGAGAAATCAAAGAAGTGCACTTTCAATCAAAAGGAGCTCAACTAGCTAAAGGGCCAGTTTGCTAATGAAATGAAATTTGCTTACATTATCCCTGAAGATGACATGAAATAGCCACACTGACTGTCACATTTGTTTGTGCTATGCACCACATCTGAATCATTTTTATTCCCATAAGTTCCCTTTTATTCATAAAATTTTGTCTGATATTGCTTGTAGAATATTTTGAATAATGAAACACAGAAGTTCAGAAGTTTAGTCTTCAATCAAGGAGATGCAGGCATGTCATTTTTTGCTAAATGATTTTTTTAGCTTGTATTGAACTATTTTTGTTATACTCTGACTTGTTGACATATTCAGCATATAAATATAATCCTAAATCCTAGAATGTTTTCATGCTAGCTTCTTCTTCTTCTGACCAATGAACTGTTGCATTCTAATAGCACTGAAAACAAGCAGAGACCCTGGAAAAGCTAAAATGCATGGCACGCAAGTCACCAAAGAAATGAGCAAAACAACAGCAACTAAATATAATTGCTAAATTTTGCGGCAAACCCCTCCATGTGCCCCCATGCATACCTGTGCACCCCATGCATCCCCGCGTTGCTCCATGCTCTAGCATCCCAACAAGGCTTTAACAGGGTGTTGCTTTTTTTAACAGGGTGTAGCACTTTTTTCTAATTTTTGGTTTCTAAAAAATGATGCTCAACTTTGAGACATCATATGCTACATTAACTGGAATCTAATGTAACCCGATCAAGTATTAACGTCTCATATCTTCAAAAGAAAAATTTTAATGTCAGCGAATTATTGTTTGTGCTCTCATTGTTGACCATGATTTATTTTTATTCAGGGCTGTATGAATTAAAGCTTCTTCCAAGCCAAGGATTTCTCATTCAATTAAAGAACATAAATTTGAAACAACTTGATGACGGTAAAGCTCTCATTACCTTGCTATCTATATTCTATTTGCACATTCTATATGTATGAAATCACCTACGTTCGTTTTAGTATTTATAAGAATATTTAAATGAGTTCAAAGAAAGGCCAACGTCAAATGGTGCAGGCTGTAAGGCTTGAGACTATTGTAATGATCTCATAGCTTTATGATCTTCGTTGGATTAGAGACCAAAGTCTTTAATCTTGTTATTGCGGAAAATTGACGATTGAAAAACCTTGTAGTGAAGAAAATGTTATTGATCTGTAAAATTATGGGGGTTTACCTGAAGAAATGATGCAGTTCTATGTTAATCAGCCTTGATGTTTTGTCAACGTATATGCTAAATTTTCAGCCGCCTTATTTGAAACACAAGCACAAGCTAGGTTTCGATTCTTTACTTGGTTTCACTTAGTGGCAGATTAATTTAACTGGTTTTTTTGAATTTGAGGTAGTTATTGCAAGCAAATACACCAGCACTCATTATAGCTTCTGACATTTCTTGAAGCGAAAAAACAAGGGGAAGAAATGCCTTTTGCATTTATGGATTATACTTTTATTCTCATCGTTTACAGAATTGGTGCTGAAGCTTCGCGAAAATGGCCACCCGTTTGTTTTTAAACTGAAACTTAGACAACTCTATTCTTGAGCTGCTCTTGCTGATTGTAACATTATTTGTACTTTATTTTTCAAATATATTCGTCTTTTCATTTAAAGCCACATAAATAGCAACGTTTAAATTTTGGAATATCTTATAACTATTTTGATCTTAATGTTTATTTGTAGCTATTTCATCAAAAGATTCTGACGGTACAAAGGAGGTAAGCGCGGTTGAGGAAGTTTCTGGCAGTTTATATGTTATGTTATTTTATATACCCGCACTTAAACCTTTTTATCTTATTATTAAGAGTGATGATTGTCATTGCTGAATATTAATAGTTGTAATACCTCCCAACAGCCTCACTACGGTTGAATTTGGTATATTATCCGCGGCATTCCATTCTTAAAACAGTGCTGGCTCAAAGCTAAGCTTCAAAAGATTCAAAACTTGAAATTTAGCCATTGTGAACCGATTGAATGGTTTAGACAACAGGTTTTTCGTCATATCATGGTAAAGTCAAGTCATTTTATCATATCATATTATGTGTTCATGAAATCAGGTTTTCATGCACAAATCTCAATCAGTTTTACAAGAAAAACAATATGAATTTCCAATCTACTTTGTTTTGGTGGTGAGATGCTCTTTCAGTATTTTCATGGGGAGACACCCTTCCTTCCAGTTATGTCCAAAGATATTAACAATGGTTTAATTTGATATACAGCTATTTCATAAAGGCAGCATTCGTAGAACACATAATTTGGTATTTGTCTTCTTATTTCAAAACGTGCTCGCTTTATTCACTTGATATACGCTAAAAACTTCTCGCAGGTTTTGAAGCAGATTTCGCGCGAGATTGTCAATGTGTCCACTGTGCACTCGGAATCACTTGACCATATCATTGACTACGAAAGAGAGAAAGGAGAAGAATTGCTCATTGCTGTAAGTCGCACTTTAAGTTAAATATTCTCAAAGATACTTCAATTTAGCCTCAATGGTCCAGCAATGGGACATTGTGAATCATTCGAAGCTAACAATGGCAGCTGCATGAAATGCGTATTTATTGAAAAGCTTACTGTAGAACATGTTTTGCTCTTGAGATAAAGCAAGCCCCGTTACTTTGCTCTAGTTTTTTTCTGGACAGAGAGAAAAGTTCCTGTAAAAATAGCCTTGGAGAAAGAATAGGCAGAAAACTAAAGCCATGTTAAGGGAACGCTTATGTGGCCCTGTATTTTCAAACGAAGAGTAAATATATTTCAAATATTTCAAATAAAGACTTCTATACTGAATCCCTTATCGATGACTTGGACGATCGGTGGGATTTCATGGCGTGTACAGAACTTGTAGAGGTATAAGACTTAATTTCTTACTTTTCGTTGTTTAGGGGCAAGGTGATTATGGCTTGAGTGTATGGGAGAATGATGATGATGGTAAAATTTCGATGGCTGACGTAGCCTGTGACTACTTTGATCAAGGTTTGTGACGTCATTGTATTATTGCAACATCACTAATGACGTTAGTCTGCTAAACTACGAACTAAGAGCCTTGTTTTCGTTCAATTTAGCAGTGCTGGCAACCTCAACATTAGTCTACTAAGTGATTCGTGGTCTGCGAGTTAAGCTTCATTTAAACTGCCTATTGGAACTGGAGCATAAAATTATATTGTGCATCTTCCATATACCTTGTTATATAGAAAAATTGAATAAAATGGAAAAAGTATCAGGATTATATCAAATTAAGATTAAAATCAAATTGTTCTTCCAGTTGACTAGACTTAAACTTTATTTGCAGGCACTGGGTATTTGAAATGCCTTCTAAGCCCCTCTGGAGAATATTTTATTGCTTTGGACACGGAGGTAATTTCTCACGATTTTCTTAGAATCTTAACCTTATATACCTGTTGGATGTTTATCTATTTCATGGCTTATATTCTTGGGAACGCTCAATGTAGTAATGGATCGGTTCTGCGTTGTTAAGCTACTTCGTCAATTCGCTTGGTGATCCAAGTCTTCAGGTTGACTTGACTGGGTTCAACCTAGTTAGCAGGGGCGGACACTTGATCAAATAATGGGGGGGGGGGGCAAGCCTCTTGCTTTGCTAAGATGACATCACATTTCCCCATTGTTTTAGAACAAAAGACAATTGTCCTCCAAAGTATTGGGGGGGGGGCGACCGCCCCCCAGGTGTCTGCCACTCTTAGTTAAAGATCTGCTGCTATCGTACAGAAATCTCTAGGTGAATAACTGCTAGAGAAATTATAACGAAGTGTTCGATCAGAGTTTATGCAATTTCATAGACAGTCTTTGCTTGCAATCAAAAAGCTTTGCTGTAATTGATAACCATTAAAAATGTCTTATTACGATTCGGATTAAGATAATATCTTTTTCATTTTCCCCATTCATATTCGAATCACAACTAGATTAAAGTTGAATTTTAGCAAATTTAGCAAACCTCGTGTCTTTCTTTTCAAAAGCGTCGCATACGTTTATGGTCAACGGACACATTAACGCCACTGATTTTCTACAATGATGTTCAAGTGAAAGATTTCATTCTCTATTGGACAAATCCGGTGGAAGAAGATGCGAGGACAAAGTAAATAACCTTTTTCCAACTTCTCTCGCAAGTTTAACAGAAAAAGAGACCATGAATCTAGGAGTTGTAGCATTGTAATATCCTGTTCTACCAAGCAAGCACGTATTTTATGTCAAAATCGAAACAATTTGTTTTTGTAGCATCAATAGTTTAAGCATTGGCAAGTAATCGGCCAGTCAATTCAGTTTGAAAAGCAGATTTAATTCTGAAACGTATTGAACTGTATGGATACTTTAATTGAAATGAACAGAAGATATGGGTGTTCGCTAATTTTATATACAATTCATATATCAGAAGAAACCCTTGAGATATTTGCCTTAGCTATCGACAATATTCTGTGGATAGGGGGCAGATGCCAAAGTATTATACAGAATAGGAAACGTAGCCAGGGCTCCGTAGTGTTCCAAGTAATTTTGCCAGACACTGTAGGTTATATTACCCTGTTACTGTAAATGCACATTGGACTAATGTTTCACTAAGTGATCCATTCCATTGTAACCCGATTCATCCTTACAGGGATTCCTCAGAGGATATCAAGCTGGTGGTATTAACGATGCCAGAAAATAAGGTGGTGTATTTATGGCAACTTTTCATCAAATAAATTTAAAATGCTATCAGTGTTACAGTGTTTCTCTGAAATGAATTTTTATTGAGGGTCACAATTCAAAGTCTGACGCTTAAACAGAACTATCATTCCTGAATATTCTGTCATCCCTGAATATTCTTGCCCCTCTTTATGTATTAGATTTGTAAATCAGACGTGTTTATAAGGTATGTTAGATTTGTTTATCTGAATTGTTTAATCTATAAGATTTCTAAATTTGACATATTATATCCGTTAGATTTGTAAATCTCCCCTTACTGTCCATTAGATTGCAAATCTGCCCTTTTATCTTTATATAGCTGTACAATTTCTATTGTAGAAATCCCTGCTTCAAGTCTACTCACTGCCAAACTTTGAGCATGTGTACACGTTGCAAGTATCCGCCTGTTCTACACTTGCCTCAGTGGACTCCCAACTGGTATGATTCTTTAATCACAATTAGCAACTTAAATGACGATGTCTTGTCCTTTAAAAATATCAGGAAACCTTCTAGGAAGTCCTATCAGAACTCTTGCATGTTAGCATTTTGCTTATTTGCATTAGTACTTGAATTTTTTGAATTATGAGTTCAAACATAAGCTGTTTGTTAATCAGTCAAATTGTTGGTATGGTTAGCCCTTAGCGCCTAAGAAAGAGAATGAAAACATGTGTCAATGAATATGTCTTAAAAAGAATATCTTCCGATGACTTTATCTCTAAAAAGTTTTAAAATTGTTTTGAAGGCAGTATGTCCCCCATTGTTCTCAGAATATTTTTCATGGCCACGATAATCATGCAACGCTGATCTATTGCACAAATAACCAATCAGAATGAAGAACCACAATAGCGTAATTTCCCTGAGCGTGTTTCTGTTAATTTTTTTGTGTCAAACGTCTAAGTCAGTTTCGATGATGTAAAGATAAGGCATTTTTTGTCGTGCTCACCCAGAATAACTGATCCGATCTGCGGATTGTTTTCCAGAATGGGTTTGCGGCTTAACGTATTTTGGATACTGAAAAGGCAGAGGGAGACCCTCTTTTAAGGCGAGGCTTTCAAGTTAGAATTAGCCACTCACGAAGGCGACAGACTGCTTTAAGCTACCATTAAAGTTAAATTTCAAGTAGAAATACAAGCATTTTCAAGACGTACAAAGCATAATGCTTAATAATTGCTTGGGGCTCTTTCAGTTTGCATAAGATGCTCTTTGCACGACCATTCCTGGCATTTTTACTGCTGTTGAAGTTTAAGCTCTTCTAACCAAACTGAAGTCCTGAACGCGTCGAACAACTTTTGAATTCCTGTCTTAAGTTTATTCGGTCTCTTATAAAGAATGCAACAAAACTAATTCGTTTATTTACGATGCTTTTCCCATAGTTAATGCTTTTGTGATCGTAATTTTTTTCTTATTTGTTGCTTATATTTAGCTCTACTAAACTGTATATTTATAACTCTAGGACACTATATATTTCATCGAAGGCGTAGAAGACTGTGGGAGGTAAGTTTAGGGGTGGCTACGTTTCGCTGTTTTGACTTTGCTTTGATTACTTCCAGTTCAAGACAAAGAAATGGTGGATAACATTGCCAGCTACATGATATTTGTCAAATGCAGCCAGCGAGCTGCTTTCATGTAGCATGACCTCGGTGAAGCTTCTTTACGAGTTGATAAGGAATATTGCTATTAATTGACCTTTTTCTAGCTGAAATTATTTTAAGTTAGATAATGCTGTTGTTGAAGAATTTTTTATGGAAAATGCATTTCTAGATCAGATACCATTTGCTTAATGCTTGATGAAAGCCTAGATGAACAGAGTTAGTCTAATCTTTTTAGGAGTAATTAATGTAAACATTTGTCATTCTTATTAGCTTTTTCGAAGATGAAGTGGTTAAGGATGAGATGGACATTTCAAGCATTCGTCTGCGATGCCTTACTGAAGCACTGCCAAGCAGCAGGTAAGTGAGGAATTATGAGTTGCAAATGGTGGCAACACGTCAAAAAATAGAGAAAGTTTAGAGCATGCACGCAGCGTTGCTATGAGTTAGATTTAAGCAGATCATAAGGTAGATTATAGTAGTACATATATAAACAATAAGTAAGATAAAAACATACTGATATGTCATTTTTACTTTTTTTCTTTTTTCAAAATAGGTTTATGAGACTTCTCCACAAACAGAAGTTTGATCAGGCCATTGAATTTGCTAAACAATATAACCTTGATGTGGAGGTATGAATTTTTGTCTGCCAATGCGTTCTGTTCTTACCCCAATACTTTTGAAAAGCTGTTGTTTTCCTAGCAAATTCAAGCTTTGTGATTTAGATGTGACTGTGAGTACGTTATTAATTCGCTTATAGAACAACAATATATGTTAAAAACCTCAATAGGTGTCTTGAACAACACGATCTTATTTTTAAAGACTCAAACACAAAACCCGATCTTGAGAAGGTACATTGATTTACCAAGACCTTAGCCAGTTGGCAAGCTGTTCCCTCACTTTTGTTTTCTGGCTAATTTCACTATAAAATTGTCACCTTAAAGGTAAACTATCTACAAATTAACGAAATCATTCTAAACTGTTTTACTATGCTACCATTGCAGCTCGTCTATTGTGTAAAAGTGTCCGCAATATTAAACCAACTTGAGCCCTGGGGAAGATCAGGCCCTAAAACAGATGAAGAATACGAAGATAGTATTAAAGAATTGAAGAAATGTTTGGACAGAATAACGGTCAGTTTACTGTAGAGAAATATTTTGTTTTATTTATAAAGCCTGTTGTAACGTTGCTTTTTCGCTTGTTTCTGCGTTGTCAGTAACAAACTTCACTTATGATTCCTGCTGAAACATATCAAACGCGACCAACTTTTGCACAACAAATGAAGTCGATTAAGTTTGAGAACCTGATGAAACAAAAGTATCATTTAAATTTAAAAAGTGAGATTTTTCTAATCTTGCTCGTTATACTATAAATTTTGGCACTTTTAAACTTTTTAACTAATTTTAACTAAGTTAAACTTTTTAACCATCTAAGTTTACAGAAGTAAGGACGTACATTTTATATGACTTTATATTGTTTCCCCAACAACATGACAGGGTGCCTTTTAATATATTTGTACAGTAGGTAGGTTTTTAAATAGTGTTTTGTTGCTTTTGGCAATGAAATTCTAATGGTATATCCATTTTTATATTTCTATTAATTACCTCTATTAGGCATCAAAAAGTAATCTTTAGGAAACCAAGAGGTATCGTTTTAGAGCAATTCTTGGTCTTCCCTCTAAGTGTGAATCTCGTGGGTAGACCCCACCTCTAGCTTGGTTGCTAGTCAGAACACTGGGTTGAGCATCTAACCCTGATACAATTATCAACTAAAATTTCTTGTTGTAATTTCAGGATACATCACAGATAATTAACTACTGTATTGATGCTACACTCAGGACATTCGATGCAACATTTGATCTCTTAAAATATGCAAAGAAAAGAGTAAGTTTTAAGTCTTATGCCAAGGCACAAGATTGATTTTTTCTTTTGTTGTTATTTTTCAAACCCTATGTGCTAATCCATCTTGTAAATTTTTAGTTCTCGTATAACCCAATGTCGAAGTAAATGCTGTTGTACCCAAAGGCCAAAATGCTACTTTTAAGTGCGTCTTGCTGGTATCAGAGCCAATAGTTAATCTCTGCCTCCAAATATTGTCTTTTAACGAACTTTCCCGTTATTAATGCCCATCGATAAAGGCCAAGTATGTGAAACTGTACGTTCCTTAAAGTATCTTGCCACAAAATCCCGATTTCCCCAGTCATTTTAGTTGAAATTTTTTACGCATTGCTTTCATAAAAACAGTCTGAAGAAGAATGTGTTAAATTCCCAAAACAAAACACGATCCCTAGGTAGAACAGCATCATCTTTATTTTATACATATTAAAGAAGTAATTGTAATAGAAGTAGTTTATTGATATTTGTATTATAGCTGATAGGGAATTCATGTATAAAGATTTTAAAATGAAAATGAAAATTCTTGTTCAAAAAATTAGGCCTAACATTTATTGACATTTTAAGCTGGACTCCAAAGATGGAAGCTGGACATCAACTGCCAATGTACAGTCGGTAAGAGCGTTTTTCTTAATTGATTTCCCAGTTTAATTTGCTATGGAGTAGAGAATGTGTGTAATTTGCATTGTCATCAAAACCCTTTCTTTGACTCTTTTTTTTAATTAATAATGGTATCGGTTGAAAATGCAGCTTTAGCCTCGTAATCCAGACGGAGTCGACGTAGTAGGAATCACATCAAATGGAGAAATTTTCCTCTGACATCCGCCATACACCATGCTAATTAATTTATATATCCCATTGCATATTTTATGTCAATCGAGTTTCAAGCATTCTATTTTAGGAGGATAAAGTTTAAGAATTGCTTAGATTTAAGTAGAATTGCTAAAATTTAAGTAGACAGCTTATGACCGGCATTGCCCTTGAATTATACGACTTTAGGCAAGACCTCTGTAGTAATGTATGTAATGTAGTAGTAGTGTACTAAAGCTAATACCACAAGTATAGATATTCACAGTAGGCTGAAGTTTTTTTCCCGTTAATTTGCTGGTAATATGAAGTCAATAATTTAACGACACTTGCTAATGTTATTTCTTCCATTGTAGCTTCTGGATGCTTTGAACCGATTAATAACATTTGAAGTCGCATTTGGCTCAAAAAAGTTCAGGTAGGCCGTAAGAACCACGTTTATCCTTGCAGTTAGTTTTTATTATAGCTTGTTTTAATCTTAAGCGAAAGTTTTTGAATCGATCATTACTGTGCCTGCTGTGCCCGAAGGTCGTGATAGAAACCAGCTAAAAGTACTTTATCTATTCGATTATGTCTCAAATAACCTGTCCACAGGCTTGGGGCAAGGGGCCGAACCCCCTTTAAAATGCGAATGCCACCTTATTCCTTCATGCTGTTGTTTTTTAGAAGGAACTATGTAAAGTCTCAATCCAAATCAAGTACCTTATTAAGTCCCCATCCAACTCCACTACAATGTCATTCTATACACATTTTAGCGCTGATGCATGGAAATCCTTCTTAAATGCCTCCCTCTTGAACGAGGTGATGAATTGTTTCGAAACTAATGTTGCTGCAGCCATTGTCATTTGGCGTCGACATCAGGTATGTCTATGTTTCATTGAAAATCAGCTGGCCTGTGACACGTAAATACATCCAGCCCTAGTCACTTTTTATCAAGAACCTGTTTTGACTGCCTGTTACGGTTTTTCATTCTGTGACTCGTCTTCTTGGTGATATGACGTTGTATTATCGAAGCTGCTTTTCACTCGTCAGTTGCAGGGTGCATGAAGTCTTAAAGACATGCTTGTACACGCTGTTATGTATTGTCGAGTTTAACTCTTGTTTTGATCATCAGTTGGCTAATTATTGCTTAAAGCGTGATACTCGGAGTTAAACCTTATTAATACTTTCCTGTTCTACACACCAAAGTTTGATTTTGTCATTTTATGACTTATTTGTCATCAGCATATAATTTTTGAATTGTGTCAAACACTTTGTATTTCTCTCTTAAGCTTCACGCATGCAAAAAATACCGCTGATAGATAGCTTTGCTTATAGCCCTTTTTCAAAGTTCAGAAAAATTTTATTATTCTTCTCTTCACCACCAGTCTGAGCTCGAGGCTGTATTTACATCCGCAAAACTAGAGCCACTTCTCTCCTCAATACCCGAAAGTACACCGTCAAGTAAGATCATCAAATGGCTGAAAGAAGATTTTGTTCCTTTTGTTTTAACCAAAGTGCCTGATGGACAGGTAGGTTGATGTAATTGTCCATTTGATACATTCATATGTATGTTACCTAACATTGATGCAGAAAACACGGCATTGAGAATTTGACATTTGGACTTCTAAAGACAAGTGAACAATCGGGCTTTATCAACGATAAAAACGAAAATATTTTTGAATAAGAAATCTAACATATTGGCAAGCTTTCAAAGTTATATATGATTAGAAAATCCAGGAAGGTGTAAGTCTGGTCTATTGCGGTCATGATGTCATAGCATTTAAAAATTTCATTGAAAGTTTAAAGACCTATTTTACCTGTGATGTTCTTTTATCAATGCAATTATTTTTACAAGGTTCAGCTAGTGAAGTGGCTTGACGCCAGAGCAAGGAACATGGAAATTACAGAAAAAGTGAGTAATTGTTTTTATACACCTCATAGTTTATGACAGCTCGACTATTTTGTTGTATTCTTTATATTTAATCATGAATTGTTTTCTTGTCTTACTGTTACGCAGTTTTTACCACAAATTAGATCTAGTTTTATAACATTGATTTTTATGAATATTTTGAAGGCATGTTTAGAAATAAAGTAAAAAAAATTGGGTTTGATTGTATTCTCTGTTCTGTACTTTAAGCATCTCTCAGGTTAATGATTATGGTTGCATTTTGCATGCGAAAATTTCATAGAGTTTCTTGATAATAATTTAAATTTTAAACCTCCTGAAATTCCTATTAATTTCCAATTGGAATCGGCGATTTCTTTACAGAATAAGAGCATGAAAGAAACTCTAACTTTTTCTATATAAAGTTAGAATTAGTAAATGTTAGGCTGTGGAATTTTTAGACTATCAAAAGCTAATGCATAAGCCGCGTTGCAGGACAACTGGCCTCACAATGCACTAGAATTGGCTGAGGTCATGTTCAAGACATTCTCCGATGTGGCCAAAAGTAATTATGGTCAAGGAAATGCCACCCCTGCACAATTTGCCATGCAAGTATGTATTACATATAGGTCTGTAACGTGTTTAATAAATGTACTGCGTGTGTATCTTGAATAGCATTCAGCAAGCTACTCTATTTTGTGATACATCAAGTTGGTCCGTAGTGGAATTATCAATCGCAGAAAGTCAAGGAAGCTTCGCTCATCTGTATCATTAAAACCATTAAACTTTTTTAGCTCTCAATATTCCTGACTTGGTATTATAAAAATTCGGAATCATCTAAAGTATAAATAAGCCTGTTGCCGGATGACTGCATTAAGCTAGATACTACAATGCCTGCCAAAAGTACTTGTAACACCCAGCAATTTACGCTGCATGTAATATCTTTCATTCCTTTCATGAAAAAAATTACTACTTCCGCCCCCTTCCCCCTAAAACAATGTTGATAATTTAGAAAAATATCATAAAAGAAGCGCAAAAGAAAGTGCTTCCTAACCCGTTTGATAGTAAACCAACATTGTTCTGTAGGAGAGAGGGGGATGATTGATTTTGACCTTGGAAATTGACGTCAGTGTTCCAAGACTTTTGGTAGGCATTGTAGGATATGCAACTTTGAGCCGTCCTGCTCTATTCACCAGAGCGGGCCCAGCTCTGCCTTTGCGGCAATGAACACTTCATTACAGACTGGCTAAACAGTATTAATTCATTATGTCCCTTCGGTCAACCGTTCAGAGTTAACAGTAGGCTCTACGGCCCATTTTTGAGCAAATGTCGTTGCGGATTGGATATATAACAATAGGTCTATTGTCTAGTCCAACCAATTGGAATTTAATAGACAATCGAAATGCGTCGGGAAATAGTGCTTTTTAGGTATATATAAATGTGAGTTTTGCAGTCATTGATTATTTGAAGAAAAGAGCTGATCTACTGTATACAGAAAGCCCTCGTTCATAATCTGCGCATCGACAGACACTCATTCGTCAAGACCAAACAAACATTCATCCGTCTCACTTTTTGCTTACTTTTAACGTCTTGGTTTAATGTTATGCTATATCGTTCCAATCCATCGTCAGTGTGAGCCGTAAAAAGCTTTCGATTATCGAGTAATTGTTTCTGATTTTCTGTTGCCGTTCCAAAATTTCCCTTTTATATCTTCATATATCTGAACTATTTAACTATAGCCAGGAATTTTGTTTTTCTTTTTTCAGGTTTGCAAGCTCAGTATACCGTGCTGTGCTCCAGATAAAGATTCTCGGGTATTTTCACCTTTTTCTTTTACGTTTCTGAAGATTTAAAGGCAATCTGTTACGACATTAATTGATTATAGAACAAAGGGATTATTTATTGTTTCCAGTCCCCCTTTAATTTATCGCATTGTAAAAAATATGGCAGAGCGCTGGAATTGTGTTCAGGCTATTGTTCCAGCTATTGTCCTCGTTAACCAATCCACAACGAGATAGATTGCCTTTAAAATATAATACGTGTCATTTCAGCAGCATTTAAATGTGCAGTATCCATTTATTCTAGTTTAATCATCATCGTTTGCCAGCAGCTGATGCTTCTTTCCCGTTTCTACGCAACACAGTTAAAACTCACTGCTGCTGGAAATATGAAAATGGTTTTTCAAGTTATTTACTTTTTTGCTCAAATTTGAAATTTCTCAGAAAATAAAAAACCTTTTTTAAAATCTTACCAATCAAGTTTAGGAACAGTTTGCAGTAGCGAAATATATTTATAATATGTCAAAATTGACCACTGTGAAATAAGGCCGTCTTCAACATGGTTTGTTTTTAAATCATCTTTTCATGTTTCTCTGTCAACACATTTGAATATTTTTTAGACTGAGCAGGAGGATTCCCTAGCAGCGGCTATGACGAGAATTGCGGAATTGGTAACAAGTCTTAGAGAAATCAGCTCACTCGATAGCCAGTATGCTTGTAAGCTTAGCCTCCGTGCATATCAAAAGGTAAGAACGTCAAAAAATGATGACTCTATGGCAGTGTCTGTCTTATGGACGGTAACGTTCTGAACCAACAACATGTGCTCCTGTGATCCTTGTACCCGGACGATTTTGCAATGTGACCCTATGTCCTTGCACTGTGACCCTTTATGTGTTCTGGCACGGGTCTGATGTATCAGATCTAAAACATTAAAAATACGGAGTCTAAAATATTTCTTATAAGTGTCAAATTCAGTACTTGTTTAAGAAATTGTCAAAATAGTTTATCTTTTTCAAATTCACTTGGTTATATTGGTCTTGGGTAAGATTAATCTTTCGTAAACATTTTTTCGCTATATTATCGCTATTTAATATTATCGCTATTTAATATTATCGCTATTTAATATTATCGCTATTTGATATTATCGCTATTGAATATTATCGCTATTTAATATTATCACTATTTAATATTATCGCTATTTAATATTATCGCTATTTAATATTATCACTATTTAATATTATCGCTATTTAATATTATTGCCAATTGATATTATCGCCAAGGTAATTGCCATTTGGTGTCTCGCACGAGCTTGACGGACACAATGATTTTTTGCCAATTTACCAGTTTGTGTTTTTGGGGTCAGTGTTTATTACAATCCAACGCCAGGATGTTTTTTTGTCCTTGTGCAATCCTGTTGTTATTTATAAATGGTTTTTCCATCTTGACTTTCTTGAACTTTTATCACTGACAGGAAAATACAAAGACAATTGCATTTAGATTGCTTGACAGAGTTCTTGTGCCTGAACTGATTCCTGCTACCGTCGAAAAATACGTCAAGCCGTATGCGGCAAAACACAGCCTCATTGCAGATGAATTACTCCTTGCATACGTAGATGTAAGTAACGATTAACGTCTATTTTCTCCGTCATCGTGCGGTGCATTATGGTGATTGTAGAAACTCCTTGTATGACGTGCTTAATCATGTGACTATTGTAAACATATAGATAACACAGGACTAAAGATATATTTATAACAATTATGTTTTTAAGAAGTAAGTGATTTAAAGCCGTTTTTCATACTGAATCTAAAAATTGCATCAACTTTTTAACGTATCGGTCTTTTTTTGCATATGTTGCTGCATTTTTGTTGAAGAATGGTCTTTTGGCATTGTGGACATATCTTCATTTAATTAAAACATTTTAAATGAATAGACGAATAATGAAGATGAAACCTTGATAACTGCTTTATCAACCATTATCTACTTTATCTAGCCACAGGTTTACACTTATTCTATTTATTTCCTCTCTAAGTACTTCTAGCTAGTTCTTTCCTTTGATGCTTCCCTATTTGACATACCTCAGCTCAATAGGAAAAAGAGCATGGGGAAGGGGGGGGGGGGGGGGAGGCCGATATATTGTGGGCTGCTGTCTCCTTTTTCTGCGGTCTCTGAAAAACCTGTTTAAAAAGGTCTTCCTACTGTTTGAAGTCACCATAAACGGTGTATTAAATGGACAATTTATTTTTCAGAGATTGTATGCTATTCATTGTCACTGTTTCGTTACAAAGTGTCACTTTGATGATTATGACCTCAAAAAGACTTTTATGAAAGAGCGATTTTCTGAATTGCTAATGTAAAGATCTGTGAAAGATTTTCATGGTTGGCAGAATAAGTTAATACTCTTGATCCAGAATTTTCAATGCTCTCTAACCATTTTGCATTGACAATTTCTATGCCGCACACACAACACCATCTACGCAAATGTTACAGAAAATTGGTATGTAACGAACAGGTAACTGGCACTCGCCCTCGCAGCGTTCGTCCTTCTCGCAGCTAATCAGGGGAAAGATTATGGAGGGGCGACTAAGAGTTTGCTATCGAGGAATGATTTGATTGGGGGCCAAATTCTCTTTCTTTTTTATCATCAGTTGTTGACAGTAATGTTTTAATTCTTGACAGTACTGTAACGTATTTAAAAATTTAATTGGTATGATACATTTTCCAGGATCTAATCGAAAGGCAACCCAGAATATCTTCTTCAATCTGGCATTCAAAGCTAATTGCCATCACGGAATGCATCAAAAACAAAGAGGTCAGTCTGGATTTTACCGCCAGTTGATATGAGTAAATGCCTTTGATTTTACTTAACTGTCTATGTCTATGCACCAACATTTTGATAGTTATTTTATCAATCATTTTCAAGTTTACTGAACAAGCTGGCTCATGTTAGTTTAAAGAATTCCGATCAAACAGCTCTCCTCGTAGTAAGAGTCTTTCATGCTAGTCCAACTAATCTAGATAGCACATGTTGCCCTAATCAACTGGTAGAAAGTTTTGAGTGCCCTTTGTATTATATAAGATACATTTTATTAACAGAAACTATTAACTTGTGACCAATTTTCTACGTGGATCTATTTTGAAAACTCAAAAAGTTCTTCTTACAAAGGTGCCATGTATAGCCTTCTTGCGAGTGGTAGAATATTAATACTGCCTTGCTTTAATAAGTATAGAAGTCCAATGGAAAAGCGACCTCGTGCACCCAACCAACTTTGCTCTTGAACTCACAAAGCTTAGGCTCTGGAACCCACCAGCACAGTAGTCTACTTAAGCTCTCCGAGAGTATTGTTTTATGCTTGCCTTACTTTGCCTTCCAAAGCAGAAGTCGTCTGCAGACCTGTCATATGTCCTTCATTGAACACTATTTTAAGTTTGGTTTTATATTTAAAATTAGTCACTTGCTTTCCCTAGCTGAAATGTACAGCTACAATGCGAATTATGAGTGTTGCCACAAGCCCTTGGAGCTCCGATGTCCAAAAGCTGGTAAACGCGATGATTGAGTCACATCCTAAGTAAGTTAGTCCAATACTTGTTGCTTAGTACCTTGATTACAACCTGGTCCTTACTGAAACACCTGGTTTTATATTTGTAGTATCTCATAGAATTCATTTTATAGCTACTAACATAACAACTATAACGAAGTTGTATAACCATGTACCTACTTTGGTTATCACCCAACTTTTTTATCTTTTTAAACATACGTAAAACGCTCGATCGCTGCACTTCCCAACCAGTCTTTTCCAGAAAGTTTCAAGGATTTGCTAAGCCCTTGTATTTCAAGCTCTTTTATCAGTTTACCTGTTTCACTCTTTCTAAGCTGCTCATTTCTTGCGTTCATGCTACCGTAAACAACCTAGTGATCTAAAAGCTGAAATTTTGGAAGCAGGTTTCCATCTAATAATAAATCACTTCAGCCTAAAATTTGGAATAGGTTCTTAATTTCAAGATTACTAAATATGGTAAATAAATCATAATACGCTATCAATCTTTCATTTTGTTTAAAAAGCAACCAGATTTGTCTAAAAAGGAACCAGACTTTAAAAAAGAACCTGACTTTTGGTTGAAATTTCGTTAATTTTAGTGTTAAATATTCATACTCAAATTTTTCCAGCTGATCATGCTGAAAAAACTCTGAAACAATTTAGGAATCTAAAGAACCTCATCCTATTTCGGTTCAACTTCCGTCATATAAAGGGCTATCCAAAATGAAAGGCAAAATTGTACAGTCTTATACAAGTAAGATTTTATGTATACGTGTTGTCAAAACTGTCAGTCATATGTTGTCATCTCATTTTCTCCTTTTTACGGTAGGATTTAGCTTCATTTCCTATACCTGGTAATTGTATTAATTGTTTTATTATTTTGATCAACAGCAACGAAGAGCTTAAGCACAAGTACAGGTTTGCCGAACTAAAGACGACTATGATGAAATATGGCATAAGAAATTATGGTGCTGCAGGTGCCGTTAAAGGAGAGGTAAGGAATTTGCTCATATTGAATGCAATTTTTCGAAAATATAATCCTTTATAATAGCGAGCTTTACTGTAAGAAGCAGTATGATACAATGTTTTTGCCGTCATCTATAGTATGTTACGACTGCACAGCAATATATAATGTCATTACAGCACCGAATGGTTGGTTGAAACACTTAGTAAGGTGATGTTGTATATGTTATCATACAGTATAACACGATGTGATGCAACATATAATAAACGATGCAAACTGATAAAGCGTTATTTATAGCATCGTCAATTGGAAATCGATAATATGTGTCCTTAATCAGAGGTGGCGCCTTTAATTTTAAGTGAGGAAGTCGAAGGGTAAAAAAGGAAAATTATTGCATTTACAACTATAATTGTTTAAGAAAAATTATTAGGACTTTATTTGGCTAAGAGGCAATAGCTCTCTACCAAATCCCTCTTTTCTTTGGTGCGGTCCTTGTAACTGCCAGCTTCATAAAGATCTAATATATGTGATTTTTGTTTCCTTTTTAGCAACTGTCCTTTTCGTATAAGTCGCCGGATCAACTTAATGATTATGTAATTCTGAGCATTTATCACGTGGTTGTATTGCATAAGATGACAGAAACATTCTCTATTCACAGGACACTATTCGCTACATTTTCAAATGCGACATTGAAAGTGCATTGGAAGATGCAATCCAAGTGGCTAACACCTACATCATTGATCATAAAACTGTCTATTTTCATCGAATTGAGTACTGGATCATGAAGGATAAGGTAGAGTGGCCTTGATTTCATGATGTACATTTACATTTTGAGGAAATAACGTTCAAAGTTGATGGTGTCACAGAGATCTATTTTTGGTATCTTTAGAATTTGACCCCATTATCTAAAAAGGGCTACATATCTGACAGTTGCTGTGCAAAATCAGTTGAGCGTGTTACAAATTTGCAGAAATATGGCCACAAGAGCACAGCATCTTTTTTCGTCAAATCACTATAATTTGGTCTTGTATCTAGAATCCATGAACCAGGCGAAAACAGCTGTGATCCATTACCTTGTTTCTCATTTGCTATTCTTCAGCCAATTTCTGATTTTGCACTTTGGAGGGAATTTTTAAGGTCTTTCAGGTTTAGAGTGAAAATGGCTTATTTGATGATGTCACACTTTTGTATTCTATTCCCTGTAATAATTATTTTTATGTCTACAAGGAGGTTTTGTGTTAAAGTAATATATGGGCAGGGTATGGCCACCATTTTCAAGATATGATAGTTTCTTATACGTTTTTTACATTAATGCTATATGCTACAAGCATCTCACATCTTATAAAATTTAAAGTAAACTATCTCGTGCCGTAAGTCTCCTGTTTTTATCTCTTTGGATTGAATCTGTTTAGATTGAGGAGAGTTGCAACCTCTTGCGGTCTTTAGATGTAAAAACCAGTGTTGCTGTTGCCAGTTCCATAATTTCCTGGACAATTATCACCCTTGAAGATGCACCTTTGGATGACGAGGTTAATCTTCTCTTTCTTGTATCTATACCATTTTAATGACTGCATGTAGATCTACGTCAAGAAGTGAATAGAGAGTCACCTCCTTAAGAACTGGAATACGAGAGAGCCGCAAACACACGACCTTATATATATGTGTATATGGTTTTGTATTTCTCTCAATTTATTATGGAGTAAATGCAATGTCTTGTCGCATGTTGTCTCCCAAAATTAGACCAGGTATGCAATCATTATTGGTTCCACGTAAATGCCATTTTGATTCCCGTCTGTGGTTATTGTAACTTTAAATAAGAAGTTCCCAGTCTTGAAATTGTGTGTTATTCAAGCATGAGACAATTGTCTAAAGTCACATTTATTTCTTAGGCTTTTTTGTTACCTTTTAGGACAAGATAAGCTACAACAGAAGAGTTCGTGCAGCAGTTGAAATCGGCCGTACGGTCTCATCACTAGGTAGAGGATTTAACAACTGATTGCCTGGGAATAGATCTTCTTGACTAATAAATCAGTTAATGTTATCAGTCTGTATAAACGCAGGAAGAGAAGTGCCTTTTTAAGACTTTACTCAGACTTATGTCTACCCAAAGTCGCTAGCTTTCTTGTTTACATTCTATATCGTCATTTTTGGGTGACAGCTAATGTATACTTTTTACTCTCTTTGATATTTGCGTCTATCTTTTTTAGAGTACACCATATTTATTTATAGTACTTCCTTACATTGTTAATACATCATATATTGATAACACAATAGAAAAGTTTTTTCTTTAGATTCTTGTTTCAAGAGAGACAAGCAAGAACTGATCCAAACTTTGCATAACATCCTTGCTCTGCAGGTAAGCAATTTGCAAAAGACATTAAATAGCAGAAGAACCATATTTTCTCCTTTGCTTTTCCAAGGAAACGGTGTCTTAATAGCCAGAAATTGCCAGAAATTGCTCAGTAACTCCTTTGCTTAGTTCTTATTCCTATCAATATGGTAAAACGTTTTTGACAATTCTTTTGAGTTTAAACCAGTTAGATTTGTCTATCAATTGCAGTGTCTATCAATTGCAGTGTCTATCAATTGCAGGCTTGTGGAACAACAATGTTTCTTCCTTGATCTTGATTGAACACTTAACGAACACCCGATATTATCACTGTTAAAGTTACGAAGAGTTTATGTACTGTCCCTTTTTTATGTATGTATTCAAATTGTCATTGCTGAAAAAGCAGGCGACTGGTTACTTCTCACTCTACAGTAAAATTTTCTGCTCATTTATCTTTCAGTTAAGTTACGGTATTTATATATCGCTGGAAGACTATAATGATCAGGAGCAAAAAGACGGAATTTGGAAAGACTTTGTTTCTGAAACAGCTAAAGAAAATGAAAAATCAAAGGTAGGCTAAAGAAAAAATATCTTAATTTGTGGCGACAAAATATCTGAATGTCGCAGACACTGTAGGCGACAAAATATCTGAATGTCGTGAAAACCCGGAGTTGCAACTTAGAGCCTTCCTGTTCTATGCACCAATAGCGTACGTACAGTTCTGCCTATATGGCATCGAGCACTTTATGACAGTCTGTGTTAACAGTAATTTTCATGAGTGTCTATGGAAATGCCTACGAGAAAGTGAAAATGATGTTGTGTTTCTGCTTTACTTGGTTTTTGACTCGGTTATGCTCGTAGTAAGTTAGCTTTGCTTTAGAGACAAAATTATCGAAGATCACAGCTTTCTGCTTGTTTTTGTATTTTTATGACTTTCCGTCGATTCGTTTTATTCTTATTGCTGATTGTTTATGTTTAGCTGGTAACCAATGAAACGAAAGACATCTCAATTAGATCTGCAAACGCTGCACGGTATGTTCTTAGAGATGTCTCCAGTTTGATACCATCTGCTTTGATGTGACTTGTTTCAAGCATAATCCTTTAATATTCTTTTGATCAAGTTCGTCTGAATAAAATGTCAATTGATATAAATTCAAGTTAAATATGCTGTAAATTGAAAAGATGAGATGCGAGTTTCTGATAACGAAAGATCTAGAGGAGGAGTTGGGAACCTCTTTAGATAAATCTGTGCAAAGCTGAGCTGTATTCTACTACAACTACAGGCACAGAAAGTTTACATGAATAGAAGCATATATCGCAACACAGACATTGAGTATTTACAATCAGCTTGGACAAGTACTACATTAAGTCAACGTGCAGTCAGTTAATTAAGAACTTGCTGGAAACATAAGAGGGAAATGAAGCGAGACAAAAAACGGTCATGCAACATAGACAACACATTTTACTTTAGGGAAGTATAGAAAGCACATTTTACCTGAAGGAAGTACTTTCGCCATATACTTAAGAGAAGGTGGATCCGCCTTGCATTATCGCTTGCTTACTATTTTGAAATTAACATATTGTAAATCCTCAGAACTTATGTGAAAAATGGGGCACCAATATCCAGCACTGATTTTACTAAATTGCATTTTAACCAAGTGTTGGCCACAATTTGATTGCATGCGAATTTTATAAGGATTTCAATATTTTTGTATTTTATTAAATATTCTTTGCATTTTGATATTAAATTTATTGCATTTTGATAGCCCGTTGATAGATTTTCATCAAATTTTTTTCGAATCTGATTTTTATTTTTTTATCATGATTGTATCTAAAAATGTTTTGATTGTCATCTGATCGTATTTATTTTATTTGTGTGGATTTTATATTGTAGCGATAATTAACTGCAGTTTTATTAAAAATAAATTTTTGTCTTAAAAGACTTGCAGATCTGCTTGGTTTTGATGACGTCGCAAGACAAAAACAAGAGATTGCAGTGTATCTCAGTAAAGGAAACACCAAAGAAGCATTGAAGATATTAAGGTTTCAATTATCTTTTTTTGTTAAGCAGTAATTTAAAATTCGTGTATTTGTAGCTAATATATACTGGCATTTCTATATATACAGAACCTATATTTTTCAAGTTTGATTTCCGGGGACAGATGTTTTTTAAAAAGGCCTTTCGAAATTCAAGAGTTGTGCGATATAACAAAAAGCTGGAGTATAACATCAACACATGTACCTTAAGTTATACTCACCTTTTGGTCATTATCTAGTTCTGAGGTGTGTCAGAGAAAAGCAGTAAAAAATGCTATTTATGTTTTTACGTTGCTTCTTCAGTAGCCATAGAAGCACGTGGCTTTTACGGATGATGCATAAAGACCCTTTGCCGCTGAGTTTGCAATTCTATTCTATTGCCATGCTTGATTAGCTTTTTTCTTTTTATCAGTTGTTGCTGTTACTTTTTTGCATCTTAAGTACATGTTAAATACACTTGTGTATGCTTCACCATGCAGTATTATCTTTGATATAGAGATTTGCAAATCCAGGAGGGTTTTGTTGGCGACAATTTATGTCAATTTGCAAAAATATTTGCTAGTAATTTGGGACAATATTTTTCAATATCAAAGAGGAATTCAACTTCTCGAATTTCCTCCATATTATATCCGTGTCCGTCCTCCCGTCCGTCCTCCCGTCCGTCCGCCCGATCGTCCGTATATACTCATATCCGTGTCCGTCCGTAGGATATGTATTTTTCAACTTTTTCGCTCATTGCTAAACTCTGATTTCTTGTATGTTTTCACTTAGGTGTTATTCTGCTTGTTTCATGAATTTCAATGTTCGTTGCTCGTTTTTCAGGAATGCAAGAAACGGTATTCCATCCAAAAAGCAGCTCTCACTCTTCAGGGAAACTTTGCTGTATTTACTAAGTGAGAGATGGAATTCAGATGAGAAAGAACACCTTCGGCAGTGGTTGTGTTATGTTGGCGATGCTCATCGGCTTGCTGCCTTTGCTACTTCTGCATGCCCAGAAGGTATTAGGCCATTGGCTTGCTCCTTAAGAAAATTGTCACTCAAGAGGCTTTTTCTATGCCAGCTTGATACATATGTTTAATCGATTAGGCACTGACGGAGGAAATGCAGCAATTATATTTTAAATGCAATACATACGATGATTATTATATGAAACAAAGATGTAGTTATCTGATTTCATTTGAAAGTTTGTATATATTTATGGTTAATGGAACACAAATCATGCAAGGAAGCACAAGCTATAACGGAACACCTGAAATTTGATTGCGGGCTTAAGTTTGGAATAATTTAAAATACCTTTCCTTTCAGACGAACTGAGAGACTTTCTGGAAATCACACAGCAGTTTAGACTGGCATTGTCGGTCTCCGAACAGTGTGAAAGTGCAGACTACCGTCACGATGCTTTTAGGTCATTATACAACTATGTTTTTCAATCTACATATGCAGATTAGGAGGGTAGTATATAGTGAGAGGGGTTAGGGATAATCAGAGAAGTTTAGGCCGACCCAGGCAAACTAGACTAAATTGGAGAGGGAGTGTCGTAAAGAAGAAGGAAAGGGAGATTCTTTGTTATCACAGGGAGAAAAATAGAAAGACCGAAAAGAAGCAGAAAAAAGAGGGAATGGTTTCTATACCATATCGCAAGAAATAGGAGCATTTTGATATTTATGTTATTGAATCTTATGATTCATAATTCTCTTTCTCTACGTCATACTATGTGTCATTTTTGTTTTGGAGTTAAATGGTTATGTGTGTTCATACTTCTTGACATTTGCTATGCGAAGCTTGCAAATATTTGACTGTGCAGGTGGCATCCAGTTTTAATCATTACTTTGGTATGAAGTAATGCTTTTCATTCCAGAAGCACATCACGTTTGTAATGATTTTTGCTATTGACTAAATCTTTAGAAATTTATCTTTTTCTAGTCTAAAAAAATCACACAATTTAAACGACATTTCCATTTCATTTCTTTACTGTAGTATTTGTTTACTTTGTGAACAGACAAACCGACATTTTTTCGAAATGGACTATCACTGAAAGATATGAAGACGATGGCATGGTTCTCTATTCCCAAGAAATCATACCGTTATTACGAAAATATCATAAACTCTGTTTTCAAGGTAAAGCGATCAAATTTATAAAATTCGATTCTAAGGACTGTCAGCTTAAAACAGTCCCATTTTATTTTCTTGCCACTGGCTTGCACGCCTGCCCTAAACTGATATATTCAATATTGAAGAGACAATCTTGTTAGTTATTCTGCTATATTTTGGCTGTACTTTATTTTATTCTTTTATTGAATTATTTTGTCACGTTAAGTGAGTTATAACTATTATTTCATAGTTAAATCAATCGCTAATTAAACGACTTGACATACATTCTGAAAGTTTTTTTTATATCTCATGATTGCATTTTCTTATCGTCACCTAATTATTTAAAATAAGCACTTTCAAAGTTTTTTCTTTAAAAAACGTCTACATTTTCAAGGAATTATTGCAGTCTACAACGGGGAAGATTTCTCTACCATTTAAATAAATTTTTTGTCTTGCAGATATTGACCAGAATGCAAAATATGAGACAAACTGCGTGTCAGGTAGTTTTACGGTTGGAGAAGGTGAGCCCTTGCGGCCAATAGTAGAAGCCATCTCTACTGACAAGAACTTTCTGATCGATATCTTTGACTGTATCTTCCATATGGAAAACTCCCAAGACAACATCATTGTTTCAAAACGACAAACCTGTGTAGGAAAAAGCGACATTTCAATGATCTTATCACATTTTATGTGATAGCAGCCACTTCTTTTATATATATATGAAAGCATTTGCTCTTGGTTTTCCTATGAAGAATTTCCTATTAAGAATAGTGCGTCATCTTTCTCCGGATTGCGAAAAAAAGCAAAAATGCTGGACAGACTGACGTCACGTTCACTGTTTGAATTTAATCTTACCTTAGACTGTAGTATCAACAACAACCTCAACGATAGCATTCTATATTTATGGCAGTTCATTGCACTCCAATAAGCATTTTTTAAGGTTTCCCATATCCCTCAACATGCCGCATAGTTTTTGATTGTCAAATGTCAATGCTAGTAAACATGTAACTATTTTTGACATTGCTGCTATACTTTATTCTGCAGTCTTGAAAGACCTTGCTGGATCAAGCAACAGTATCGTTAAAGTTCTCAGAGAAAACAACCACCAAACTCTGGCATTGCAGTACATTTTAAAGGTTTGTCATTGTTTAAGTAATTTACCGCTGAAGCGTTGCATTACCTCTTGTTATCCTTTTAAATTTTTCATATCCCCTAACACTATATTTGATCTTAATCTTTTGGAGAAAATTCCATATCTTTAGTTGGTTTATATAGATTTGGATTGATAAGGCAGTATTCATTACGCAAGTTTTTCAGCAAGTTTAGCGTTCGTTTTTATAACTGATTTGCAACTTTCGCTGGTGTATTGCATAGAGTTATAATGCTTTTGTGCTTCGGAAGGTCAAAAGCATTGACTGACAGTTTTTCCCGTGCTATGTTCCTTAACTTATGCGTTTGTTCTTACAAAAGCCAATCTCAATCAATTTTATCTCAATTATACAGTGTCAGTTAACACATAATCAACTGGCAGAGCATTCCTTGCAAACCGACTCCCATTCAGCTGCTAGTTTTCGTTTTTTAAAGCTATGAAGCCACATTTATCGATAATAGTATTCCTATGGACTGATTCTTTCTTTGTTTTCTCTACAATTCTGACAAGCTCCATAATTAGACTTGATCCAGTATATTTTTTATTTGAAATCTTATGACATCAATACTCTGCTATCCTTTATTAATTCGCCACACAAAGTCCCCAATAATTGGTCTTTATTTAGATCTTTAATTGCATACTCTTTAGTCACCAAATGATGCGAAGTAAGTTAATAGCGCAAGAGAAGATTTAGCTTGTTCACCATGTTATCTGTCTAATTTAAATTTTTTTCCAGTTTTATTTTACTTTATTTTTCAATTAATAATGCATTTACTGTAACTGTATTTGATGTATCTCTATAAGAAAGCCGTTGTTTTGCAGTACCCATTTTGAAGTGATATCTTTCTTTCAGGCTTTAGGAATATGTCTTCAGTCTGTTAATTGTTGTGATGTTGGGTTCCCGATTCCTGAGGAGATAGAACCCCAGGTAGTCTGTCCATTTGCATTAACATTTATTAATCTTAAATATGGAATAAAAACGTAGTTCAGTGGAAAACAGAACTCCAATTCAAGTTTGTATGTTCAATATTTAAGAGTTGGCACCTAACACGTGAAATTCATACGCTTCTTTTGTCGCACATTTCATTTGACAGAACTTTCATGATTTAGTAAATCAGCTAGCAATGCTTTCTTCTCACTCGTCACCCTCAGTAAATTTACATTATAATTTAAAGAATCAAATGCTTTCTTAAGAATGATAGGATAGTAAATGAAGCCAACATGAAGAGCTTTGAAAGCCAAAAGAACTAGTGGTGTTATCTTACACTTTGACTGGCAACCACATCTAAAAAGACGTATTTAAAACTGAGCCAGATATGAACAGCTTCCCAGTTTCCAAGTCTGGGAACTGTTCTAGCAGAGCTATTAAATCTTAGTATGGATCGTGGCGAAGCCATGTCTTTTTTGTGTCGTGATAAAGCTAGTGTGGATCTTAGTAGTGCTAAATATAATATTGGCCCATCGTTCCAAAAAACGATCGATTTGTCAAACCAATTTTGCCAGTCTGGCATTTTTGTAAGATTCTCATAGAGGCTAAGTTTTTAGAATTTTTACAGCTGCTAGTACTGTGAAGCACCGTGATTATGATTCATGTAAATTCGTGTTTCCATTCTTTAAAAAAAATACAAAGGACCTCGTGAAAATTTGCTAACTTCAACATATATTTTTTTCTTTTTCTGTATCAAAACTTGTTAATTTTATCTTCCGTTCCATATTTAATTATTATGGTGACATTACTGACTGTCAAGATATTTAATAATTTGAAATGAGATGAAGCTGTCTGGAAGTCTAAAATCGTTGTTTCAGCAATTTTTAGGGGCTCTATAACAACCACTTTTGGTGTGACGTCACTGTTGTTGTTTATTGATGATTCCAAATCCGCTGGATGATACGCTAGTTCTGTTATTGACTCAAAATCATAGCTACAATCATTCAAGAGATACTGTATCGATTTCAAGAATCAAATGAATGATATAATTTTATATTAACGTTGAATAACTATGTCGCACTGATCAATAATTATGCCTCTGTATTACTGCTACGAAAGATTGCATCCAGCAAGAAGATGTTCTCCTCCATGCTGCCATTTGCCAACCAGAGTATTCATGAAATAATCAACGGCCTGTTTACCAAGGTAAGCTGCAAAAGTCAACAAATAATACCATGGATTGCATATTATTGCTCTAGTATCATTTTGTGTTGATTGTGTCCTACGTTAAGCAAAAAATTATTTCTGCAGATGATATTATTTCTCAATATTATTTCATAATTCATTAGTTGTTTCCATTGAGTTTTTAATGTTTGATAAGCCATCTCGATACTTCCTAGGTATCAACCTACTGTTAATAGTTAAAGTACCAAAGTTACTGGCCGTCAAAGGGAAATTTGCGTTTTCTGTGGGTTTTTCGTTAAGTGTAGGTAGAAGGTTTGACAACAGGATAGAAATTTTGTGCGCTGCTTTGTTTTCAAATATCATACCCTTGTATTATATTCTCCTTTTTGCTAAACAATGCGATTACTCTCTCTTATATTAGCCTAGTGTTCTAAAATCAAGATTATAGGAAATTGTATGCCATTTTTATCAATGCCATTTTAAAAACTTCAGGTGTTGACACATCGTCACATTGACCACGATCTTGGGCTTGGCTACCTTTGTTCCCTACCAAGTAAAAATGGCATAGAGACGATGACTGCATTGAAAGGAAAGTTCGGTAGCAAGTATCGGAGAATGGAGGTAACTGATAATTCTTGTACCAGTGTTGCATTAATTCTGCAGTGCCTAGTTTAGAAAAGTCTTAAAAATTCTGTTCATCGATTCTTCAAGTTTTGGTTTGTACTTACGTTTAGGTATAAAGCTTCTCGTGTCATACTTCAGAATTATGCAGTTGCAGTTGAAGTCTTGGTTTGTACTTACGTTTAGGTATAAAGCTTCTCGTGTCATACTTCAGAACTATGCAGTTGCAGCCTCGCTACTTACTCTTTGCAGCTAAGCTCAAATGATCGTCATTTGATAAATCCAATCCATTTTCGTGTTTTCACCTTATTTTGCTGCTCTTTCTTCACACCACCTAGAAAACAGACTCAACAGAAAAGGTTGTCTAGGATAAATCAGTAAAGTTATTGTTATTACCAACAGGCTGGTGCTTTGATTGGCGTTGACTACGCAGGCCTCAGAAGTGACACGGAGCTTCTCAAAGCTTGTCAGCAGTTGCAGGATTGCGCGTATTGGGGAAAGAAGTTTGTTTCTCTTAAGGTATTCTTATTCTCTTACTCTCTGGCTATTCTGCAATTTTTATACCTCCCTAGAGCAGACTATGGTACCGAACAGGACAAGGGGACCCAATGGCTATGTGATTACACAAGAGGGTCAACCAGGCTGTTGAATGTGATACTTTAAAGAGCTTTCATTTCGTTTTTTTCAGATTCCACTAAAGGATGTATACGGTATGTTTCACCTTAGTGTGGAAGAGAAAGAGGCATTGGTACAGAGGCTGGCGTCCAATCCAAATGTTAATGTCACTGTTCTCATAAAGTTTTGCAGGTTTGCCTTGCTGTACTTCTCTCCTTGTAACGATTAAGCTATAGATTGACAAAAAGAAAACAAACAATAAAGTTTTGAAGGGGGAATAATAATACAAAGGAGAGAAAGGATTGAAGAACGCTATATAGAAACGAATAAAATGTTATCACAGCTTCATACCATTTATATATGTTTTTGAATGCTTTAATGTATAAAACAGATCAGCTGCCACCACGATTTTTACGCTTAATGCGATCATTAGACAACTTTTTGTACAGTATTTACAGTAGGTACATACAGTAGTTTTAGGCATTGATTAATATTTTAGATAGCGTTTATCTGATATCACACATAGGACATGGAATTTATACACAAAATCACTTTGTTGGTGTGCACTATCAATGATTTAAGCATGTAAAGCTTCTAAATATATCATGGAAATTTTTTTATTCTATTGCTGTTAGTATTACCCTTGATTTCTGTTGCGCTTCTTTTTAAGAACATTCCGATACGATGTGGATGAAGCCCTTTACACGTATATCAGAACGTTGCTGTTGCCTGCCAGTGGCTCGAAAGGTGATCCAGCGTATAGAGAGAAGGTTTATGAAGCATTCCAGCATGTTGAATCAACAGAAAATCTCTACAAAGCTCTGCAGTCTAGCTTGAATTTGGTGTGTTTATTTTACATTAACGATGCACTTTACACATGTCTTAAGAATACCTTCCTATCCTAAGCCTGCCTTTATTATATTAAGTCACGACAGCCGGCCAAAAACACCAAGAGAGCTTAATATTGACAGCGTTTTGACGGGTAGCATACTCCTGGCTATTTCTCTACACAGTGGACTTTCAGTTCTTCTGCACTGGTTGCATTGATGTTTCAACACTTTTATGCCTGTCAGAAAGGGGCATTTGTCGTCTTTCAGGAAAAACACATAGAGCCAAAATGACGTCACAGATATTTTTTGTAATTTTTGAAGCTCCCCCACCTTTGTGACTAGCCACTATTCTTTTGTGTCAGAAGAAGATATATTTTTGCATAATGATGAATGCACGGTTTCACGAATGGCTATTAGATTGCCGCAAATATATTTTAGTTTTAAAAGCACAAAATCAAGGTCTTCAGTAAAAGTTTTTCGTTTTACCCTAACAAAGTGTGAATCTTTAAAATCGTGTTATTTTATAACCAATACCCTTTTATAATAAGCAATCGATAGTTGCTTATTATCTTTATAAATCGATAGTTGTGAATCAACAACATCCAAAACTGACGGAAAACGATTGCATACCTCGTGATATTCATCTGATTTAACTTACAGTCTCGTTGGGGAGCCGAGACTAAATTCCTATTGTTTATGGCCATTATTCTAACCATGTATCTGGACCAATGAGAAAGTGCATTATATAGACGTGCGCATTAGTACGTGACAAGATTTACATCCAATGGCGCTACACAGCATTCAATCAAAGCTGTTGTATATCGTATTTGCATATATTAACCTAGATTTCCTTCTCACTTGGATTTGAGACAGGCGAATTCCCATAAGTGCCATGAATTTTCCTACCACAGAATGTAATATGCGATGTGAAAATAACGACATTGATTTAAACTGCGCATGTACATATAATACAAAATTTTGAAAACCTAGCGAATGGTCCGTCCGACAAATGCTGGTTCGTCTCTACTACAAGTTTTGGCTTTCTTTTCAAGCCATTGTTACCTGTTTTCAAGAAATCTTCTCAATTAGCTCCAAGATCTTGAAAGACTAATTTTTAATCATGTCCATGTATACTTATTCAATTGTATATTACCGTGTTCTTGACAAAGATATTCCAGCCTATCCAGTGTCTGCAATAAAACTCTACGAATTGTGAACTTGTTGACCTTAAGTTATACATTGATTGAACAAAGATTACCCCATTATTTTTAGATAAATCCATATGATTATGAACGGCTCTTCGTTGTCATTGAAAAGATGGAAGATATCAAGCCTGGATCAGTCAATGTGGTATGCTCTTTATTATCTTGAGGGATTAGTGAAATTCCACCTAGCGTTAGGTTTCTGAAATTTTTTCTACTATGTATTTTGTAATGGCTCATTGATATAAGAGGAGACATATTTTGGGTATCACGTTTATTTTGTGCCTTCAGGATTGAGACATGGTTTACTTACCATTAGTACCAAGGAAGCTGGATAGATATCTTTCTCCCCTGAAAATTTCCTTTTTGTTCAGTTTTACGTTAATGTTGCTACAAACAACAGTTCTCCATAAGAAGACCTAACTTTACTTATTTATAAATGATAATTATTCTATGATTCATATTGACGTAAGATTACAAGGCATCACAAGATCTATAAAGTAGGGTTCTTGGGTTTTGAGATTGTAGGAATCTTTTCAAATTGTTTGTTTTGCGACAAAACGTTCTATTCTTCCTCTATGTTCTACTTGTTTAACTCGACTTTCAAGTAAAATTTTTATTTTAAATGTCATGTTTTATGAGAAACTGTTGAGTGTTATCCGCTTAGACAAATCGGTCTGCGATTTTGTTTTCAACATTCCTTTGCGTACGTGGATTGAATAGAAAAAGTCCAAATGTGACCAGTAGCTCAGCAGAAATACATTCTATAGTTAGTTAAGCGCCAGTTTGTGTGAAGTGAATTAGGTCGTAACAAATTTAAAAGCTTCTCTAAATTATTCCTTGAGATGAGTTTATAATCTTAGATATGTCTTTCTTCAGCTGAAAAAGCTGTTCGATCTCTTAAATTCATACGAGAGATGTTCCCCACCAGCTGAGTTTGAACTGTCTCTTTCAAGTCACTCAGAGGATGAGCAGGTAATGCCATTAACCTAAGTGTTATTCTCATATATATTAATAACTATTTGTGGACTCAGCTTCCGCGTGTTCTCGTGTTATATTGCGTGTTCTAATTCTTTACATGTAATTTGGTCACAAATGCTATGTTGACTATGCGGATTCAATAAAATGTTTGGCTTTTTATATCTTAGATTTCTTTACTTAGTTGGCAAGGGCTATAAATCTTCTTGAGCTGTTTTAATGCTTCGCTTCATGGCAGTATTTTAGCGCACCTAGCTGCATTCTCTTTTTCGATATGTTACAAGTCCTTAGAACCTTTATGAAATGCAGTTTTTTACGATAAAGATTTAATACTCTGGGCTTAATGCAAAGTGTAGTTAATTAGGGTGCACTGTAGGGCACATTAGATTCTCCCACTCCGTCTCCCTACCCTCTCATCACCACGCACCTATTATTACCATTTCCTGTATCCCGTCTCCGTATTTTTAAAACCCTGTATCCTATGCTGCAACTCACTAGCCAGGAATCGTATATATGCCTATCACTATCGTTTGAATTTGCGTTTCAGCTTCTTCATGGCTCAGGAAGTAGACTCCCAGAAGCCGCTAAAGTACGTCTACCTTTCCATCCGTTGATGGGCGATTCTCCTTGGAAACTTTTGTGTAAGTGCAGCTTCAGTTGCAGTGCCTCTTTCCTGCAGTATTCACTTTTGTCTCTTTTAGGCATTTGACTTCATCTGAAACAAAATATTTCATTTTTTTACGTCAGCAATTTCATCCTAGGCCTTAGGATATTGCCGATAATATATAAATGAATTTTGTTAATTTAGTTTAATCTCTTCTTTTCTTATAAAATGATGCAATAATTTCCATCTTCGATTGCTTAAGGCGAGCTGATTCATTTTGTTTGACCTATGCATAATTAGAGTTCATTTCGTTTGCAACTCCTTTAGCAGCATTCTATTTCTTATTCGCATCTGCTAAAAACCATATAAATACTAGCAAATTCATTGCAGTATTCGCCTCTCTCCCAAAAAATGGTTGAGGAGGAAGACAAACGATTGAGCATAGATATACACTGAAAAATTAACGGACCTTCCTTTCTTTTTCCATCACTTCTCTACGTTTTCCTACATACTTACATTCCTTCTTTGTGGTATCGAAACTCTGTGGCCTTAAACGCTGCTCCCATAATTCATATCAATTTGAAGGGTTGCATACGTCAGTAAAAAATAAGATGGTATTTGATGACTATATCTATATTGATGATTATATTTTCGCTATAGTTATTTATACAACCTAGCATCAAGGGGGTTTTGCCGTTCAGTTTAAGTATTCTTGCTCATGTCTGAAAGGCTTTAAAATAAAACGATTGTCACTGAAAAGAAGATGCTTACGGAATTTACCTTCCCGATTTAATTTTCTGTAGATCATTAATCATTTTTCGAGAACTTGTCCCTTTTATCGCTTTTTGTTCCACTCTGTTGGTGACGTAAATTGCAATTTCGTCGGGTTGTTTATGGCATAAATATTAATCGCTCCTTTATTTTTTATATGTTAAGTAATTACCTTAAATAATGTGGTAATACAAGCTCGATATTCCATTTTGAAGTTTATTCTCAGATAACGAAGAATTTAGTACACAAGGCAGTAACTTGTGTTATATAACATTTCAACTGCAAGTTTGAGGCTTAAAGTTCATTCTTTTTTGAACTAATCAGTATTTGCATTATTACGGGTAAACGATTTATCTGTTTGCTGACATTTGTTTCAGTTTTGGTTCATTTGCTGCTTCACATTCTGACATTTAATGCTTCGTTTCAACAAGCATTAGTTTGCTCTTTTTCCTGCTTATTTACTCTGTCCTTACATTTCAAGGCTCTCTTCACAGATAGTTACATTGTTTCTAGACAGCGTTTTAAAGGCAATATGTCCTGTTAGTCAACGGTTTGCAGCGCGTTTATGATAGAGAATAAGCTTACGTTGCTGATTGGATACGTAACAATAGGTCTATTGTGTAATCCAACCAATGGGGGATTTTAACGGCCAATGAAACCCATCGGGACATAGTGCCTTTAAGTAACTTATTTTTCGCAGCGAACTGTCTCTGCATTGAATATCAAGCCTTGATTGTATTCTGATTTTGTTTTATCTATCTTTATTTATCTATCTTCCTTTCGAATTTTCAACTTAATGATGATTAGAAATGATGTCTTCCAATCTGTCTGTAGTAATTTCAACTTTTGACCCGAGATTTATTCTTCTAACCAAAATCAATCTATTTAGCCCCTGAGCTCAAGTCTGAATCAGTTGTAAGGAAAATAGAAAGCATCGTTAGGTGTATGCAGGTTGGTTTCAAATTTGATTTGATTTTGGTACAATGTGAAATTACTTTTTATACTATTTTGTAAAGTAATAGTTGATTACTATCCAGGCAATATAGCAATTGTAAAACTCTTCACTTTAAGCATTGATTCAAATCAATAAACGATCTAGAATTCCTCCACTGATTTGCAAAACATTTCAAAGTAGTGAAATTTAACCAAATTCCGGTATAAATTTGTAAACACTGAAAATATTAATTTTTCAAAGAATTCTTGAAGTATTTTATCGAGTGTAGAGAATCTGGCCATAGAAGAGAAACCTGCTTTGAAAATTTATCGTTTTCTATTCATGCAGGTAAATTACTTATCTTTATATTTACTTTTCTGCAAATGAACCGACTGGTTTCCTGGCAAATTACAAGTCCTAGGGTAACTATCAGACGAGAACTGTTTTTGAAATGTGACGTCATAAGTCTCCCTTAACAGAGTACTTACTAACCTGGCCCTTTTGCGTAACGCTACAGTTTTCACAGTTTCCTCGAGAACCCTTCCTAATTTGTATTATTTTATATTGTTAAGCTGGATACAAACGTGCTTTATACCAATGCTATCCACAACATCGTGAGCAACAGTTTTCAGGGCGAAGGAAAAGAGAGTACTTTCCCAAAAGATGAACAGAAGGAATTCAAGTTTGACTCTGTCAAAGGGTTGCTTGCGAGTGTTTCTGATACCAAAATGGCAATAGCTGCTGCAAAATGGGTTGCTAAATTGCTTCCAACTGGTATGTATTTCAATATCTCAGGGTTGTTTTAAATACCCCTTAATTATCTTACCCTACAATTAACTGGCTTAATATTGACGTCATAAAAGTCTTTGTCCAAAAATGTTTGAGTTTTGGCCACACAATTTTAAGGAAAACCATGGAACACCTCTTGTCTGTAAATCAGTCATATCTGTTACAGACTGCTTGGTATAAGGTCTCAGGCTTTTTCCTCATCAAACCTAGTTTGGTTTTGGTTCTAAAACCTATGAACCTAGCAAAAATATCAGTAATCCATTGTTCAAACTTGGCTCTTTCATAAAACATATTTGGGACAGTCTCAGTCTGCATTGGGGAAGGCAAAATATGATGTATTGACGTTATGATGCTCTTTGTTCACGTGGGGACTTCAGTTGACGAAGTAGAAATAACAACGTTGTTATGATGACGTATTAACATACAAAACCAAGTTGTGCTAAAGCATGCAGGTCCTAAAGTTAAAACCTTAAAATCTTTTGTGTTTTCATGCCGCCTTTTGATATTTTAGGAGATGAAAAAGTCAAAGCACTTAAAGCCTGTGTTGATCTTTGCAAAGAGCTTGAGCAATCGTGTGACGAGTCCGTAAGCATAACATTAAGCTTATTTCTTACTCACCCCTTATACATTTGGTCACCAAATCGCATGTTCGGCAGATTTATTACCTATATGTTAGATAAGCACTTTCCAGTCTTGATACATTTTTATAACTGTAGAGAATTCAGTGAAGTATTATGGTATTCAGTGAAGCACCACCCAGCTACACCTAGCCCCGCCTAATTCTGTAAAAGAGAATGCCTAGTTGAAAAAGCCACTAACTGTGATAGGATTTGTTATTTCAACAGGAATTACAGACTGTCAAAGACTGGACTCGCAAGTTTGGAAGCTTATGCAAAAGAACCGAAGTTGCAGCCTTGCTCTCAAAGCACGGGATATTGGATGAAGCATACAGAAACTTGACTCTACAGCCGGCTGCACTGATTTGTAAATTGTACGAAGACTTTGGATGCAAAGCTGAGATTGTGAATGGCAGAGTTACAGGGATCCCAGGTAAAATTTCACTTGTTCATTCTCATTGGTTATAATCTGATCCATCCCTGGTTGAATTGAATTAATTCTTCTGATCATCTGTAATCAAGAAAAAATTATTGCTGTGATCTTTAGCATGGTTGCAAGCCCACTGAATTAAATGATAATCAAACTGATTTGCATGATATCAAGCTTTTCTGATTTTTTCCATGTGTTTCAACTTAATCGAAGTAGGGTTTTTCACATTTTTAAAAAAGAGATAGTTCGCATTTTTCAAGTTTCCTAGTTTTCACTTTAAGTAAATTGCATTTTACCTGAGCAAAACAAATTTTAGTTTGGTGTTTCTTAATGTCCCAATATTTTTCACGTATATTAAAGAGAAAATTTAATAAAAAGTATCTTAGAGTCATGGAAACCTTGATCCAGCCAAGTAATAATTCATCGGAAAAAAGCTTGAGTTTGCACACAGGCTAGGCTGTCATTAGATCAAAATAAGCCCTATTGAAAGTTCTTACCTTTATCGGAATCCTAGCAGCCTATCCTCACCCTTAGATCGGACCCAAATTTTTTAGCACAAATGATACATTTTACCAAACCTTTTCTGACTGCACTTTCTTGTTATTACGACTGAACTATCTTTCTATTCAGATATCCACCAAATAGCGCAGGAGATAGCTACAATCAACAACACCAACCTGCACAAAGTAAAGATGTATTTGTTAGAGGTATGTGGTTGTGGTGATACAGCCTCGTGAACACCATTAAATGCAATTCTTTTCAATAGAAATATTCCTGCTTTGCTCTTGAACTTCAAATTGAAAATCATATACCTAGGTATTGACGATTGTTCACTCGTTAATTAAACTATTTTTCTATTTTTTTTCTGCATAGAACTGGCTACCTAGCAGCGCAAAGCAAAGCAACCAAGATGGTGACACAACCATAGTGAGTTTCGCATTTCAGTTGTTTCAACTCCTTATTTTCTCTCGCTGTAGTCATTTTGGTTAGCAGAAATCTATTGACTATATTTCAGAAGACAGCAAAACACATTAGATAGATTATAAGCTTCATATTGCCTGATGATCGCACTAAACGATTGCCTGATGATTGCATTAGCCGTGAAACTCGGAGTTTCGACTTAGAGCCATCGTGTTCTGGGCACCAAAAGCGTGTACAACTCTGCCTATATGACATCGAGCACTTTTTTACAGGCCGGTAAACAGTAATCTTCATACAAGAGGCTCATAACACTTATATTATTGTATTTTCATTTCTACAACATCAAACTACCACTCGTCCGTGAACTAAACTTGATGGTTTGAAAACATCCGCAAATTTCCTGCCATATCAAGATTTGCCAGTTCTCATTGAAGTCTTGTGATTTGGCGGTTTTGAAACCACAGCAATTAAAGCCAACTTGCTAAGTCATTAATATTTCTACCCACTTGAGGGTTTTTGAAAACGGTGGCTGAACCTAATTTGCTTGGCACAGCTGTTGAGACAAACGAATTTCTTGCAGAAAACTTTTAAATTGTACAATGTTTCACCTTGTGTCTGCCTTTTTTTATCATATTTGTTCGAATGATGTTGATAATAACATTGAAATGGGGGTATAGGGCGCGAAATATCAACATCATCTACCCGACTGTTGCTATAAATTGTGTGGATGAAACATTTATACCTCAGCGAAAGTGTAAACTTTCAAATGCAAAAATTGATTAAACCCGGTAACTTGTCTTTTCTGAATGATCTGAACGAAGTTGAAACTGATGCTAGTGCTTAGTTTCTGGAAAACAATCACATAAATTGTTTGCTGAATCAGGACAGCAATTAGCGCATCTTTTTCTCACAATAACCATTTGGTAGCAGGATAAAGTTTCATTTGTAAAGCAAAGCCAATCGCAAATACTCTAATGAATTGGCCGCTGGGTTGTCATAAATTGTTGTTTCAGTGTCTTGGAGAGAGTCTAATACTGAGTTAAATAGTGATATTTCTCCAAATTTGTGTTAGCACGTCAAGGGGTCAAACTCTCAATGGTTATACTCTACTTATAATTCATTTAACATTGTTGTTCATTTCGTGATGCAAATCAGAGAGAATATGATGTTGGTTACGGGTCAGTTTCGTGCCTCGATGATTTTTTAAACTGCTGGCATTGACAGTAATATGGTGTCTGCAAAACAGAGGCTCGATGAATACATAACGTAACTTATAATTAAAAGCCTGGAGGTACTTGTCTCTGCAATTAGCACAATATATGTTATTTAAACTGCAAATGTATATGTCTGCAAGTAAGATTACACCAGTAGCCTCAAATAAAGCCATAAAACAGAATTAAATTGTCCAATTCATTCTATTGCTTGAGGGATCTCCTATATCAGTTTAGTAAACGTCTTTTTCAGTTCAACAGGCCTAGAAGTAGCGTAATTGATATTGTAAGTTACTTTCTCCATGGTATCAGCTCCTCGTTTTCCTTTGCGCTATATATGGGAACGGTTTAGCGGAAGTGATCCGACGTTTATTTGGATTAAAGCCTGCTGAATATGGTATTTCTGTTACTGTTAGCTAGGAGACAAGTCCTTGTGTGCTTAATCAGTTTACATGCAAAAACAAATTCTAAGTAGCGTGGGTGGATTCTTTGTTTTTCTATTTGGAATAGCTTGGTTTCAGAACGAAATATAAGTAGGGTTCCTCCTAAATCAATCTGTCAAAATTTTCATGGACTTCTGGTAATTAATAATGGCTCTATATACAACATATTTTAAAGCATTCAAACAGTCATGTTCAAAATGATCAACGCCTATACAATTCTGCCAGGAGTTCGGTCAATGCATTTTCTAGCCATTAATATTGATTTTTGATGCTGCAAATTTTGTTGAATTGCCAAACAACTATTCCCAAGTAACAGAAGATCTTGGCACCGCCTTTCAGTTTATCATTTTTGCACTATAATTAGCGCCAGATTCTTTGGTTTCCGTAGCTAATACTTTGTTAATGCAGATTACAAAGAGGTTTTATAAAATTTGATGATGACACTTTTCTTGGATCCGATGTTTTTCTTTTTGTTAATGAAAGTGATATTTGATTTCTAGAGAATTATAAATCAAAGGCACCTTGAATAGACGCTGATTCAGTGGCAATTGTCTTGTCTTTCTCTTTAGCTGTTTTCTTTAGTAATCATAATAATCAAAATGGTTTCTGCCATCAAAAGCGATTGAACGATGCTCGCTATCTGGATAATTAGGATCATAGGCGTTTTTTGGTTCATGGTGCCTTTGATTTATCATTTGACGTATAAATCCTCTTTGAAGCCTCAACTAGTCCCAAATTTGTGAGCCAGAAACTTAACAAAAAGTCTCCTTTCTATGAAAAAGGTCTTTTATTTTCCATGTTCAGAAAATATATATTCTTTTAAACATGGACTTTCCCTAGCTCGTTTAAAGTAGAGAAAGAAAATACTTTTAAACGAGTCTTGACTTTTCATGACTGAAAAAACACCATAGTGTTACTGCTAAGAAAGTATCTTACATCTCCAAATTTTTCCCATTGTCAGATAACCAGCCCCCCCTCTACCCTGCCCCTTGTTTTCCTCTTCCTTATCCCCCCTCCTCTCCCCTGTTTCTTTTCTCTCCTCTTTCTTATCACCTCGCCCCTCTCCTTTACTCATGGTATTGGAAATGTGATATTTGCGTAACAGTTGATATACAGTTGATGTAGGGCAATCGAAGTGTCCAAGCTTCATTTGCACATCTCTTTAATCTATAGAAAGGACACGTTTTTGAAGAGGAAGTTTCCCTTTGCTTCATTTTGAACGAAAAGTAACTCTAGGCTCGACAAAATAAGTAAGGGTATTGTTATTAGTATAAGATAATTTTCCGTGAACGAGGATTATACCTTGATTAAGCTACCTATGGTCTAGGCTAGAATCTTTTAAAGTTCAATAAACCACTAAGCTTTCAGAGAATTAGTCGCCGAAACAGCCAACGCTAGAAACATCTAACTGGCACAGGTTAAAAAATTCACAGTGAAAACATATGTTAGTGAGACAGCTGATAAGATCTGCGTTACAGACTACTAGCTCATTTACATTGTCGGACAAAAATTATTTTACAAAAACCGTATCTACTCCATGAAACTCATTTTTTGGACAAAGGTATCTTAAATTAGACCGACATTGTGTAGATTCTTTGTGGGTATGACATGTGGGTCCTCATATGTGAGTCCTGGCTATTGTACATGAATCTCTCATTACCTCCATCGTTGAATACTTACCTCTGGTAACAGTCAGATCCTAATCAAAATCAATATAACTGTGATCGTTAGCTCTGTTATCTTGATCGTTTCACGATATGCTCTTGTTCTTCAACCCAGAGCTTGCCTCAGAGATGTTCCTTGACGCAATTGTTTCATCTAGATTCAAACACGTGTTTCAGTATTCTTTTCTACCGATCACTCCTCTAACTAATACAAAGACTAAGTGACAAGTGATATGTGAAAGTGAATAGATTTTCAGGTTAATGAACAAGGGTAAACTAAATATGGTACGGTGCTAGAATAGGCAGTATACCTCAGACATAGACCGATAAGTACTACTTGTGGTTCTACTACTACTTACCATGAAGCAGCAAGGCTGGTTGATTTTTCTTCCTCTTTTTGCTATCGTCGAGCCAGTGAATAGTTTCTCTTTGCACTGCCTTTTTTTCCTTTCCACTGCGAAAAGAACAATTTAACATTTATTCATGTATGGACTTTATTGCAAACTAGCACATACATTTTCGGATGATATTGCAAACTAGCATATAGTAATGCATTGTTAAATCAGAGGTTCTCGCTTTTAGATTTGATAAAGCTAGGTTTACGATATATGTTATAAATGTACTTTGTACTCTCTTTATTCAAATGAACAACGTTTTTACTAAGAAAATATATTTTTTCGCAGTACTCATTCTTGACAAAACCCTGAAAATATGATAGGGTCGAATATTTTCTAAATCTAATTTCTTTTTTAAAGTCAACCAACTTGCTTTGTCGGCTTGTTACCTAAAAATAATTGTTACCTGGAAAATTGCAATGATGCGATTTCTTTAGCACATGTTCTCTTACTGTTAAAAATCAAGTGGCAACCCACTTTAATTTCTCTGCCTTCGTCAGTCCTTTTTCAGCATTGTTGTATTGCAAAATTTTAATATCGTTTTCAGATTGATACCACTGTAGCATCTGAAGAGCTCGATGCAGATAACCTCAAAAGGTATTCCACTGCTTCTTAATTATAATTCTGGTTATAAATTACATACAGCTGTAGCAATCGATATCAGGAGATTCGCATATTTCACACATATTTTTCTTTTTCTGCATCCCATCATAAATGGCCAGTTTTCTTGCAAATATACGCCCTTGTAACTTGAAAACAGCGAACATATTTGTAATGCTATGTATGTAATACTATGTATACTTGTATGTATACTAAAACCTTCAATGCACTTTGTTAGTTAAAACAACTCTATTATAAATTAAAACAACATCTGCTATCTAGACGATTTTTTGGGTCTTCAGAGGATTTCGCAGACTTTGCAAGAATCTCAATTCTATGTTACCATTTCGCATTTTGAGCAGATTAGGCCAACAGTCGATTTCGTTTTTTAATTTTTTTCATTCCTTGATCTTTATAGGGTGATATACATCTTGAACAACAACTCACAAGCAGACAATGCTGGGCTTTTGCTGCTCTTTGCATTTGACGTAAGATAGTTCACTCCAACAGTTGTAATAATAAGTTGATTTCTTTAACAAAAGTCACTTCTTATGCATGTTGTTACATTATCTTTCTGTTCCTTTAAGCCCTTGAATTATCATTATTTTTCCTATTGCTGTGTGGCACCTTAATCATTGTTTGATTACATACCAAGCATGTATTCTGCCCATTTTGATACCCAATACCCTTATTTCAAAGCCCAACCTAAAATTTTGAAAACTTGTTTCTGAATAACAGTCAAGTGAATTCCTTTTCTGTCTACTTTTAGGGGGAAGGGGGCGGGGGTTCTCTGTTTGTCCTATACTTTGTGATGAGATCTTAATTGCAAATTATTTTCTCTCATTCACTGTCAATGCATCAAAGGAATGAAATAATTTTCCTAGGAAAAGTCTTCTTCAACCCTGACATACACATGCAAGATTCGAACTCTCCAGGCCTTGTTTTCCCTTGTGTCTGTTGAGTCTATCGAAGGCTCTTCAGGACAAGGTCTGAATGTGGAGCAAATCCGGTAAGCTTTTTGCAAACATTATGTCTCTTATTTCTATTTTCCTTTTAAACCCATAACATTTTATAAAATCTTACAGTTACCTTTTTTATTTATAATAAATTACAAGAATATTCAGACATCAGGGTTTTGTCAGGATTTTTAGGTAATATTCTATTTGGAGTAATACCACTTGATCTTAAATGCCACTAACAACTGTAATTTTGGCAGTCATGCCATCATTCAGCCATACGTTCAATCTTATTATTTTGGCTTTTCAATTTAAGCAAACACTTGACGTCTATCGTGTACGCTGCTGAGCTTGAGGCATTGCATTTACCACAAGATTTGAATGCATTTTCTCGTTGCAACAAAGAGGGTCTTGTTAAAGGTTTATGGAGAAATCACAGTCACGAGCCCAGGGTAACACGATTTTTACCCTAAACTTTCTTTCTTTTTTTTAAACGAAGCTAAATTTCATCCTTATGCTGAAGGATGCACATATCATAGGCACTCAAACAAGGTGGTGTGCACGTACAGTAGCTTTTATAAGCTCTTTTATAATAATTCCTTGATAATTATCATTTGCTATTCCTAAGACATAATTTGCATAAGACATAACTCGATGTATGACAAATGCAGGTATAACAAACCTTGTTTGAATTTCTGCTAATGACTGTAATAACCAATACAACATTTTGCATGCATTCGATGCCTTTCACGTTACCCCAGGCCGGTTCTGAATGATTCTAAACTTGGTTGCTTTTAGGGTCTTGTTTAATTCTAGTCGTTAACTATCTTAGGCTTTCTAAAATCTTATGTGAACTTTATCATTAGGTTTTTATCAGAGGCAATAAAAATTCTAGATGTGTTCTTATTGATTCATATAGTATTTGACTTCAAATTTTGTTAGTGTTGTCTTAAGCCATACCTTGTTTTCGTATTCTTTCCTATCCAGGGTCTTCGGTTGATCAGGAATCTATGCCTTGACTACAAGATTTACGACGTCCAGTTGTGGAATATACTTCTACCACAATTTCTTGCCTTTGGAATGGTAAATTTTTCAATCACCGTAAATTATGTCTTCTCGTTTAAGTGTCGTTTCAAATGATGCCGATATATTGGAGAATATCGTTACTCTGTTAGGTACTTCTTCTGACGGAAATATGCACCCTCCGGCATTAAGATGCACCCCGACAATATCCACGTTGCTTCTATGACGATTTCGAAATAGGCTACTGGATTCCAAACAAGCTTCCACGTAAAGGTTGCTTATATGCATACTTGGTACAGAAGAAAATCCCTCATTCAACGGCTGAGACAGGATGCATGTAAGAATATTGCCTGATGCATCTCTGTTTCCGTAGTGACAGCTCAGCAGCAATCTTCTTTTAGCGGCTTCAATGTTGTGCTATCAATAACATAGCAAAGATCTCTCTAATTGTCAACTCTCTAAGCTTCACAAGTAACTGAAATTTTCATTCTGCATGTAAACGAGGCTGAAATATATAGCCATTGCGATGATCTTTGCTCATATAGGCTTTCCTTACAATATGATAAAATCCTCATGTATCGCCTGAGAAGACCGTGATACATAAAAACTTTACGATGTCTATCCCTTTATCTCGTTTCCTTTTTACCCAGCTCTAAGATTTATCTGACGCACCGGCTGATAGAATACTTTTAGTCCAGCGGTTCTTTTAGCGTTACTCTATTTTCAATCATAGCCTTGATATTTCGATCATTTTAAAGCTGAAATTCCATATATTGCTTAATCCGTTAATCTTTTCGTTGATCCAGCGAACTTCATCGATCTTCTCCTTATTTATAGCCCATTCTTCTAAAGCCTGGATTTAGCCAGATAAAGGCAAGATGCCTTTCAAGGCTTGTCAATCCTTCACAGCGGCCTTTCTTTAACCATTGTCTGGGTGTTTTAACATTTTTAGATACGATAAACCTGTATCGAGTTTTATACCATTTTTTGAATTGTAACTTAGCGTTGGCTGCTTGAAATTCACGAAAACATCGAAAACTGAATTACTACCATTTTGCCCTTCGTCTCCAAACCAAGAATAAAAACAAGCCCAATAACCGAAACGAGTCTAACACGCGAACCTAAGCGAGAAATTGCCATCGTTACCATGGTAATCAATGGCTTGAGGGTAGTGTCTGCCGATACAGCACAATACAGTTCCCTGTCTCTTTGTGCTTTATTTTTCTGCAGTTTTGATATTTTCGACTAATATCTGTCGGTCTTTCAACTCCTTTCTATATACTTTCTTGTGTCTGCATTTCTTTTTTATCCAAAAGGCATTATTTCCGAGGTACACCCAGAAAGATACACAATTCTAGATACACAAGACCACTGTGTTGATGCCGCGTGTTCTATCAACTATTTTCATTGCCTTCTCTACTTCTTGAAGAAATCTATAGATTCACAGACAATCTGCATTCCCCATTGATTATACGCTCAAATTATTGCTTGAAAAGGCAAATTGCTAAAAATTGAATCTTCTCTCTGTTAACTAATACATCACTAAGCTTTAAGGCCTTAACCGCAATGCTGCGACTTCTATGCGTATATGCATGCGGATATGGATAGGAATTGTTTTTTCTCCCTTTAAAGGTTTCCAGAAGCTCGCGATTCATACTGAAAATACGAACGATAGACGAGCTTCAAGTCTGTAAGCTTTCAAAAAACTAAAACGAGATACCACCTTAGCTAACTTTTTACAGCCCAATCACCTTCCTGTCACAGCATTCCGAAAATAACACCAAAATACTAAGCTGTGGGTAAGGGTTCTTGAAATACGAAAAGGCTAGACCTATTCAGCTCGTGTTATACATCAATATATTTTGTGTACGGTAAATTAACTGTAGGATGGATCTAATGCTCCCCAACCTGATATCAATCACCGCCATTTCCAATTGAATGAGTGTACATTAAACTCTCGATAACTAGATCCTCCAAGTGACCAAGGGGAATGCAAAATCAGTTCGATAAAGAGAATGTTCCAGTTATCTGATGTTCAAGCTAACGATAGTTTATTGTATAGTAGACTCCGGTTATAGTCCCATCAAATGTTGCTTGAGAAGTTTTGACTGTAAACGGAACTTTCTTTAATAGTTTTGCATATTTGGGCCTAACTGTAACCAGTATAGTGACTTTAAGCGGAGTGACTATAAGCGGAGCCCACTGTGTATGTGAGAAGAGCAACCTTTTTGCAACAGCAATAATGAGAATCTGACAACCAGCCTTAACAAAGATGTTATATTGTCAATGAGAATCATTGTTTAGTAATACACCAGGAAACAATACCTAACGCAAAGACCTCATTGTGCCATTTATATATTGATAACTGGTATCGCAGAGAGGTACTCTACATAGTATTCTTTCAAAGTGCTGAGACCATAGGTATGTTTTCATATTATTTTTTCTATTATAGATTGATTATTTGCGGCATACTCTCGTCGTTTTGTGCGGTATTCCCGAATTAAGAGAGGCAAGTTACTCTGCATTATTTTACCACTTCAACGTTCCCTGAGAAAATTTATATTTTCAATTCCTTTTTGGAAAAAAGGAACCAGGAGTTACTAGTTAGAAAGAAGAAATCCTGACTATTTTATACCCTATCCCTTTAAGGGTTTAAGTATTATGTTTAGTTGTTCCAAAAGAAGCAAACGATTAACGTGTCTTAAAGTCTGACTGTATAAAGTGTTTAAGAAACTTCAAATAATTTATTCTTATGAAAGAAATTCTTGTAGGCAGGTTGAAATGTTACGTTATATTATGCTTTATTTTGGTTTCAGATACCCTGCCTAGCGAAAATGTGGGAAAGTGTAATTTTGGCACCGTTTTCTTCAGGTACCTCCTTACGTAATAAAACTGTTTTTGATACTGCTTTAGCTGCAGCTGTATCTGAGTTTGATTCATCATTCCAATATGCGGTGGTTTGGTACTGGCTAATAACTCATCATCTCCCGTTTAACATGCTTTCTCAGACAGGACATTAATTTTCTCGCTACTAGGAGAGATTCATTTTCTCGCTACTAAACATTCCTGTAGCTTTTCAAGCATAATGTTACTTTACGAAAACGAGTGTTTCAACTTTTCAATGGAAGTATTAAATATTTCCAAATTATTCATTATCGATCAAGTATTTGCCCATGTCACCATTTATCTCTCTGCCTCCTGCTCTTATCGCCAAGGCAACACATGATCTTCGCCATGACAACAGGCTATCGTCGCTTTGCATTGTTGGTAACTTCGGCTACCTTATTTGCACGCAAAGTTTTATTGTGAAATCATGTTAACACTATAATGGTATACTCGGCAACAAAATCAATAATTTTTTCCTTTTAACGGATGCTATAATTAATGAAGAGTTTTCCCGAGTTGAATCATCCAATTTACCTCACGTAATGCCAAAATAGTCATGGTTTTATTTGATAATAATTTGAAAATGTAACCATCAAAAATCATCAACATCATAAACTAATGCTTCCCTATTTCCCTTCAAGGTGACTAAGAAAAGTGAGGCGTTTCCTTTTTTAACAACATTGCAATAATTAATTGCATTTAGGCATTTTGTTAAACTATTCTTGTTAACATTGCAAGATAAAATTGGTTCGCATAGCAAAATAGTTTCTGTTAAGCCCGGATTTTCGACACAGATATTCTTATTGTTCCCCTTCTTCCATTTTCCCCTTATTGCAGCTTACTGTTTTCTCAATAAAATTTGCTAGTGCAAAAGTGACTTTTTTATATGATAATTTTTTTAATATTCTAGTCTCAACACCACTCTCAGATGAAGAGGAAGCTGGTTGTTTGGAGTCGGCCAATTTGATACAGAGGTACCTGTTCTGAAAGTCCGCTTTCTCCCCAGGAAATATCTGAAGCAACAATTTATAATATAAGCAAGTTTTAGCGAGATAGCGTTGGAGAGACGAGTCCAAAGTCCTATTGTTTGAGGCCACTATTCTATTCATTTGTTTGAACCGATGAGAAAGTGCATCATATTGGCATGCGCATTAAGGCAAAATTAACATCTCATGGCACTTCAGAGCATTTCCCCAAAACTATTATATAACGTAATTGCATACCCACACTTCTCAGAACAAACTTTTCTCCATGTCTTATGATTCGAGACAAGCTAAGTCCCATAAGTGCCACACATTTTCCTACCACATAATTCATTATGCGACGTGAAAATGACGACATCGATTGTAACTGCGCACGTGCATGATGCAAAACTTTGAAGGCCAACGGACCTTCAGACAAAAACTGGTTCGTCTTCCCAACAAGATAGATTGTGTTGTTTGTGTGGACTACTTCCATACCGAATAAAGATGGCTCAATTCAGACACCTTAGAAATGAAATATTCTAAGATCTGACATATTAACACACAGATAGTAATTTGTTATTCCATGTTTTTTCTAGCCAATTTTATTTCTCCTAAACGATAAATTTTGGCTATTTTTTTATTTTTTCCCCCACCCTTTAGCATTCAACAAAGAATAAATGGCATAATAATTTACAGAGTTTTGTGGCTGTTCAGATGAATTACTTTGTTGAAAAATACTTTTTCTTTGATATTTTGAAAATTAGATTATGCTGTTATAAGCAGTCCCACTTTGAGGGGACAAAAGGAGAAAATTTCTTGGGACTTGGTACCATCAAAGAGCCTGTAGGGATGTTAAAGGTTTTGCCCTTCGTCAGTTTTATCAAGTGAGGTCAACATTTAAGTGCATGATAGAACATATACTTGACAGAATATGACAGCGCACTAGTCAGGGTTTAGCTTGTTTTTAACCCACAGTCTTCGCCACATCTGCAACCAGCACCGGGAAGGCACTCAAAACAAGGTAGTGGTGATGAATTAAGGGAGGCCATCGTATCGGAACTGCCCAAGTGTTCATTATGGCTTCTATTGGCCTGGTTATAGGTTGCTGCTACTACGTTAACCTTGCTATATTCACAAATGCTATATTCTATTGCAGATGTCCTGTCATACTTGATTTAAACATGCAAGATATTGCCATGCGTTACCAGAAGATTGAGATGCATCCACATGCTTTGGCCTGCTTGACGCTTATCCCTGAGGCTGCTGTCAAAGATCATTCCATCGATGTATGTATTGCTGTGTAGTTTCTTGTTTTCTTCTTCTGTATAAATGTCTTTCCTACCATCGGTATTTTGATAGTCAACTGGCAACTGGAAGAGTGTGTTCTTCGAGAGCCGTCTCAGCATTGATCTCTGCCCCTTCTGTAGACAGTATATAACTGAAGAAGATACATTGCTAATATTAGTGTCCTGTCGTTTGTAGTTATGGGTATCTCCTGGATTATCAGACCGAAAGCAATAGGCATTCGTAGAAAATTGTGAGCAATTGGTTGATATATCCCTGGTTTTCATGTCTGAAGAGTACATAGGGCACAAGAATACCAATATATTTGGAGATATGGAATAAGGTCTAGTTATATAAAGGTGTTGCGAAATTCTGTTGTGAAAAGGAAGTGTTGATTAGGACATTGGTATTCTTAGAATCAGGCTGCTTGTTGGTTTTGATTATCTATCTACAAAATAGCACGGGATATTAGAAACATCATAAAAATTCTTTATTTATCGTTCTTTATAGCCTCTTATTTTGAGTTACTTGATTTAACAGGTCGGCTAACTCTAAGAATTGTTAGACAAAAAGTACTTCAGTTTTTTTTCTGTGCTTTCTTTCATGTTATACCATTTCACAATGATTGGCTCTATCTACCAGCAGTTCAGACTCTGCACCTTTTCTTTCGTGCTATTTGTGAAATGCAGTTTGTAACATAGGATTTGCACAAGCAATTTATAGGTTTTCGTTCTCTGACCCAAACTCTCCTGATAATTCCTCCCCATTTGAAAACCTCTCTTTATTCTATTTTCGAACACTGCGTACTATTAAGCCCTGTGGGGGTGGGGGCTTTTTTGTTCAGTCCTAAAGGGGGCCTTAAAGAGGAGGGCTTATTAGGGAGGGGACTTATTAATTATTCAAAGTCTAACATATTATAAAAATGCCACATTGCTCTAGGACTTCTTCGAAAGAATCAACATATTATCCCCTTTACTTCTAAAGCGCATGTTTACTTCTAAAGACCCACTCAAAGCGCATGTGAAGCCACAAAATTTCGAGGATGGAAATGGAAAACCAAGCGGATAAGCGGAGGAGCAATGTTTCTCAGATAGATACTCCTCCGCTTCGCCGCTTCTAACTTCTATTATCCCGTTCGAAATTTTGTGGCTCTGGCACCCAGGGTAATGTTTCCGTTGTTTGATATCAGGGACTAATGAGGGGGCTTAATAGAGAGGGGCGGCTTATTCTAATTTTTGGCTTGGTAAGAGGGGCTTTAAAAAGAGGGGGCTCTTAAAGAGATGGTGGCTAAATATAGAGGGAGGCTTGATAGAGCTTTTACGGTGTATGACCGTCTGAACAGATTACGGCCATTCTGCTTACTTACTTACTTACTTAACTCACTTACTCAAACTCACTCATCAACTTACTTACTCACTTACTCGCCAACTTCCTTAGTCACAAATTCAGGATTTATCTTCAAAATTTTCAGAATAACATGTATTTCAATTATGTACAAAAAGTTTTGTTTTGGAATTTTAATTAGAGACTGTGTGTTGAAATTGTGAAATCTTGCTTGTTGTATACATCTATCAGACTTTTTACACCAAAAGTTGCTCAAACAGATATGATTCTTAGATGGCATTTTAGAAAACTAGCAATATCAAACTATTCTCTTAAAAACCCTATCTTCTTTATTTAATGGACGACAACCTTGAAGCAACTAGGCGTATGACCAGCAGTTTTATGTAACAGATGATCTTCGCAATGTTTTGCCATATACTATACTTTTTGGTTATAAAACACATTTTTATCAAGCCAAGGTACTACAACGAGATGCGTCTTGAGTTACATTTGATAAATAAAATTCCAAAGTCACATTTCTTATTTGATAACGTTGGCTTAGTTATTTGAAACTTATCGATATTACTGTCTTTTTATTTGAATAACTGATATTTTAAACATGATTCAGATTTTTAAGGATTCAATGTCATATGACAGTGTAGATTGGAACATTCTTAAGGAGTACTTGTGATATTATTTTTCATTGAGTGTATTTGGTGTTGTTTGTAGAAATCATCCTCAATATGATTGTGGTCCAAAGAAGGCCACAAAATAATTTGGGTCAATTGTGACCTTAAAAGGCAGTAGTTTTGATTCTTTACTTCTTGGGAGCAAAACGAGCAGATAGATGTTCGTCATAGCCCTTAATAAAACTGACAAACTTTTTCTTTAGCCTGTTTAGTGGTATCACACACCACCCCCTTCCTCCCTTTGGTGTTTCACTGCTTATGGGTAATTGAGAAATTTCTTCACACCAGACAAGCACACCAAAGTTATTCTACTTTATCTGACTGATCCTTTAGCTGCAAAAATGATAAAAGATTGTCGATTGAACAGTTTCTTTAGCAACTCTCTGGTTTTTTTGTTCAATGAGTACATTAACCTTCTAGAAACGGTGATTTCGACTTTCACCAACCACCAAGGGCTATATTACATTCGTTTAATACCATCTAATAAGCGCTTTCCATTTGATGCAAAAAGTTAAGTCCCCCGTCTAATTAACTTCTCCATCAATGAATGCTTCTGTCTAATAAACCACTCCGTCTAATAAACGCCTCTAATAAATTTCTCAACTGTGCCAACTTTCGAGTTGATTGAAGACTACCACAACTGGCTTAACATATGACTTTGTATCGCAGAAACCTTCCTAAGATACAGCAGCAATTGAGTCAGCTTTCCTAGTTCCTTATTGCACCAATCCTTGTTTCCCATGAAATTCATCGTTACTCTGCAGTAGTCTTTTTGATCGTAAAAGATTCCCCCGATATCCTGCAATTTTGTGTTTCACCATGAGTAATCCTGCAATAATCTATAATACTGTGGGACAGAAACAAATCTTTATATATTTCAATAATTCTTTCAAAAATATCAGCAAGACTCGCAATTTTTCTCAATTTTTGTTGATTTAAAAACTCCTGTTGGGTTATTCTACATAATTATGATTATTACCATCCTTGTAACCGTTGAAAAAGAAACAATTGTTACATTACATCCTTTCTTTCATTTTTAGAAATTATTGAGAAATGTTGGATGTTTTGCTATTCTGGAACAAATTGAGAAAGAAAGGAAACGTGATCGATTTGATAGTCATTTGGAGCACGTGAGTAGTTACTAGTAATAGTTCCCCATTCGTAGGTTCATTTTATGGTTGGATAGACTGGTTATTCAGCTTTCTTTATGTAAACCAACGTGAGTAGCAACATAGTTTTTCTGGAAATGTTTGACGGCCTGAAGGATAGACATATAGACCAAGGCCATCCATTTGGTGCTGCAGAAAGTTCATCAGTCTGCAGATTGCAACCGATTGAATTAGTGGCGTAACAGAGGCAACTAGGGTCCTTGATATTGCCCATACTGAGATGGGACCCCAATTTACGGAATGAAAGAAACTCCAGTCCAACGCTCCAATAAAATTGATATTTTTCTCTTGTTAACTATGGAAGCCAAGTTATAGAAGCTTCAGTGCAGAACTTTAAAGTTTTTGAAATTGAGGTGAACTTGAGGAAAATCTCGTAATCGTGAATATATAAATAATTTGGGGTCTCTTTTGGTCGTCAGGGGTCCCTTAGTTATCGGACTGAAGTGCCCTTAACTGCGATACACCAATGCGACTGATGACCTATAAAGCTCAAGGCAATTTGTTCATCAACAGCACTCATGTGGCTTACACATGTCCCTTTCATACGCACAAAATGAAAAGGTCATTCTCATTGTCCTTTATGATGTACGATTTTGACAGAAATTTCAATAAGAAGTTCCAAATACGCGCAAAACGTTTGGAACATTTTTACCGGGAGTTGTTTGCCAACTGGATTTCGAAGTCAGGAAACCAGTAACTCCTTATGCAATCCTGTTCGTCATTGATTTTGATCTTCAGATACTTTTAATCTCTTGGATTCCATTAAGCCCATTGTCAGAGATTATTTGTCGATCCCTTTTCAGATTGAATTAGATAAGGTTACCAGTCCAGCATCTCTAACATTCACAGTAAATCATTCAAAACAAATCATGTTAATTAGCAAGCAATTTGAAGGTATTAAGTGTAGGTGGAGGTTTTTCGTTATGCTGTAACTGAAACAATCGAGATTTTATTCAATTTCCATCGCTTTTGGAGAACACATGATGCAGAGTTTTCGAATCTACCAAATTTTTTGAGTTTCTGAGTAAGTTTAATGCATAATGAAATGATTTATAGTATAATAATTCACGCAAAACTAACAGGCAAGAAAGCGAGATTGGATGCAACGTGTTTTTATGATTGATATGATATGGTATGACTTAGATATGAAACTCGATCCTTGGTTTCCAAAAAAAACATGCTCTTAGACAGTTCAGTGCAAAACATTGAATATTTCCCCTCTGTCTTCCAGAAATGTAAAGATGAGATATATGTACGATTTGTATGATGGCGAATTGCCTGTTAAGTAGAGACTTGTCTCGGACCAACAGTATGTTTGTGTAGGGTGTTCAGTTTCGTTCCTTGCTACCTCTCTTGTGTTGCCACCGAGTACCAGTCGGTCGAGTCTTGATTCGTACGCGCAACCTTCAGTGCTGCAGTCTTAAGCGCTATAATAACTTGGCCATTTTCAAGAAAGAAGTACATGCCAATCTTTGCTTATACTAGTTTATCGGTGGTTTCGTATACCATAGCAACTAAAAGGTGGTATGGTGCAGAAAAAGCAGCGTTCCGGTGTGATCACCGACACACGCGTCTACGTCCGCGAAAAAATTTTTAAAAACCGGCTTAAGCTTTGACTGGCTCGTTAGCGGCAGGAAGGACGAATAATTTCTCTAGGTCGTGAAATATCCTTTTCCAGTATATTCCTACTTTTCAAGATTTCTTTTTCTTCTATCTATCTTTTTCCTATATAAAAAAAAGAATACGGAACTCTGTGCTTATGCCGTCAGTTGAATGGAGACATGCGCACGGGATAGAAATTATAGCGGTAAACGTTTATACCGACCAACTGCGGAAGAATATTAGAAGAAAGCGATAGAGGAACCAATTTTTGTTAACATTTGGCAACGCTTTTGTTATTGTGGGATTGCGATAGGATACCTAAAGAGTAGGTAATCGCTTCTATATCTTGCAAGAGCCATGCCAGGTGAATGCTCAGGGTGGTGCCAGGTGGCAAGGGCTCTGAGAAAGCTTGACAACATGAAGCTTTTCTTCTCAATGTCCTACAACCACGCTTGATTTGTTCGAAACCCCCTCACCCTCAAGTGGTCTTTAATTGATTATGTCTCTATGTTAGCATGTTTTTAAGTTTTTGGTGTTGATTATACCATACTAGTGCACTCTCCTTCGTGCACTGCCAATTTGAATGTTTAAACAGAACACGGCCTGTCGAAACATGTTATCTTGGAAAATTTTATTTGATATTAAATTGAGCAGATGAATCAATATTAGTGATAATTGTCCTTATTGGTGGATCCAATACTTTGCAGTGGGCGTCTATTTGCAGCCTTTGAACAAATGCAATGTGAGATCCTCTTTGTCTTCTGTCTGGTTTTCTTGGCAACACTTCGTGATCTGTTTATTTATTGTCGCAAACGTGTTCTTCTTCCATTGGTGTTTGTAAGTCATAATCAAATTGTCAAGCTGATTTGTGCATATCTGGAGGAGCTGTTTTGAATTATTTTATCAGGATCAGTACACATCACGGAATCTCATTTTCCCTCTTTGCACAGTTCTATTAATTCTTTCTGAGAGCCAAATATTTCTATTTTTTCTCGTTTTTACTTTCTTGTGAGTCAATGCCTGTTGTTGTTCTTATAAATTTTATTTTGTTCGCTTTAAGTCCGCATACTCTGTTATTTTTAAGTTTCCTATCATAATCGTTCACCATATTGTATTTACAGTTTTCCCTGCAGAAGTTGCTTATAGTAAGAATCCATTCTAAATGGTTTTATGCATGGAATGCAGTCATTATCAAGAAAATTACAGTCTATTTGTTTTATATCGCTTTCACTAGAACTGAAAAGGTAATTATCAGGTAGTGATATAATAAAAAAGTAAATTTTGATAGAAATACTGGCATAGCTGTGGCTGCCAGTTTGGTTTGCATCAATGTCGGTGAAACCTAGTCGATGAAAACGATGGTGCAAACTTTTTTTATTGTAGGTGACTGCGTTTATGTCTAGCGTTGCTGCTTTGTTTTTAGTCAGTTTCTGATAGACTTTCTGTTGTGTAATGAAATGAAATGTATGGCACTGTTGAGTTGAAAAAATTGTGAGATTGAAAGAAAACAAGAATAGTTTGATTTTTTCCGAAAACTGTGCTCTGGCAAATCTTCCCTCTAGCAACAGTGAGAATATGGTAACAACATCAAAGGTGATGACCATGAAGTAAATATTCACTGTCTATTTGGCAATGAAATACAGTAAAAATAGGGCACGAGATGTTGTAGTCAAATCCAAATTGAGTTTTACCCGTTTTACCTAACGACATTTTTTGAAGTTTTGTATTAATATTTGATAGTATTGTCTTTTTTTACTTCTTTTACCAAATAAAGAATTCCCCATCTGATTGGCAATATCATTTGTTTTGTGCGGATCTGGCATTAGTATTTGGTATGGGTTTTCCCAGTACAACGCAGAAGGCCTTGCATTCGAGTGCCAATCCTTAAATCCATTGAGCCTCATACTGGTGGCATGTCCTGTGTCTATTGTTAAACAACCATGAAACGGTGGCAAGCTCTTAAAATGTTTGTCATCCAATAGGATTTAGGGCAAAAATTCTTTGCAGATGTAATCGATAAAAGCAAGCAAGTATGGGGAAATATTTGTGCATACCTGTGAGATCGGTGGATTTCAAAGCTAAAACGCTGATCCTTAGTAAATCACATATAAAAATTTGGATTAAGGTATTAATTTTAAAGCCAATATGGATATCTCAGTTGTTTGAAAACATTTCTTTAGTTATTCTTGCCTTGCAAATGTAAGAATTAATAAACATCTGTGGGTTTTTTAAAGAAGACAATATGTAAACAGTGTTTTAATGAAGTTGCAGCAAAGGATATCTCCTGTCTGATTTTATTTAATATGGATGCAAATAAAAGCTATTCCAACTGACAACAATAGTGTCTCCTCTGCAGCACTGCAACTTCGCAGTGGCTTTAGTAAATACGATTGCCTAATGCAAGCCTACATAAAACTTTTGATGGAAATGTAAATACCTGGCTTACGATTAACGCTGCTTCTTTAGTGAATAACGGGCGCTGTCGTCATTATACATGAATATTTGATATGCCTTGAGCATCTCTGCTGGTGGTCACGTGAAGTAGATGCCTCAAACATTTCATGCTGTCGAACTTAGATCACGCAGCACTCCAATTTTCTATAAAACTGGTTAGCGCTCTCTCTCCGCCACAGTGCCTATCTTTATACGTTACATCTGCATTTCTTTATACAGCCCTCTGCTTAGTATATTTCGCATTGGGAATAAAAAGGTGCCATATGGCCGTTTCATTTTGTGACGATAGTTTTCAGAATCATGCAGTTTCGTGTGTGATTGTTAGAATAGGCCCTATTCACCATATGGTATTGAAATATGCTTCGGGTTTCATAATGGACAGTTCAAGTTGCAGCTCTAAGTTTGTAGGCATCCCTTTAATGCTTTAATTTCTCAATGTTCTTCACTCCACATCTTTTGCGCATAGGCCATAAGCACTGTCCAGCGCTAAACATGAATACTCATTGATATTCAAAAACTGATATTTTCCTCTCTGTCTGATTTCTTTTTTCTAAAACTTTAATTTAGCGCATGCCAAGCAAGTTCTAGTATCAATAATGTAATGTTTTAATTGTTGGTATTGGTACAATGTTGGTTTTAAATATTGGTTCAAAGGGGAGATAATTAAGAATTGGTACTGATTTGAGGAAATTATGTGCCAGTGTAAAATTTTGATGATCTTACGCTCTAACCAGTCATCCTTAAAGACGGCTCCTCCCCAGTATTTGAAATATTATGACTTATTTGCGAAGGAAAAGAACGTCTAGATAGAAAAGGCTCGTATTCTATTACTTTTAATACAGAAAATTTGCTTGGAATAGTAATCCCGTAAGTTCAAAGTTCCTCATAACGTTGCGGTCGATAAG